TTCTCTCGTTCGGAAAATCGTGTGTCCGTGAGTCCGATAGTGTCGTCTGTTTGCATACCGATGAGGGCGAAGTCTGGGTTTTCGTCGGATGACAACAGAAGGCAAGGGTCGTATGAAGTAGTCATCATCTGGAGATTCTCTCTGTGATGGCGACTATACGTTGCCCACCAGTGGGTGCCTGCCTCTGCGAGTCCGTATAATGGCTTAACGACCTTCATGATGGTGCCGTTAGGGTAGTTGCGACGTATCTCGTTGGGTATGCGCGCGTAGATGCTGCGATTTAGCTGCGAGGTGGATTGAACGTACGCCTGCGTGATGTCACGGAGCCATAGTTGCTTCCCGTCGCGTAGTAGGGTGGGTGTGAGTGCGAGAATGAGTCGCTGGCTGGCTCGTTGTATGGTTGGAGACTGGGTAAGGATTGCTTCCTTCCCATCATCGGCATAACCTTGGATAACCAAGCGCGACTTCTCGTAGGGCTTTTCCGTGGTCTTGCCCTTTACCTCGTTGACGATACGTGATTTGAACACGCGGTCGGTGTGAATGGCAGGGTCGAAGAGGATGAATTCAAATACGCCGTGTTCGATGAGGCTGTCGATTTCGTTCTTCGTTGCCAGCTCGAACGGTGGGCCTGGCGTAGTGATGATGCCCTTGTCGCGTAGTTGCTGAGCGAGCTCTCTGTCAGCTGCCTCTTTCTGCGAAAGGAAGGAGAAAGGGACGTCTGTTTCTTGCAATAGTACGTCGGCATAGAGATGTATGTTTTTATGAGGTCGTCCTCGCGTGCGGCGGGGGGGTTGGGGAGTCGCTATAGAGACTACGTCTCTGGGAGTAGTGGCGACGATAATAGTATCTTCAGTATAACCGCCATCATCATCAGCATCAGTATCGGCGGTCGGTTGGGGAACCGCGTCGCCTGTAGTGGTTTCCCCGTTGTCTTCGTAATACGGCTTCACTGTAGTTGATCGGAATTTTCGCGGGCCGTTGGCGTCAACGGTGCAGTCTTCGTTGTCGACTGCGAGAAGGCGGTGAGGGCCAGACCAGCCTTTGCCCTCGCGCCAGACGCGTACCTGTGAGCCGATCGCGAGGTCCTTCAGCGTAGAGGTATCTGGGCCGTATCGCGCCTCGAGGGCCGCGTTGACCTGCTGTTTCGCGTGGTATCTGCGAAGGTCGTCGCTGGCCTTGCGTACGGCAGCTGCGCGTTTGATGATGTCAGGTGACGGGGCAGAGTCAGCGGTCATTCGTGGGTAGGCGCCAAATACCAAAAGGGTAGGTATAATGCCGTCAGGGCCGGCAGTATCGTTAATGGCCTTTATAGCGCTTTGGAGGGCTGCTTCGCGTGTGATAGATGGGCATTCCTTGCGTATGATTTCGTAGGCGCGTCGGAGTACTGCGTGATATCTCTCGACTTTTCCAATGCTGTGATGTGCCTCTACAGGGACGATCTTGACCTCGACTCCCATTGCATGGGCCTCACGGCGAAATTCAGTCGCGGTGAAGTTACGCCCGGCGTCTGTAGTGATCCAGTCCGGAGGTCCCTGGTAGACGTCAATCCAGCATAGGCGGAGGGCTTCCCATGTGGTCTTGGCCGAAATGTCGTGTAAGAAGCAGGCTGCGTTAAAGGCAGTTGCAGAGTCGATCACATGAAGTACGGGTTGGTCACCGTCGAGATACATGATATCAACTATCACCTCGTAGTTGAATGCGCACTCATCTCGGAGGTTGAACTTGAATCGCGTGGGGCTCTTGCCGTTCATTTGGCACTGGTGGCAGTGCTTGGTTAGTTGCTCGATGGCTCTGATCTCCACGTCGTTGTGGCCAGCCTCGTGAAGAACCTTGTGAAGTCGCTGGACCGATGGGTGACCGAATCGGCGATGAAGTCTTCGTAACTCTACGTCAGTGAGATGGTTGCTCGAAAGGCTACGTTCAGGTGGTCCAAGTAGCATCCATGGATGGCCCCATTTGCGTATGACTGGTATCACAACGTTGCCTTGTTGCATGGTGTTGGCAAGGTTGTTAAAGTGGATGAGCAGACGGTCCATATCAGCAAGGCAGAGAAGGAACGGGGTATTGGTTGGTACCACGTGAAATTCGATGGGTCCGAAAGGTGTGGCCACAGTGACCGTACCCCTCGAAGAGATGGGGTTGCCGTTGCCGAACCGAATACTGGCGTTGCCGGCGGTCGTAGTGTTGATAGTTGCCTCTGGTTGGATTCGTCGAAGGGCAACTGCCTGCGGGTGACCGGCAGTGGAAAAACCAGATGCTCCGGTATCCGGCATGATACCTTGAAAGACTTCCGCAGAGTACCGGTCAAGTGTGAATGCGGCGGCTGCTTCCTTCGTTGCGTGGTCGTATGGGTCAGACTTCGTCAACTGATGATATACTGACTGGTCTGCGAGGTTGGCGGCGACTGCATTGCCGTCAAGGGCTAGGCTGCCGAAGAACGCGGTGCTTGTGAGGAAGGTATTGCCCTGCTCTTCTCCGTGTTTTTCGCCGCTGGCTTGGAGGCATTGGTGGAGGTCCTCATCCTCCTCAGCCTCACTCGTGGGATCGGTTCCTTCATACGCCGTGAGGAAGGCGTTGTAGGCGGTTGACGAGGTATCTCGTACGTCGCGGTTGCTTTTGTATCGCTCATATGCCTTTTGGCGATCTTCAATTGAGTGCTCGGTTGACCAACAGCCGGTTCGTTTGCACACGAAACACTTCCTGCTGCCGCGGCCGCCACTTTTGATATCAGACTCCTTCATGGCCCGGCCGTGGTGGTTGTTGCCGAATCGGTTGTTGCGTCCCTGACCGCGATAGGTGCGGTCGACCCAATGTTGGTCGATACGGTCGGGTTGTTGGGTGAGGTATTGGTTATGCTGTTCGATCCTTATTGCAGTGTTCACTGCCGATCGCAACTGGTTACAGACTCCTTCCAATGTTGGTGAGGGGTTGTATAGGCATAATTGACATTCTTTGATTCCGGAACAAGCATTGAGGAGCTGGGTGCGTAAGACTTCGTCAGAGTGGTAGCTGTCAGGTAGTGCCCGTTGTATGAGGGCGAGCTTCTCGATGAGGTCGTCAAGGACTTGAGTCTTTGATTTGTCAGGGTGTTTCTGCGTAATACGGTCGAAAGTCGTTTCACGCCACTCAGAGAGGTAACCCTGGAGCTTCTCTTCGTTCTCAAAATACCCTTTGACGTTGTCGACCATCGTATCGAAGTCACGGATGCCTCTGCCGCAGAGACGGTTGGCGTAGAAGATAGACGCCTTGCCGCGGAGCATAATCGAGAAGGCAGGAGCCAGCTGGTGCTCCTCAATACCTACCTTGCTGCAGTTGTCGCGGAAGAGGTTCATCTTGAGGTCGAATACGTCATACATCTCACCGCTGTATTTCATATCGTCAGTGACCAGCTTGGAGAGGTCACTTAGCTGCCGCGACGACGGTTGGGTAGTGGGAGTAGCCTGGCGGTCTCGTGACCACGGTAGGTAGTCTTTATGTTGCCGATGGTCGATAATGGGTGAGGGATGTGGAGAATGCCGTGGGGTTGACGGCTTCGAAATCGCTGGTTGACGTGAAGTGTGATGGGATCGCGGTGTGTCGAGGTTGTGAGGGTTTCGGTTGGCAGCGTAGTTGGCAGCAAGTTGCTTGGCGACCATCTCATTCATCTCGTGGTCTGCCTGTGCCTTCGCTGCGCGCGCCTCATTGTCCATTCGCTGTCGCTCCGCTGGGCTGATATATCCTCGCGTGATATCTGCGAGGAAGCCTGGTTGTTGCTCAACAAGGTCGTTGAAGTCCTTCGCCTTGGCGCGTATTTCTTCGACTTCTTCACCAGTCCATGGATGAAAATCTTCGCCTTCAAGGACAGCGACGAGGTTGGGGGCAACGCGAGAGCGGTCACGTGGGGTGTAAACTCCACGATAGAGTAGGAAGTCGCGAAGAATACCGAGGGGCCTCGTCGAGGCGGCGTTAAATAGGTCTGTGTCCCATCCATCGAATTCTCGCTGGAAGGAGAGCCATAAGTCGCGGCCATAGAGCCCTTGCTCGGTCCAATTGGCTATGTGCCATGACATGAACGTTGAGATACGTATCGGGTTACGCTCGTTGAGAAGAATGTCGTCATGGTTGAAGTAGGCCGGGTCGGTGTACTTATGTATCGCAGGAAGGATGTGAAGCTCACCTAGCTGCGAGGGTATAGATGACGGTTGTGCCATGGTGATGATGAAGTTGGCTGTTCGAGTTAGTCTGTTGGGGTGTTTTGGTAGCAATCGCTGCGCAATCTGCGCGTAAGATGAGAAGGTGAAGTGTATGAAATGGAGTATCGCGGCCACGCAGAGGTCTCTTCCGACGGTACCAGGTACGGAGGGATTCTCGTCTGCAAAGGTAGTCGTGATAGCGTGATAGACGCACTCGCGCTCGGGCTGCTGAGGCCGGAGGGAGTTTTGAGGTTCTCGTGGACTTTCGTGAAGTAGTCGACGTTACTGCTCGTTAGCAGCTGCGCGGGTTTTCAGGCCGGCGAGCTCTCTTCGTGGTATTACCTTATTAATCTGTGGTGATTCGTGAGAAGTCAACCACTGATCAGTGTTGGTTCACGGGGTCGTATACGACAAATAGTGGTAGCAATTATCACTCGTCTGTTGGTGATCCTATTGCTTGTTCTTCTTGTTGTTGTTCTATCTTACATTGTAGGCAGGAGTCGGTCGAAGTAGGTAGTGACGGCCTGGGTGGTTGCCCCACCTTTATCCGGCCGTGATGACTAAGCCAGTTGTCCCACTTCGCCCAGGGCAGGTGCCAGCCAGCCCATGGTACCTGCCTATTACTCCTTATCAGCCTTTGCTGTTCCAACAGTTACCATTCAAAGTGGAATTAACTAAGATAGTAGGCACGACTCACAACGCCGCATGATACTTGAGAGAAATCATAAGAAATTGATCGTCGACAGCAAGTACCATAGAAACCTTTGTCTAAGAGATTTTGAAATTACAACATCGTGTTGGATATCCGACGGATCCGATCGACTCAACTCTCCTGAAGTATGAGATGACTGCTTCCAAGATACAAAAGACTTGCGCCTTGACGCCTTGTCGATCTAAGTCTCTTCTCAGCACCACAACTCTCATAGACTCAAGCCCTTTCTCTGTTTGCATCGCAAAGTCAATTTTTCGCCTAACTAAACACGGAATACTTTCAGCTTTCGAAATGGCTCTTCAAAAGAATCTTTTGACCATGGCGCTTGCAACGCTCACCATGCTCCTCTGTCTGGTCTCAGCAAGTCCGCTGCCCTTGTCTCAACACGGCCCAGCCGCTCTTGGGCCTCGCCAATCAGTGTGCCGTCCCACCGTTGGCTGCGTTCCCTTCTTCAACGCACCAACATGGAACAGCTTCGAGTTGACCATCCCGGCCCCCGGAGATCCCCGCACGCAAACCGCCCGCTCACCCAACGGAGAGATCGAAACCTCCGTCTGGAACCGAGTCGACGGATCAGCCTTTCTCGGAATCCACCTCGGAGACAGCTATATGCTGCCCGGGCATAGTGAGATGCAGATTCAAGCGCGGCACCGGAACACTGCTATCACCCTCAACCGTAACTCCATTCAGCTTGAGGGTGAAGGAGGACTCGCGACCATTCCTGCTGCGTCGATTTCTTCATGGAGGCAGGGCAATCGAATTGGGAACACTATTACCCTCACCATTCGATGGAGACTGGATCAGGATCTTTGAGAGATGAATTGACTGATTGGGACACATCGTAGTCGATGAGAAGCGCGACTTTTTCGTCCCTCTTCAGTCACGTATTTGAGGCAAAGGGTTACGAGGTGTTGATTCTGGATGTTAACACGACAAAGCGGTAGATGAAGAGAGAATGCAGATGAAGGCTAAGTAACCGAGTGCAACAACCTAGTAAAATATTGAGAACTTGAAGCTCTATACTCTTGATTCCCACTTCCAGTCTCTGCAAAGTCAGTATGAGACAACTCAGAGCCCCGTTTTAGAACCATTCAGCTTTCCACCCTGAGTATTGCAAGTTTTGCAACACCTATCGACGTTGAATAAAAAGTGGTGTAAAAGAAACTGATTCAATAACACAAATCTGTATCAAAGATTTTCTTCCACGATTGATCCCGCTTGATTACGTATGTGGACCTACAGGGCCAATTAGACGACGGTCCCCAGTCTTGTATGCGCCCTTCGTCTTGTCGGTGCTAACCTCTAAGGGCAACCGTCTCACTCGAGTTATCGACAAAAGAACTTTAGTATCAGTCCTGTCAGGGTTCCTGACTCACTCGGCGTCATTGAGACTGTACATGTACTTTTCTCTCACCCAATTTCCGTCGAGTCTGCGAAAGCTGCGCTCATTCACACGCCAGGAGAGATGTTGTAGTGCTCAACTCCAACTACCAATCAGGCTAGTAACATCAACGTCCACAGCAAACATGGCAACGCAAACCGCGACTGCGACTGAGTTGCAGACATTCGAACCTGCCTCGTCAACACCAGTCCTCTTACTGCGGAAAAGCCATGACGCGCCATCCAATTTCCAGCAACCCTCCGGCAGGCTAACGACCACCGACTCGGAAGAAGAAGCAGCGATAACCGCCCCCGTCCAGCTATCCAAAACCCGAGCCGGCATCGTCATCGCCCAAGTCTGCGGCCAGCTCTTCTTCAGCAGCTTCTGCAACGGCATCATCGTCGTCGCCCTGCCCGCCATGCAGCACAACCTAAACCTGGACGAAGGTCTACTCGTCTGGCCTAGCTCCAGTTACTTCCTCACGGCCGGATCGTGTCTCCTGCTCGCCGGGTCCGTCGCTGACGTCGTCGGAAATAAGCGCGTGAACCTGACGGGCTCGTTCTTCAGCGCCATATTCGCCATGGCTTGCGGGTTGGCGCAGACTGGGGGCCAAATGATTGCGTTTCGGGCTCTTCAGGGTGTGGCGTATGCTGTCATCACTCCGTCGTCCATCTCCATCATCTCGAACAATATGGAGGAGGGCAGGCCGCGCAACATGGGATTCGCGTGCATGGGCTTCTCTCAACCTCTTGGATTCTTGTTTGGGCTGGTACTGGGTGGTGTATTTACTGATAATGTCGGATGGCGACCGGCATTCTACCTGGCTGCGGCTGCGAGTGCGGCTCTGTTCTTGGTTGCCATCTGGGCATTGCCGCGCGACCTTCAGCCAAGGAATGAACAGTCTATTTGGAAGCGACTTGCCAAGGATATTGATACTGTGGGAGTATTCCTGGTCAGCACCGGTCTGGCAACGTTGTCATACGTTTTGGCGTAAGTATCTGATCCATGTACAGGTCAGTGAGCGAAATGGTTAACCCGACGCAGGTCATTATCAGCCGATATCAACAACATCCATAAACCATCTAGCATCGCACTTCTGGCAATAGCCGGCTGCTCTATTCCATCATTCATCGGATGGATGCACCACCGTGTGAAGAACAACCAGACGGCCCTCATCCCCAACTCGCTCTGGGGCAGTTACGTCTTCACAAGCTGCTGTGTCATGGTGCTTCTTACCAACGCTCTCACCAACTGCATGGAGCTGTACAGCAGTCTGTTGTAAGTTACAATGACGCTGTTTAGAAGAATTCTCTAATAACGTAAACCAGCTTCCAGCAGGTCCAGGGTTTGTCGGCCACGGTGGCATCAGTCCAAGTCGTCCCGTCTCTCGCCGCTGGGGCCCTTACGAGCATCGCAACTGGCATCTTTGTTCACCGCATGCCCGTCTTGTGGATGCTGTTGATTTCATCGGCAATGAGCACAGTTGCACCACTTCTCATGGCTCTCATTCGGACTAACCAAGTGTATTGGGAGAACGCCTTCTTCGCACAGGTAAGCAAAGAGAATTTCCATGACTTCAGACTAATTTCCACCACATGTATCCTCTGCGTATGCATCAGTGCAGTGTATTTTCCAGTAACTAACCCACATAGATCCTCACCCCCATCAGCTGCGACATTCTTTTCACAGTAGGCCTCCTCATCGTCTCCGACGTCTTCCCCAAACGCATGCAGGCCCTCAGCGGCGCCGTATTCAACACATGCGCCCAGCTCGGCACCGCCCTCGGACTCAGCGTGGCCCAGGTCATTGCCTCGTCTGTGAACAATGCCTCTTCGTACGCTGACAAGTCGTCGCCTGATGCCCTTATGGTGGGCTACAGGGTTGCCTTCTGGGCCATGTTTGGCTGGATGATGTTTGTCTGTCTCGTATGCGTGTTTGGGATGCGCCGGGTGGGTGTTATTGGTGTGAAGCGGGATTAAGCCCGCATATTTCACCAGCACGGATCGGTTGGCCGCCCCAAGGGTCAGGCATACCAACATTCTGATGCATGATTTGCATCTTCAGATCTTGTGGAAAAGATAAAGAATCATGTTGGCATTATGAAATGACAGACAAAAGGAGATTTGTAATGCTTTAAATGCAGAGGATCGATGTAGAAGTAGTAAAGACTGTTCTCAAGCAAAACATAGCCCTTGACGCTTCGTCTTCAAACTTCATCGGTTCCAGGCACCCAAGCTTTATAAAGGAAATATTTGAAGCGGCAGAGCCTGCACCATCCCCTCCATCCTAGCTCCCACTCCTAATATGCCTTGAACATTGGTCACCACCCTGTGACTCCAGGCCTCAGTAGTAACGACGACTAGCCTCAGTGTCCCGGCTAGTCTCACTGCTCTGCTGACTCCCACCGCCGCTCACATTAACAACGACAAGCGGCTGCGACTTCTGCCGCTCCTGCTCTCGCTCCTTTTCACGTTCGGCTTCGCGGTCGGCCTCTCGGTCCTCGTAGTAGGCCGTCTGGCTACATCCGTAGGCGCAGTAGGACTGGGAGTTCTTGATCTCGCGGTTGCAGCCGGGGCAGCCTTTCGTCATGGTTGCGGTTTGGTGTTGTAAAGGGGTTGGAAGTCTGGGTTTGTATCTAACTGAAGGAGTCCGCAGCGTAGTTTGCACGGGATAATCAAGTTTGTTGGGCTAAGAGGTGGCAGTTGGCGTGTTTGAAGAAAGGAGTTTAGTTTAATGGCTTGGGCGGAATTGTTGCCTGTTTATATACCTAGAACGTCTAGCTGAGATTGACACATGCAACATGTTCTTTTTTCAAATTCCCGTTGTTCGAAACAGTCAGGTCGCTCTATGCCAACCACGACTCATATTCGTAGCCAAGTCCGAATGTACAGGCGGCCTTACAGCCTGATCTTGCAATCAGGCTATGCACTGTTCACTGGCACTCGAATCCGCCTCACCAGATGACGCGGGGCCAACAAGGGATCTACAGCCATCTTTCGGGTATCAACTACATCCGAGCCCTTACATCCAATCACATTGAGGTGGTCATCCCCTGATGACTTGTTGATCTTCACACGATGACAGCTCTCACATGTTCAGATAAGGCTGGGAGGATGGGTGCTGCCTGGACTATTGTGCGCGATTGCCACAAACACACTGGACGAGAAGAAAAGGTCGCGTGGGGCTCCGCATAGGACAAGATGCCGTGTCCTTTTGCAACGAGCCTATGAGGCGTGGCATGAAGAAGGGGGTGTTGAGACTGTGTTACCAGGGCAGCTTACCTCTCGACACGTCACAAAACGTAAGACAACGAAGTAGAAAAGAGTCTCCAGCCATTTCAACGCCTTGAGAAAGTCTAGCGTTGGGCAAAGGGTTTCTGATAACATGCAGATTAGAATCATAGTGAACAATCAAGGCAGGATAAAGTTGCCCATTCGATACGGAAGTAAGGGGTTAAAATGGCAGGCATCTCTGGACTCGTAGTGGTGTTTTGGGCAAGGCTGTAGGATTCATGGACTGCCGCGCGGGTTGTTACGCGAATCTGACCAAGACGTGGTAAAGAGTGACTAGGTAATTGGCGTGTAGTGTTCTTTACAATCTACCTTAAGGTGGATTTTTGGAACTAGGTCCTATGGACATGATCTATATACTGGTATGATTCAGGGGATAACGTTATCAGGATCCCTTGGGAAAGCCAGGAGTTCGGAAAGATGTTGTCAGCTGTCTTGGAGCGTTCAACAGCGGCAGCTGATATAAAAGTGAGGGACGACTGATTGACCTCATGACGCTGGAATATTCACGACAATAGCGCAAGAGACATTGGCTTCATGGCATTGATATGTTGTCAAAGTATTACAACTTCCATTAGGTGTAAACACCGGGTAAAGACTAATATACAAGCTTGTGCTGTAGGGTATTGTAGTTTCTTCAGCGAGGCCGTTACTCATAACTCTCAGAGTCCAAGACTCCGAGGGAACTTCTGCGGAGATGATAATCTCCCGTTCTGTAATTCACGGTTTCAAAGCCGATGCCATCTAGGCATGCATTTGCCGAAATAAAATCAAACCATCGCATCAGGGTGGCGGGATCCGGAGCCGACAGGCTTGCGGGACCCAACGGACTCGCCGTAGTCGTTAACACCGGCACCAGTAGTGCCGTGCATGCCAGTGGACGCACCATGACCGTGGCCGTGGTGCTTCTCGTGGTGCAGGAGACCACCACCACCGCGCTTGCCCCAGCCGGCCTTGCGGGTGAAGACCGCATCGTACAACTCAGCCTCGGCACCATAGTTGAGAGCCTGGCCGCGGTTCAGGGGAATGTGGTTGAAGCGGAAGTCCCAGATCGCGGCGTAGGTCATGCGGTAGGAGGAGAAGGCAAAGGTAATTCCGATGGCGGCACCGGCGAAAATGTCGTACCAGTTGTGGAACTCGTCAATAGTGAGCGCACCACCAATGAGGACGGCGCCGAGAATGGGAATGTAGGTGATGATCAGCTTCCACATGGCGGGGTGGTAGTCGGAGAAGACCTTGAACTTGGCGTTCAAGTACAGGTAGAGGTAACCGAAGCCGGCAAAGGCAGCGGTGGTGTGTCCACTGGGGAAACTCTCGAGGGAGTCGTTGATCTCCTTCATGTCGCCGGTGCAAACCTCCTTGGTGACGTACAAGCTCTGGAATCCAGCGGCGCTGTAGCCAGCACGAGCGATGCCGCCCTGACTGCTAGTCACGCGGGACAGATCGGGCTGGCAGGCCTCGAGGAAGTGAGGGCGCAGACCGCCGATGAGGAACTTGATGAAGACCTGGAAGACGGCGGCGCAGATGAGTGAGTAGAGAAGGCCGATGACGGCGTTGTTGACGTCCCAGAAAGAGCGAATGCGGATCTGCATGAGAAGGATGATGCAGATGGGGATGACGGAGGCGAGGAAGGCAGCAAGCCAAATGGGGACAACTTCGTTGCGCATGGGGTAGGCGAACTGGGGGTAGACGACTTCACCATCGGCGAAGGTAACGGCGAAGGAACGGTTCGGGGCGGGAGGTGCCATGTAGATCTGAGGGTTGTTAGTAATGCTGTCGCGATGCGATCTTTAGACGCGGTGGGACTTACTCCGAGACCGATGGCGCCCATGCAGATCATGGTGATGATATCGATGAGGGTGCCCTTGAGCCATTGTCCGAAGCTGGGACGGGTAGACATGGAGTAAGGCTCAGCGCCGCGACGCTTGCTGGAGACGCCATTGTGATGACCGTTGGCGTGACCGGTGGCAGCAGGGCCTGCTGGTGCCGCCTCGCGACGTTTTCCAAAGATGCCCATGGTGATGCTTGTGATGATGTTTTTTTTTTTTTTTTTTTGGATGGTGTGTAGTGTCGTATTAGAGATTTTGCCCAGCTATGGTGAAGAAGATGCCAAGACGGGATGGGATGGCTGTGCTTGACTGCTTGTGCCTCGCCGGGAGCTGCAAGAAATGTCTTGGCGAGCTGTGATGGATGGAAGGGGTGGCTTGACTGAGGGATGAACGAAGGAGAGAGAGAGAAGAAGGGAAGGGAGGTCGACTTTAAGCTTAAGGAATAATGTCCGGGGTCTACTGTCTGTGGCAGGCAGGCAAGAACGATGTTGTCTACCCATTCGTGCCTTCCTTCCTCTGTCCGTAGTACGTAGGTACTTTGGCTTGACGTCATGTTTGTTTAATCCAAAAATGGGACGGACCAAAAGAGACGAAAACTTGGGAAGGTGCACACGGTTGGGGGGATGTGGGATTAAGGGCAGGCGCGACGCACGATGCACCACGGTGGTGATGCCCGGGCAAGCACGCCCAGCCAGGAAAGGTACTTCCACATCAAAAGTGGACATGCCATATGCCATTCCAGCCGCGGCTTCATTTCAGGCTTTTCCTAGGGGCGTTTGTTAGGTACTTCTCGCACCGCAGAATCAGTCGAGAGACCAAGACATGGATGTTTGCTGTGTGGACGTGGATTGTAGCACGACGGACATTGGTTCACTTTCAGCTTCAGGGACCTTTTGGGAGGGGACATTTCAAGCCAGGGCCGTTCTTCTTACACACTAAAACCCCGGATTGTGGCTAGTGACTAAACTCTCAAGAAAAGTGACTTGCAACATGAGACATTCTAGTCGTTGAGTGTGTGCATCTATCTGCACCAAATACTGGCAAAAAGAACATGAGAAGAGAGAGGAAGAGAGTCAAGCCACACACTACTACTCCGTACTGCGTAAAAGAGACCAACGACGTCATGCCGCCTCGGACGCGTGGGCAGTGGGCACATCCTTGGCAACGACCGGGTCCGTTCCCGCACTCCACTGTGCCTTCCAATCCTTGTCAACCGGCACCTCAGATCCGACTGCCCCAATCAGATTCCCGGACAACATGAGATTGGAAAAGGTCTGGACTTCCATAGGTTGGTGATGATGCGCTAAATGGGCAAAGGCGTCAAGCCACGCCATACGAGATGAGGCGTAATATCACTTTTTTCTTCCTCTGTTCTTCTGCTCCTTCGATCTTACCGTACAGTGTAGGTCGGGACAACAGGTCATCCAGAGGTGCCCCCAGGGAGCTCACCACCAGACGACAATCTACGAGCTGCATATGGCGACCTGCTTCCAAGGCCTAAACTACATGTACCTATGGCCGGCTGTATCGCACAGGGCGCCAAACGTCCAGAGACATCACCCGTTAAGCGTCGCCGATCCCTCCAACATGTCCTGCAACCTCCGTATCAGGCTTTACAGGCACACTTTTTTTCTGCTGGCTTAGCGGGCCTGTCAAGACCTACCTGTATCCACAGCAGAGATGTCATCCTCGGTCCCGCTGTGACGATTCCCGTAGAGCTCGAATCGTTTGTCGGACGAAATTTTGGTTCCAAACCCTGGCAACCGGACTGGGGGAGGGTCTTCCGTACGGCGTAGACTGTGGTAAGGCACCGCGGTACACGGGCATTCCAGGGGTTGCTTTCGTGGGGAGGACCAAAAGGTCCGGGACGACTGTATCGACGATGGTGCTAGCGTCCCGTGCCACCTAACTACCTATTCAATGTTGCACCACCGCTAGGGGAACTTTGATGATCTGGATACATTCTTTCTTGCCTGGACACACAGGCGGCAGAGACTCATTTTCTTATTTCGTTATTTTCCGGCAATTCGTATTAGCAAATGAGAACTTTGAACTATTGGTATTGTTTCATCTTCCCCAAAAGGGCCACAAGGAGTGAACCGGTCATGGTTTAGCCTCCAGCTCCTGTAGCTTAAACCAGCTTCATGCATTCAAAATTCTAGACATGTTATGCTTTTGACGGCATTGGGGCCCGGACAACAACAAGAAAAGCAATTTTCCATTGTACTACACCGAAATACTTTACCTACCAAGGTAGTTGCCCTTGCCTTTGAGTCAAAATTGATCGATCCGGTCAACATTCGAGGGGGATTAGAAAAGGTTCTAGACAACTGTAGCGCTTTCGTTCCGACGTTACTGCATGTTTAATTTCCGAAATATTATGATGGCTTGTTTCAACTCGGCCGGGATCGAATTTCCTATTTGAGATGCTACGACAAGCCCTTTTGCAACTATCCCATGATTTCTAGATAATGTACCTTGATGATTGATCAACCCGGAAATGAAGGTCACATTCACCACAAAGCTCGGCATAAGACAAGTGATACGGATACATGGATTGCAAACCGCACATCAATCCCACGTTCAAAGATTCCGTCCGCAACGTCGAAAATCGTGATAGCGGAGTAGACCGACGTCATCCGCCCCCAAAAAGCTCCCTCCGCCTGTTCAAGGCACACCAGATCCGACTTCGCCAATCAAATAACCCATTCTAGACCTTATTTGCTTGTCTGATTACCTAGGTATTATGCCCGAAAAAAAAAAAACAGCACCTACAGAATGGCATATTGACATGCCGCGCCACATATCTCGATTGAATCTTTTGCCATGGCTCGCCTGGCAAACGCGGCACCGCCACACCGCCACAGATCAAACGCGGCCGGTTCATGGTTCACTGTGACGTTTGACTTTGACCACCTCCAGTGCTCCACTGCTCTAGACATACGCAAACACGTTGGCCCACGGAGCCAACGCCCGTTGATCGATTGACAAGAATCCACCGGTCGAAATTCTCCGTCCACATGAGGTATCGGTGGTTTGTTGGTTTAGGTATTTCTTGAGAGCCACAGAGCTAAGACGCTTGCGGGCTCCACTGTGAAGCAATACATTGCGCGGCTTTGTGAGATCTTCACATCCTTCTGTCGTGAACGCAGCTTGTCACTTTTTGCCAGCAGGCAGGTTTTCCCAGGCGCCAGCACAGATGGCTAGCCAGCAGATAGTGTCATCGCATCGAAGAAGGGAATACTTTGCTAATCGACATGCAGCGGATTTGGAAGTCTTGTTGTATTACCGCCCTCCTCGTGCTTTCTCCTCCCAAAACGCCAAGCCTATGAATAAGAGGGCTCCGAATATGGTCCCGCCCAGGCGACTCCAGTAAACCCCATCATGTCTTCATCCATACCTATCTCTACCCCCACACTTGCTGTTGCCTGTCATCGACGAAGCATCTCATTTGTACGGATTACTCTTTTGTTTGGTTTTGACATCATCTCTCTCCCCATGCAATAGATCAACGACGTCCGCGGCCACGGCCGGCACCAGGCATTCCGCCGCCCATGCCCGGCATGCCACCCATACCACCCATACCGCCCATGCCCATCTGCTGCATCATAGCCTGCATATCGGGCATGCCACCGCCGCCTCCGCCGCCGAGCATCTTCATGAGACTGCCCATATCCGGCATCCCGCCCCCGCCCATGCCTCCGGCGCCGCCCATGCTCTGCAACCGCTTCTGCATGGCCGCCATCTGCTGTGCCTTGTTGCCGCCGCCCATCTGCTGCTGCGCGCGCTGCATGTTCTTCATGTTGCCGCCCATCTTCTTGGCCATGCCCGCCATCATCCGCTGCTGCGTCAGCAGGTCCTCCACCTCGCGCACCGAGGTTCCCGATCCGTGGGCGATTCTCGTCATCCGCGTCGGTTGCTCGATAAACATCTTGCCGTCCGAGTCAAGCTCCTTCTCCGTCATCGAGTCGCAAATGTAAATCATGCGCTTGAGCTTGGCGCTGCCCTCCTCGTCGTCCATGCCCTGCATCATACCGCTCATGCCGGGAATCATGCCCGCCATCTTGGATAACGGACCCATCTTCATGATGTTGGAGAGCTGGTCCCGCAGGTCGCGTACCGTAAAGATACCTTCTGTGATGTGTTTTATCGTATCCTTCTGATCCAGCTTCAAACTTTGCACGTGCTCCACCAGTCCGGCCATGTCGCCCATGCCCAGCAGCTTCTGTACGAATTGTTGTGGTGCGAAACGCTCAAAGTCGAGCATGTGCTCACCCGTACCGATAAAGACGATGGGGGTATGTGTTGCTGCGACGGCGGAAATGGCACCACCACCCGCTGCATGACCGTCCGTCTTGGTGATGATGATGGCTCCAAAGTCTGCCGACTCCTTGAACGCCTTGGCTTGCGACTCGGCCTGCTGACCGATGGATGCGTCGAGCACCATGATCGTCTCGTCGGGTCGGATTGCCGTTTGAATATCCACCATCTCCTGGAACAAAGCCTCCTCTTGCCTGTGTCGACCTGATGTATCCACGATGATAATCTCAAACTTCTCCTTTTTGAACTTTTCGACACCGTCTCGTGCGACCACCGCGGGGTCCGTCTCTGTCAATGAACCGTAGTATGGGATCTTCGCCTTGGTCGCGTTCTGCTTCAGCTGATCAAAAGCACCGGCACGGAAGGTATCAGCGCACACCAGGCAGGCCTTGAAGCCTCTCGCCTGGTAGTGGCGTGCGAGCTTCGTACATGTCGTCGTTTTACCGGCACCCTGCAGACCAACAAACATAATGATGTTGGACTTGCCCTTCTTGGGCTTGAATGGTTCGGCATGGGGATCGACAAGCTTGACGAGTTCATCAAAAACGGACTTCTGGATGAGGCGCTTCTTGTTGACGGCGGGCGGGAGCTCCTTAAAGTTGACGGTACTCTTGATCGATTTTCGCAATTGGCCGACGAGGCGCACGTTGACGTCGGCTTCGAGAAGGGCGGAGCAAATCTCCTTGAGCATGCCATCGAAAGCCTGCGACACGGAAACGGATCTTGTTAGCAGCTGCTGTTGTCTCTCACGACGTCGTGTGGCGACTGCGACGGAGGGTTCTGCGGGGTAGGGATGCGGCGCACCTTTTCGTCGAGGTTGGGCTCTCTGGTGAGGTTTGTGACGGCGGTGTTGATGCGACGGCCGAGATCTTGAAGGACCATGGTGGGCGGTTTGCGGCTACCGAGCCGACTTGGGGTATCTCGAGGGTGGTTCTTTTGGTGATGCTCTCGGGTAACGGGAGGACGACGTGTTGCAAATGGGAATTTGGCTTCAGGGTGGGATGTGGATTGATGCGCTAGCCGTCCAGTGCCACCACGCCGGATTCCATGGATGTGACTGGTGCAAGTGCAGTGTGGGGTTGGCGACCTCGACCGCGGGATATCGGATGCACCGTTTCTCCAGACCCCAGGTATCTCCGTACACTGTGCTTAGCTTTCCACACACCGTTGATGTCTACACTGTGAAGCTATTCCCAACTATCAACACAAACGCATCAACGCGCATCTATTCGCGAACCCGGATGATGCCAGAGGCCTTCTAACTCAGTCGCATACACAAAAGCTTTTCCAAGAGACTGGTCATTGGAGCCTCGGCGTCAACTAGCCCATCGTGCCCGTCTAGAGTCCTGCAAAGTTTATCGGCTCGATTAGCATTATCGTGCGCACCTTCGCAGCCTACAGCAAAGTGATTGAAGGGTTCACAACTATTATAATTTGTAATAAAAAGGCTTTCGAGTGGCGTTCAACCTTCGGTCGTTTGGTGTACGCCACCGAACCTCAACGGCCCACCGTCTGCAGGTCTGAGGTTGCGCTGACCTTTGAGGTATCTAGTTCCAAACTGTAAATGAGCCCAAGATGGTATTCTGATATTTTTTCTCAGCCCGGGCGAACGACTTGGCTTCGTTCTTCAAGGACCAAGAGGTAGGCATGCATTCATAATAACTTTGAATTCTTCGTATTGCAGAAAACTCGCCATCAACATGCAGCCACACAACTCCAAACTTGCAATAGTCACACATATGGCTTCACACCAAGTGGGAAGGTTCCACGTGAAATATTCGGCGGACCAAGACAGAAATCTCTTCCGAGAATACCCGGCACATATAATAAAAGCTCTGGCGCTCTCCCTATAGGACTAGGTACGCGATGAGAATTCATGAAATTTACTCTCCTCGACCTCAGTCACAGAACTGTTGCAAGGGACTATCTTCAAGATGGGAAACTACAAGGGTCCGGTGACCTCTTTTAAGAAGATCTCCAAGCTCGTCATCACGGCCCTTCTTTCTCATGGAAACACCATCCAAGACTACCGTCTCATGAATACGGCCAATGTCAACCGCATTGACCGCTTCCACAATGGCGCCAAGTATCCCATAGGCATCGGCTCCAACCTGAGCAGCTCTGCTGATGACTACCAGACTGTCTTCAGCGGCTGGGAGGTGAACAGCGCCTTGAAGGGTCTCGCAAATGAGTACGGCGTCCAGCTCACTCCAGCCCCCTTCGAAACCTATTGGAACCAAAAGTCCACCGTCGCCGTCCTCCCCGTCCCTGACGGTGTCAGCCGCGTTGAGCGCAAGAACTATCGCGTTTACCTCACCGCCGGCGTTCAGGCCCGCGAGCGCGGCGGCCCAGATAGCCTCCTCTACTTCATCTCTGACCTCCTCTGGGCCGACAAGCACCAAGCACTGCTCGTTTATAACACAACCACCGTCTTTACCACAGCCCAAGTTCGCTTAGTACTTTCCCTCGGAATCATTGTTTTCCCCCTCGTCAACCCGGACGGTAAACTCTGGGACGAGCGCTGGAACAACTGTTGGGGCGATAACATCAACCCGGCCTCAAGCCCCTCGAAGAAGAGCATCGACGGCCTCGGTGTGAATATTGATCGCAACTTCAACTTCACCTGGGACTACCGCAAGATCTACAGCCAACAGGCCCTCGACGTAGCATCTGACAAGCCCGGGCACGAGCTCTTCCACGGCACCGCACCCTTCTCCGAAGTCGAATCGCGGAACATGGCCTGGGTCATTCATCAGTACCCGTCCATCAAGTGGTATCTCGACACTCGCACAAAGAACCGCATCGTGAGCCACGCGTGGTCGGATACCCCGATCCAGACCACCAACCCCGAGATGAACTTCCGCAACCAGAGCTACGATGGGAAGCGCGGTGACATGGCCACGAAGTATGGCGAGTACATGATACCTAAAGACCACGATATTTACAAGGATATCTCGAACAACATGGCCGAGCAGATGGCACATGTTTCCGGCGAGCCTTTCTACAGTATCGACAAGCTCCGTAAGAAAGGACGGATGTTCCAAGGCTCTTCTGGGACTGCTGTCGACTGGGCATATAGCAGACACGTTGTGAACGATGCGGCAACCAAGATTATGAGCTTCAAGGTCAAGTTTGGAGCGACGGAGCAGGAGGCGGCTGAGATTGGGCAGAAGGGCGGGTGCCAGTACTACCCGTCGCGCAAGATCTACAAAAGGGGAATCACGGAGAGTGCTGTGGGATACATGACCTTCCTCCTCAACGTCGCCAAATATGAAAAGATGAAGGACCCGTGGCCTTAGAGGCTGAACAATACAATCCGGGCAATGTGGAACACGGGTATCAAATATCCATCACCCTCACTACATTCCGTGGCTCCTGGGTGATCACTTTGTCTATCCTATTACCTCTATGTAGTTCTTCATGTCATTTATGTCATCTCTCATGCTTTGGCTATGCCTAGCTATTGCCGTGCAAGCCGTGTCATATTCATGACGCCGTTCCCTCCTAATTTGAAGGTGCCAGTCCAATGCCTATTAGTCTCAGGCCATGTTATGATTGACCTGTCTTCTTGGGCAAGAACCGGGCTTTCACCCCAGTGAGCATCGCCATGAAGTAGTACTGAATCTCATCTTCCGGAGGCATTTGAACCTCCACATCAAAGTGCTCCAGCAGCGCAGGTATCGTCTTGTAAACGACCAGCTCCGCAAGGTGTCGCCCGGGGCACATCCTTCCGCCCCCGCCCCAAGTAAGATTAAACCGTTCCGTACCCTTGAGGTCCCTCTCTGTGTCTAGCCAGCGGTCCGGATGATATTCTTCCGCGTCGGGGCCAAATATCAGAGGGTTCCTATGTAACGAGACAGGGTTGCAGCCAACGGTAGTTCCGGGTGGAAAGGTCCCCCCGTGGACTGCAAGTCCTTCAGGAGGCACCGTGCGGGGCAGGGACATCCCGAGGACAGGATACAATCGCTGTGCCTCCTTGATGGCTGCTTGCGTATAATCTAGACGAATGGCGTTATCATAAACCTTTGGATCCTCCGTCGCGGAGCAAACTTCCTCAGAAATCCGCCGTTGCACTTCAGGGTGTGATCCGATCATGGACATGATGGACGTTAGCGCGGAACACATGGTCTCATGCCCGGCCCCAAAATTGGTGATTGCCATTCGACGGAGATACTGCTCCGTGAATTCGGGTTTGTCCTTGTGCAGCTGGATCAGATCCACGAGGAAGCCTTCTTTACGATCATTCTTCGAGACCGGCTTATTCGCTAGCGACGAGGTGACCCTCCGCGAGACCTGCCGGTAGACGCCAGTGAAGAAGGGCTTAAAGTTCTTGGGCGTCTTGTACGTCACGCGCCAGAGGTTAGCAAAAGTTCTCCCAAATGCCTTGGAAAACAGCTCCGCTTTCACGGCAAGAGGGAAGAGCCCAAAGACGGACTTGCGGCGCCAGCCGAGGTAGCCGTGGGTGCTTGAAGAGTGATCTGTGTGATCGCGGAGGTAGTTGGGTGACCAGGTTAGAACGACGGCTGATAGGGACTCGACGGCGATGATGTGCATCCATTCCTTGAGGTCGACTTCGGCGCCGTCGAGAGAGCGTAGAGTTGCGATGACGCGGGCTAGTACTGCGTCGAGAGCTGGCTCGTGTCGTTTAAGGTATGCTGTTTGGTAGAGAGGCCCGATCAGACGCCGTTGTAAGCGGTATCGTTGCGTGTTGCGCTCGGATAGTAAGTCTAGTGTATCTGGGGACGTAAAGTTCGGAAAGGGTGTGAAAGTGATGTCTGGCCTTTGAAGGGCAGTCGATACTGGAGACTTGGTGTAAGCTGAGAGTGAAGTGAGATGAGGATCGTCATAACTATCAACATACAATAGAAATCGGACTTTTCATAGCCGCTGCCAGCTCCTGTGAACGAATAAGCACGAGATCAGACCTTCTTCACGAGTTCCAATAAACATACGATAGATGTGCTTGAACGCATCTACAGAGTCAAACCACACCTCATTCGGCCCAACTCTCACAACCGGTCCGTACCGCTTATGAAGCGTCTTGCCCAGCGCAAGCATACGTCCATTGCGAACATGGTAGGCGTGCCACACATTCGAAATGGCAGCGAGCTTGGGCCCAGGTACGCGAGCCAAAGGGTGAAGAAGGAGACGGTATCCGATGACGATGAAAACGATGAGAATGAATGATGATGACGTGAGTAGCAGTGCGTTACGGAGAAACAATACTACGCCGTAGACAACGCCGAGCAACGGGCTGTGTATTCCGAGCGCCGGAGAAGGCATCGCCACGCCCGGCGCTTCGGACGGGAGCGGGCGATAGGGGACGGACGGGGGGTGATGTAAGGTAGGATTGAGTGAGGTCCGGCTAATGTGGGTGAATATGTGAGTGAGGCAGGGTGCGCGTGATGTGGCGGTTGAGGCTTTGCAGCAGCGGCGCGCCGCACAGGAGAGAAAAATTTCGCGGGGGGAGCGCTGAGCTGCGGCGCGCACAAACCATTCGGACCGGCCCCACCGTCCGGAACGGGGAATCGAATAGGGGGCTGAGCCAATTGGCTTTCGGGGCATCGATGCTGGGCTTCCCTTGCATTCTTTACACTCATGCCTACGACCCTACCTGACCCTCTACTGTATATCCGCAGTAGCGTACTATGGCATCCATATCTCAGCTACGAATTCAATGGCAAGGCAAGGCGGCAAAGAGCCCCGCTCGAGGCTAGATTTCTTGCTTTGCTTTGAAGGGGACCTGGGAAGCTTACGCTTGTGCGGCTAGGATCACATAGGGCTCTTATGCGCCGTCTCAGGGGTGGACCCCGCTGTTTCGCTGCTGGGGAAGCTCCCATGGGCCATAGCTCGCTCGATGGACCGTCTGTGGGTTGCCTCCGGCTTTGGATGCCGAACTGTCACGCTACAGAGCCTCAGTAGAGGCCGTGATGGAGACCAAGTGTTAGCTGTGATGCAATCCCTTTGGAGTGCTGCACTTTGCCTCCGGTGTTGCTATTTCTATCGCTTGTTGCGTAAGTGTGCTCAGTTTGTGAAGTCTAAGCACTGCCAGTCTGAAGTCGTCGTATGTCCGGGGAGATAGGGGATCCAACAGACCATGAACAATCAAGTTACTGGCTTACTCAAGCTGGCGGCTAGAAGGCGGGTGACACTTTCGATGACAGCTCCCTTTCTCAGTTCATCCTGGATCGACCAAAGGTTACCGTTGCAGTGGAATTCGCTCTCAGACCTCGTTCGTCCGTCTGGAATTGATCATCGATCTGTTGTGCCACGTCAACTCGCCTCCAATACGGATACCCTGAGTACTCCCGAGACCCTGGAGAGTTCGAAATAGCTTTACCCTTAGGATCCCGTCATTTTAGAATGTTTCGAAAGTTTAGCCGAATTATAAGACGGACCATATTATCTCTCAGTCTCATCACGCCTTCAACCCCGGTTTGAAAGATTGGTGGAAGAACATCTCTCATGTATCATCGTGTTCGGGGTTTTTTTTTTTTTTTTTTTTTTTTTTTTTTTTTTTTTTTTGTAGAAGATGAAATGAAATTGCCAAGCGGAAGACAGCTTCCGTGAAATGTTACACTGTTAGCAATGAAGAGGGAATTCAGTGGAACGTCCTAAAGATCATTAGAATCACATGTGTGAATAGTCGACGCCGTTGTCGGACATTAACTTGGGCACGCAGAGTCTAGGTTGAAACGGCAAATCCCGCTACGGCGGAACAATAAGGCTAAGCTGAAAATCATCATCTAAAGAAAACCCGCAAACGGGGTAATTATTGGATGGAGAAACTTTAGTTGTCGATCTGAACATGGCTTCATATTCTCCGTAATGGTGTCATGCTCCAGAGACTGCCGTCAATTATGCTTTACCTGCATGAGGCTAAAGCTCTACACACATATCACCAAGGTACCACCACCAATGATTGGCGTAAAAGGGCGGATTCTTGCAACAGCTCCGACCCATGTCTCGTCAACTCGATCCCACATCTCGGTTGATCGACGCTTCTTGGTGAGCTTGAATCAAATTGATTGTGGTGTACGTCGCCCTGTACGAGTAAATCGAGCTAACTGTTTCATCAACTCTGCAACTCCACTGAAGCATCTTACTACAACTGGATACAATGACTGGAGCACTTCAATCCCAATTGGGATGAGCCATTCGAAAACCAGCTCAACTTTGTGATGAACATGTTCATTTTCCAAGAATAGATGCACGCAACATATGTACGGATGGCTGAGATCATCAGGTCCCAAGGTACGTACGCAAACCTAAAGCTGGACGACTGGCTGGTAGAGAGCTGATAGTCCACGTCATCATGGGCGAGCTCCATTGTAAGGGAGCATAGTAGGGGGCGATGGCATCTTCCGTCACTGTCGATTCTTTTTACCCGTCTGTCTCACTCCCTTTGATCTCTCGCTTTGAGTCACAAACACGCAGATGCTAGTCTTTTCTCCCAGCCTCAAGGGTCTGGTGCATGACAACTCCGAAAACTCCCTTTTGGGAAACTTCGGCCATCATCGTCCGATGTTTGTACAATATGCAAGCAATTTGGAGGATATAGTCGACCAAAAAGCGTCAATTGGTGTCGACGCAAGCAATTCCGTCGCCACATTCCTCAAAGCGGTCGACTAATCCGCCCCTGGCCCCCGGGCCACCGGCGCAGCCCTTCGGGGCGCTACCCGGGATCCTAATTCGGGAAGTGGGCGGGCTTGCGTGTCCCAGCCCCAAGGGCTGTCTCGGGAGAGCTTTTTTGGCCTGTTTGGCCCTGCATACCTAGTAGGATTAGGGGGCCAGAACAACTTGTCAGTGACAGGCGTTAACAGCGTCGAAACCAGACGTTTCGAAACAAACGGTCTCTCAAGTCCAATCGTTCCAAACTTTCAGACGCACTAGACCCGACGAACACCTCCTGTAGTCCCCCGTTGCTGGATACCCAAAGGCCCCAAAGTGGCTTACTGCTGTGTAAACCCTGGTGTCCCTTGTCGGGGCTTCATGGAGCCATCTCCCTCAACTTGACACCGCCCTACCGAGACTGGGCCAACGATGAACGAAGACGGAAAGCCGCGCAAGCAGACATGCCACAGCATACTATGTTCAGTCAAGCACTGCACCAGCTCCCCACAGGGACAATGGGGCTTTTCTCCGTGCTTTCTCGAGAGTCGATCATAGCGTCACGGAATATTCCCTAATGGGCCCAGCCCGCGATGGAGCCACTGGGGGATCGAATTGCGGAGCTGAGCCGCGTTGTCGTCAACTCGTCGACTCGAAGACGTGCTGAGCATGTCACTTGGGTGTAAGTCGAGCAACTCGAGCTAAACCATCCCGTCATTGGTGTCAGTATAGTATCGAAAGAAGATATAAACGCAACGGATATCCGACAAATCCAGACTCTTCTTTTTCCCTTTCATCACCACACTCATCTCATCTTATTTCTTCTGCATCTTCTTTCTTTTCCTCAACAACCTCACTTGTTCTACCGCAAACCCCCTTCTTTCTTTTTTACCTCGACCTCCTCGCTTTTTTCAACAACTTCACTTCATTCATTCGCCAGGATGCGTTCCAACCTCATTTTCGCTCTTGTTACCGCTATCGCGGCCATCAGCTCAGCGGCGCCGGCGCCCCAGGCTTCTGGTGCGCCCCCGTCCGGCACTGGGCTGGCTCCCCCGCCCCACCGCAGTGGAGCTCCCCCGCGCCCCTCCGGCACCGGTGTGCCCCCTAGCGGTGCCCCACCTTCGGGCACTCCCCCGGCTCAGCAGCAGCGCCGTTTCCGCGGCATGAACCGTCGCCAGAACTCCGCCCACCCCTCTGGATCCCCGCCTTCCGGCGCTCCCCCGAGCGGCACTCCCCCTCCTCGCCCCAGTGGTGTTGCCCAGCCCAGCGGTGGCGGACACGGCGGCTTCGGTGCTCAGGAGGCCGGCGCTCAGCCCACTGACGCTCCCCCGTCCGGTGCACCTCCCTCCGGTGTCCGCCCGAGTGGTCCTCCTCCCTCTGGAGCTCCTCCTTCTGGTGCTCCCCCCAGCGGTGCACCTGCTCCTACCGGCAACGCCAAGCGTGCTGAGCCCTCCGGTGCGAAGCCGTCTGGACCTCCTCCTTCCGGTGTTCGCCCCAGCGGTCCTCCCCCGAGCGGCGCACCCCCCTCAGGCGCTCCTCCTTCGGGACCTCCTCCCAGCGGTGCCCCTGCTCCTACTGGCAACGCTCGCCGCGCCGAGTCTGCTCCCGCAGGCCCCAAGCCCACTGGCCCTCCCCCGTCTGGAGTGAAGCCTTCCGGTCCTCCTCCTTCCGGCGCCCCTCCTTCTGGTGCTCCTCCCCGCGGCGCTCCTAAGCCCACTAACGCCAAGCGCGCCGACGGGTCTGCTCCCGCCGGCCCCAAGCCTACCGGTCCCCCGCCTTCTGGAGTGAAGCCTTCCGGCCCCCCTCGTTCAGGTGCTCCTTCAGGTGCTCCTTCCGGCGCTCCTCCCTCTGGTGCCCCTCCCTCAGGTGCTCCCGCTCCTACCGGCAATGCTCGCCGCGCTGAGGACGCCGCTCCCACCGGCACCAAGCCCACTGGCGCTCCTCCTTCCGGTGCTCCCCCCTCCGGCGCTCCTTCAGGAACTCCTCCTCCCAAGCCTTCCGGTGCTCAGGCCGAGGGTGCTGCTCCCTCCGGAACTCCTCCCCCTAAGCCCACTGGCACTCCTACCGGCCCTCCTCCTTCCGGCGCGCCCTCCGCTCCCGCCCAGAAGCGTGCTGAGTCTGCTCCTCCTTCCAAGCCTTCCGGTGCTCCTCCCTCTGGCACGCCTCCTCCTCGCCCCAGCGGTGCTCAGGCTGAGGGCGTCGCTCCCAGCGGAACTCCTCCCCCCAAGCCTACTGGCACTCCCACCGGATCTCCTCCCTCTGGAGCTCCTCCCGCTCCCACCCAGAGCGCTTAAACTAGTACTCTCTGAGAAGAGCCACCACAACAACCCACGAGATTTGAAGCCATCAGTCCAGCCCACACAGCAGCAGCGAATTTGATACCAACTTGAGTCTGGGTATGTCTTACCAGGAGACGTTGGGCCATGGCTGTCAAACACTTGAGAACAGAGAAGGAGAAGACGAAAAGGTGAATGTTGACACGAGACATGGGACAGTTGACGATGATGGCGGTGATCACTTGGCTAGTCATTTTTGCTTTGTAGATATTGGTTGAGATTTTTATGGGCATTGTATCATAGCATTTCTTTGAGAAAACCTGAGAATAACAGCGCTGTTACTCGAAATCGGCTTCCAGCCTTCTGGCTATCTTGCAATGGTGATTGTGACTGAGTTGAGGTTGTGGACGCACTTTCAAACTGTTGCCTAATTGTTCCCAATTCTGCCATACACGTCTGGTGGCTGGCAATTTTAGGTTACGACGAAAACATGAAAGTCTCAGCTCTAGTAGAGAAAAAGGAAAAGTAGGGAGGGTGGTATTACCAGCCGTTGAAGTAATGCAAAACTCTTTTCGTCTTGCATGATTGGTAGAACGATACGAATCACTGATTAACAGGAGACCAACTTGTCAGCCTACATGCATATGCCAGGGGTAACAATCCATCTCGCATGGCATCATTAGATCCTTCGATTCCTTCTGCATCTTTGCTGGCGGCTGTCGCACTTCAGCTCGGAATCGGGCCAGGGTTTTTAGAGACACGATAACAAGCACATGAGTCGATGTCCCAGGCAGCAGGCTTAGCCAAAACTCAAAACACTATAAGATAGACACGATCCTCGCAAGATGCGCTAGGGTAGACATTCCTTCGCGTTGCGGGCTCGACATCTTAATGATCCCTTCATGAACAGCCTTCCATGACCCTAGCCCCCGAAAACGAGTATTCCTGACTCGGATGATCGCGAAGTTCAATATCGACAATGATTTCTCAAGCTCCCCAGTCGGCGGATGGCCCGCAAAAGTATGACATAGTCCGTCAAGACGAGGCAGTGCATCGAATCCCCCACAAAACCATGCCTAAGGTCGTAAAATCTCAGCTGGGTGTTCACGACATATTACCATCCAGAGAGAACACCCTAGACAACGTGGGGGAATCTCCCACATACTCGACTCTGAGATGGTGGTACTTGGAGATAGGATGTTGCTTCCTCGCCATTGCAAGTCTCGTGGCCCAGGCCATCGTCCTCTGGCAGTACGGCGGCAAACCGCAAGATGCATGGCCAAGCACGACCCTGACCCTCAACGGTCTGATCGCGATTTTAGCTACCGTCTGCCGCGCGACCTTCATGATCGCTGTGGGTGCCATTCTTAGCCAGGCGAAATGGAATCATTTCTCTGGGAGAGGGAAGAAGGGTGGATATCAGAGGCTGGATGACTTTACCTTGATTGACGACTCCTCAAGAGGTTCATGGGGAAGTTTGCAGTTGATGTGGAGGTTTAAGGGAGCGTGAGTCTTCAATCTTGCTTGCCCAAGAATAGACCAATGCTAACAGATACCTCAGGCACATCGCTTGCGTCGGAGCCGTGTTGACAATGTTGTCACTTGCTTTGGGCTTCTTCTCCCAGCAACTGATCACACTGCGGATAGACCAGGTTGAAAGCAATGCGCAAGGCCAAGCGGGAACCGTAGCCAGAAGTCAATGGGCGAGCACCGTATCAGGATACGCAAACTCTTGTAAGTCGCTCTCCACTAGAGCCTGAGATTCACTTCACCTCTGCTATTCTTCGCATAGTCCTAACGTCTTCTGTCTTCTAAGGGAACCCCCTATCGCCCACGAAGCTTGCCATGTACAACGGGTTCATGTCTACAGAAGTCAGCTTGCCGCAAGTCACCTGCCCAACTGGGAACTGCACTTGGCCTATCGTTCCGACCGTCGGAGTCTGCGGCTCGTGTGTCGACCTCACACCCGAGATTTAAATCAACCGAAGCTCCTCCGCACGTTGCCTTGTGACAGCGCCAGATGGTGCGCGGCTTCAAGGATACTGCGGCTCAGGATCCGACTTCATGCCCGTATTCAATATCAGCACTGGCTCGAACCGTACTTTCGAATCCACGGATCCTCGGATGATCAAGGCGGACGCGCCCAACCTGATTGCTCAGTTCAGCGGTCTGGGCATTCCCGGCGGTATGCCAGCGACTACCCCTCTTGATGACTCCCGCGCGGCTGAGTGTGCTCTTTGGTACTGCCTTCAGGCGAGAAACGTTAGTGTAGAGTCCGGACAGCTGAAGGACGAGATCGTCGATACCTGGAGTGAGGTGACCGGAGGCTCGACTGCCGATGGAAGAAATGTCACATTCGCCAATATCCCGGCCAACTTCAACACTGAAGCTGGCAAGAGCTACGGTATGGGTCCATTTCAGATGTACGCCATGCAAGGGTACGCAAAGACAAACATTATAGGAAACGTCAGCGCCGATGGAACTTTGGGAATCGTGTTCACATCAGCGTCGCCTTTTGCAGATGGAATGCACGCCAGTTTCGGGGACGTTGACAGCTGGATGGAGAGACTTACAAGAAGCTTGACGAACGACGTGCGCCTAAACAGCAACGACACCACAAGCTACGACGCCTTCAGAGGCACCGTGATGGCCAGCCAGGTTATCATTGTCGTGCGCTGGGGTTGGATCGTATACTCTGTCGCCTTGGTCGCTGTGTCGGCGATTTATCTCGTAGCCGAGGTTATGCGAGCGAAGAGGAAAGGACTGCTACCCTGGAAATCTGATGTTCTCCTGCCAGTGTGCATGGACATGGATGATGAGATCAGGGAGAAAGCGGCGGGGGGCATCATTGAGCCTGGCGGCCTGAAGAGACTGGTCGGGGATGTTCCGGTTCAGCTGAAGGCTGACAGGACCGGCGTTATCAGGTTCGCACAAGAGGTCAAGACCGATGGAACCAATTCACCTTGAGGAAATGCGAAGGAATATTTTGCTAGGAAGATCTGATTTCGTCCTCAGGCCCCGTCTGAGAACATGATTAAGGCATGTCTGGTGGGGCAGTGCAATGATAATGAGGAATCATGATGAAAATGTTGGGTGGAAGCCCCTATGAAGAGATAATTTTACAATGAACCAGCCAGCCGTACAGGAAGCTCATCACTGTTGTTTACTTCCCAGCTTCAGTATCACGTCACTCCAACCGCCGATGATCCGACGCCGAGAATCAACTTCGATGAGCTCTTAATAAGAAAATGGTCAATCATGGGGATCTCCCTAGTAGTCACTGGCCTATGTGACGGTTAGGATAACGTACCGTACAAGAGCGTTGTTAAAGTCCTATCAAGCTTCACGGCCAGAGATTACGGCCCGTGTTGTTGTTTGATACAACTGTGGCGGCGTGGCTTCCATAATGTTCTTCTAATATTCAGTCAGAACATTAGTGCGCGGTTCTCCGGCTTTACGAGCCTCGAAAATCAACCTTAAATTGAAGGACTCCTACGGCCAAAGTTTTCACGCGCAGATACAGACTACGAGATAATACAATACAGCAGTGTAGTAACAGCGCCATGGCCCAAGCCCATGATAAATTCAATCTCATTATGGGATTCAATGTTCTGTACAGTTTACTGTTCGATTTCTTTGTGCGCCAAGCAATACTCCAGCTGGCTTCATAATCCTAAATCAAGTTCATCTCGCGAAGTTACCTTATGTAGCTCTCATGCGTACGTATAGCTGTGGCTGCAGGTTTCTGCTTCTTCTACCTACCTGTATTTATTATTGCCTTAAGTAGTGGACACTCTGAATGCAGAAAACCATCTCCATGTTCACGGCCGTGAAGACATGTATTCTCCCTGAGTCATCTATGATGTGGTCTACAAACAAAGCGCTAAGTGCGCTATGATGAGCGATGTCAATAGTAGTGATACCCACGTCCAGGCCAAGTGCCTCGAATATGGCGACTTCCTAGAAATATTTGCATAGTTGCGGCTGGATGATTCAAAATCTTTGCTAGAATATGCAGCAGCTGTTGCCGCACGGAAGCCATGCAGACAATGTCGCTAGCGAAATACCACTACATAGAATGTTGGAAGTTGTTCTCGATTTGGTAGAATGATCACCAAGGTGATGGCTTTGGAAAGGGAGATATCCGGTTATCCCCACAAGATAGCGTCGGACATCGGCCAAGACCGGTCGTCTGTCTCTCGGAAGGGAACCGAGCTTCACTCATTTCGGCTTCTCTGCCCTTGATTTGTCCCATCTATAAAAAGCGCACCCCGCGTCGCAAGAAACTGAGGAATTCCAGGTCGAGTGTCCTTTAGAGCACAAGACTTCTTGTTTGAGCTCTCTTCCAGTCTATTGGCTGGTGCGTCTTATCAGCGATGTTCGGAGCTGGAACCCGATGGTGGGTCCTGGCTAGAGGCGGATCGGATGGCTGCCGAAGGGCGAGTGTTGTGATTAAGACAGTCTTGCCGCCTCTGTGCCATGTTACGCCGGCGGACCTTTCTTTTTGACAAGCAAATTGTCACAAACATCTTTTTCAGTTTACTGTTTCGTTGGGAACTACACAAGCAATACAACACTACGTTGAACATTCTTGGACAGATTGTCGCATCATTACCCACGTCACAATCTTATACTCTTTTGCTGCATCAAGTGGCATACATACATGACTTGCAGTAACCGGGTTATCACACCGCATAGTAAAATGTCGAGTAGCAGCTACAGGGGCTCGTTATCGCCGACCCCAGACCCCTCATCCAAGGCAAGTTCGGCTCTTATCAGCCCCACACTCCCAATTGCCGCAGCGACCTCCATCACATGAAGACTTTGCAAACTTACCGGTGAACGGAACGGGCAGCAGTCTCACAAGGTGTCAGAAGCCTCTTCTTCCAGCCGGAAGAGGAAAAGACGCATCAAAGACGAGGTCGAGGAAGAAGGCGCGATGCCTCAGCAAGCTGCCGCCAAAGCACGGTCCGCGAACGCGTCAGTAACCACCACCCTCAATTCGCCCGCCCTTCATTCACCCCACCAAACTCCACCGCTGTGACGTGTTTGCCATTGGGGGCATTGTGCCATGCTGACTGTCGAATTAGATGCAACACATGCCGGAGGCGCAAGGTGAAGTGTTCAGGAGAGCAGCCTTGCAGGAATTGCGCACGAAACAACCTAGACTGCGAATTTGGTGACGGGAGAAAGAGATACTCAGAGGCGTGAGTCTACTCCGAGGTCGGACTTCTCCAACTTGCTAAGCCGGTCAACCAGATACGTCTCAGAATTGAGAGCCACGTTGACCAGATATGAGGACCAAATAAAGGGTGAGTTATTACGGCTGATTCTTTGCAGGCCAATTGCTTGTCTTGAAAAGAAAGTGGGCTAATAACGAGCAGAACTCGCCAAACAACCACGAGCACAGCCTTCGCCACCAGCCAGGGGGTCCTCAACAGGGGCATCAAATCCAAGCCCACCAGGTATTGCACCGTTTGAGCCTACCGGCGAAGTACCGCCTCCGAGTTATGGTACGTGTATCTCAGCCTTCAATTGAATACTGAAGAAAGACTAAAGCAGAAGAAACAGCATCCATAGAGCGTGCCCCAGGCCCGCTCTTCGAGCAACGTCTGCGGAGTCTCTTCCACGAGAACAATGGCAAAGACCCAGACTCTCCGGAGAAGGATGCTCCGGAACACCTGGAGAACGAAGATCCTCGTGACCTGCCGTTTACCCCTGAATGGACCTCAACGAACGAGTTGATCAAGGGCATCCCTCACCAGGCCTTCCCCAAAGAGGCCGAGTCTAATCGTCTCCTGAACCTCTTCAACTCCTACATGGGAGTCACACAGCACTTCTTAGACCAGCGGACGTTCACAGACAACATGACGCTACTTTTTAACAGCCAAGCATCTCGAGCTCGGCAGATGGACACACCATGGTTCACGCTGTACCTTCTGGTCATGGCCATGGGCAAGTTGATGGAGGAGGATCCGCGAGAGGTCCGAGGACCCCCGGGAGCGTTCTGGTTTGCGGAGGCCATGAGGAGGCTACCGCCGCTTCACAGCATCAGCGAGTACGGCATTGTTGGGCTCGAGATTCTGTGTCTAGCGACGACATATTTGCAGTGGAACGACCGGAAGAATGATGCATACTTTTTCGTGAGTCTAGATAACTTCATGTTTAGACCAAATGGGAAACTAACAAGCTATAGGTGGGAACAACAGTAAGGCTTGCCCTGACTCTGGGCTGCAACTTGCCATTTTCAGAACAGAAGTGCTTGCCTTCAGAGAGAGCACACAGAATGAGGGTATGGTGGACTGTTTACATGCTGGACCAGTAAGTCGAATCTTGAAGAACGGCAGAATCATCAAGGCCTATCAAGCTAATCTCTTGTCTCTACCAGGCGTATATCAGCAGGTCTCGGGCGTCCAGCTTCCGTTGATGATAGGCACCTTTCCTTCGATTTGCCTGGTCCCTCTCCAGGGTTCGATTCTCCGGAGCCGCTCAATGTCAACGTCAAGATTGCCCGCACAACTGGAGAGATTATGTCATGTAAGTCGACTTTACAGCATGTCTGTTTTCGTTGCAAGCTTTATGACCAGCAACTTACCATTGTGGCGCACAGCACTATACAGCCGAGGTGCACTATCGCAAGCTGATCTTGTCAGGAAGATGAGAAATCTGCTTCAATCACTACACGACATTGGTGGATCTATCCCGGCAGATCTTGCCATAGACTTCAGCAACAAGCAGTTTGAGGTCACCAGAGCTGGCGCATCGCTCTATTTGAGATTATTCCAGGTAAGGACCAATCGCTGTCTCATACCGGGCAACATTTAGACCTTGTTGATGGAAACGGGTGCTAATACAACTCAAACCAGTCCATCATTCTCTGCATCAGACCAATTCTCCTCCAAAAGGTCAAAGACAAGGTTCAGAAAACACAGAAGCAAGCCGTGACCTCGGCAATCTCTCAGCTGTGCCTTTTGTGCAACGAGTCGGCTTTGAGAATTATCCGCATTCTCATGGCTATGCAAAGACAAGAAGAAATTGGTGAGGACTCATCCTTCTCTCCCCTGGGTGGTAAAATGGATCGCTAACAATACATAGCTCCCTTCGCGTTCTTCGATCTGGATGCTGCCTTCTCTGCCGCCTTCGTCTTGATCATGCGTGGCTTTGCACACAAGCAAGACAGCCAGAAGCCGCCACCACAAGAACTCTTCCAGGCCATTGATTTCTTGGAGTACCTGTCTTCAGCCGGCAACCAGGCGGCAGCGCAGCGTCTCAAGGATGTTCGGCAGTTCTCTGCACACGTGTGGGCCAATGTGGTAGCGTTCGATAAGGACCATGACGTGCAGATGGGAGATTCCGGGGCGTCCCATGGGGTACCCCAGGTGGGGAACACACCCGGGGCCGGACTACCGGAACAGTCAGGACCTTCACCGGCTCAGATGCCCTTGACTACACCGACGCCCAGCTCTTCGGTGCCATCTTGGGAGGGGGAAATGTTTGGAGGACCTGCAGATACCTATGGATCAGACACGTTATTCGGTCTGAATCTGGATGAGAATTTGGAACAAGCCTTTGGATTGGAAGCGGCGGAGGGCATCTACAATAGTTTCAACGATCCTACTCTCCCCTTAACGGGAGTTGACCAGCTAGATTGGGCTGAGTTGGAGAAGATGATGGCACCAGGGGGGTATGGTTCTTAGTCACTACAAATAATGTCAAATGGAATCGAAACATTATCAATCAACGCGAATAACTCGGGAGGTCTCCTTTGTCAGTGACGTATGAATTGCCTCTGCATTGACAGAGTCCGAAGGGTAACTTCTCCGTTCGACCGTGGTGGACGATCTGGGCGAGTGGGGCCAATCGGATGACGGCCGCCTCCGATCCGGGTACCGAGCCGAGCACCATCACCAAATTTCGCAATGATTCAGAACACCATCGGAATAGAGCCGAGCTTCGAATGATGCGCCATTAACCGGGAGAAGAGTACTTAATATCTGGCGATAACCTCTTCGAGATCATGTGTGATACTGGAGCTGCATTTTAAAGATATCATTAAACGCCGCGTAGACCTGTGTTTAAATATCCACACAAAATTTCAACAATGGTTCAATCAACACTAGACAGCGTCTCCATCCTTGGCGCCGGCAACGAAGCCTCTCGCCGGATTCTCACCAAGGAAGCCGTCAACTTCCTCGCAATTTTGCATCGCAGCTTCGAACCGACCCGCCAACACCTCCTCAATCTCCGCCAACAACGTCAAATCGACACAGATAACGGACACCTGCCAGATTTCCTCCCTGAAACTAAGCACGTTCGCGATGACAAGAACTGGAGGGGCGCCCAGCCGGCGCCTGGGTTGGTAGATCGCAGAGTTGAGATTACTGGACCCACGGATCGGAAAATGGTCGTCAACGCTCTCAACTCTGACGTTTGGGCCTACATGGCCGATTTTGAAGGTGAGATGGGAAGCCCTTGAAACCATCAGACGTATTCCGACTTACACGGATTCAGACTCAAATGGTCCTACATGGGACAACATGATTCAGGGCCAGGCGAATCTCTACGACGCCATCCGCCGGCAAGTCGACTTCAAGCTTGGCGAAAAGGAGTACAAGCTCAGAACTGATCGCACTCTCCCCACGTTGATTGCCCGCACGCGCGGATGGCACTTGGACGAGAAGCATTTTACCGTCGATGGACAGCCCATGTCCGGCGCTCTTTTTGATTTCGGACTGTACTTTTTCCACAACGCCAAGGAGCTGATTTCTCGTGGTGCCGGCCCCTATTTCTATCTGCCCAAGATGGAGTCGCATCTCGAGGCACGGTTATGGAACGACGTGTTCAACATGTCGCAGGATTACATCGGTATTTCGAGAGGCACCATCCGCGCCACCGTATTGATTGAGACCATCAGCGCTGTTTTCGAAATGGATGAGGTTCGTAGCGCTAGCCATCGCAAGCACACTCTCCTCACTAACATGCTTCAAAGATCATCTACGAGCTCAGAGACCACAGCTCAGGCCTAAACTGCGGCAGATGGGACTACATCTTCACCTTCGTCAAGCGCTTCCGTAACCGCCCCGGCTTCATTCTTCCCGACCGCTCCGACGTCAGCATGACCGTCCCCTTCATGGACGCTTACGTCAAGCTCCTCATCAGCACATGCCACGCCCGCGGCGTCCATGCGATGGGTGGCATGGCGGCCCTCATCCCGCGCAAGGACGACCCGGCGGCGAACGCCAAGGCGATGGACAGCGTGCGCGCCGACAAGCTACGCGAGGTCAAGGCCGGGCACGACGGGACTTGGGTTGCGCACCCGGCGCTGGCGTCGATTGCGTCGGAGATTTTCAACGAACATATGCCTACTGCCAACCAGATCTTCAAGAGGCCCGAGGTGAAGGTCACGCGCGACGATTTGATCAACTCTGTTGTTCCTGGAAAGATTACCGATGAGGGTGTTAGGAAGAACTTGCATATCACTTTGGCGTACATGGAGGGTTGGCTTCGTGGTGTGGGCTGCAGTGCCATCAACTATCTTATGGTAAGTTTCGACTGCTGCTTGCAGTGGCCGTCTTAGGTTGTATCTAACAGACTCGCAGGAGGATGCCGCCACAGCCGAGGTGTCCCGCTCACAACTGTGGTACTGGGTACACCATGGCGTCAGCACCGCCGAAGGCACAAAACTTAACAAGACAACAATGCTCAACGTCCTCGACGACGTCACAAAGGAACTGCTCAAGTCTGCGCCGGCGAACAACAAATTCGAGTTGGCGGCGAAATACCTGCGGCCGCAAGTTACGGGCGAGGATTACGCCGACTTCCTTACAACGTGAGTTACTACTGTTTCTCTGAGTGCCGTGCAATGCTAACGGCGCAACTTTCAGACTACTCTATGATGAGATTACTTCTATTGGGCCATCTTGGAAACTTTAGATATTGAGCCAGCGATGCTATTTGTATGATTAATGAAACCGATTGAATGGCGTTGCTTTCCACAATGTATGTGTTGGTATTCCTTTCACAGGGAAGTTGGTTCGAACCGTAGGGTCCTGGGGGTGACGAAGTATCAATATCTCTGTATTGATTGATTCTGCGTAAGGAGTAGAAGGGAGATTCCAACCGGAGGTTGGGTGGGTAGTCGAGGTCTAAGTGTACTCCCTCGAGGTGGCCCATGCTCTGCCCCTACTCGCGGCCGAATTGGACTTCCAATCCGACAGTATGCTACGTATGACAGGAATTGGAGTGTCGGAGCGGCAAAAGCAAATCCAAAAATCCAGAGACTGTAGTCAACTATATACGCAATTCCAAGTCGACTTGGGGTACGGCAAATGACAAAAAACGACTTGGGCCTGATTCGAACAGACGCTCCCGAAGGAACAAGATTTCTAGTCTTGCGCATTAGACCACTCTGCCACCAAGCCATGATCCCAGGTCCGCCGAAGCGGGCTGATTGATTTGGCAGGTCAGATTCCTGAACTTGTAATCTTGGTGGGCGCCGAGACGCCTGAAAGGCCCTACAAATATTGCCTTGCTTGCCACGATTTCCCACGATTTCCCACCTCGAATCCTGGAGGTGAGATTTTATTGTCATGCTAAACCTTAATTAAAACTAATCCAGGCTCACGTTAGCCTTTTTTTTTCTGCCGAAAGTCGCTGGTCTGGATTGGATCGTCTGAAGTTTGGAACGGCTGCTGCCGTCACGGATGTTCGGCCAAGGTACTCTGTACTGATGTTTGTCTGCCTCGGGTACTTTGACTTCTTCAACGGCGCTCGAAAAAACGGGATTGAAGCCCGATGCTAAATTATGAATCCTTGCGTAATGAATTTAGACAAGTTCCCGCATGCGATTGACTCAACAAGCAGTAGGCGATACTTCTAAAGCAAGGCGGCCAAGGCAAAGTACCAGAAATCAGGAAGTCGAGAGACGCTCCTGTCAAATCACGTGGCGGACCCGTCCACTTCGCGTTTCTTTTTCTTTTCTTGAAAAACTTGTGGAGACTTGGAGTGAAGACGGTAGCCTGTAACATAGTTTAGATTAGTATAGACCATGTCGGCATAGCGCCCGGCACGTCCTTTTGTTACCAGACGTTAAATACATCATCATCATCATCATTGTGGAGACTTGGAGCTCTGAAAACCGCGTCGGGCTTAATTCGTGTCGCTCACTCACCGACTCGAAGTCTCATGCAACAATCGACTGCGCTCTTTGTAAGCTCTCATGGATATCAAATTGGCTTCTGGGAAGACTCGCGAACAGTGGCAGAAGCTGGAAGTAACCATCGCCCGAGCACACGAAGCAGGCTTCTCCTACGAAAAAGACAATGGGTTCATATACTTTAAGCAGAAACACTGGCGCATTGGGATCGAGTGCCTCCGCGAAGTCTTTCTCTCCGAAGACGCTGATCCTGATGACGAATTCTTTGTGGACGCTCATGACTTCGATTGGGACTTCCTTAAGGACAAGTCGTGGTATGAGGCGCAGTCAAACTTCTACGGCCTTCGGTTAGGCAATGTGAAGATGAAGACTCTGCGGAATCTGCACCACGATATGGCCGAGTTGGTCAAATTGGGTGCGGTGCGTCGTTCAATTCCTTCAGCAACCGAGAATATATATCTAAACTAAATATCTCATTCTTAGTGCGACTCTCCACCCAAAGATGTAGCCGCTTTCAAGGCGGCTTTCTTTGAGATGGACCTGACACGGAGAACTCATGTCGAGATCTTCAATGAGCTGGAACGGCTGGAGGACCAAATCGAATTCGATATTGATCTCTTCATAGAGCGCTACTTCGTAAGAGACGGAACGCCCACCCCACACATCACTCCCGAGCCGATGGTACTTCGCAATCTTGTTGAAGATACTAGAGATCAACTACCTGGATTCCTTGACAGCATCTACGGTCTTTACCATGATATCGTGACACCAGACGATGGCGATTCCGAGAACTACACCATTATTGCCTGGAGCATAGAAGCTCTCAACGAGGCAGTGATTTCAACTGAGCTTTCCTGGAGGGCGAGATGCGAGAAAGCGATTGCCGAAGGCAGCGTTCCAGACGATTGCGCGGATGAGATGAAGAAGCATTACAACTATGTCTTCAACAACCTTGCGCCACCAGAAATTGAGTATCGCATTGACGGAAAGAATTTCTTAATTGAACAGGAAGCGACTCTCATGCGGCTTGAAGATGCCCTTGGCAGATTCATCGTGAAGTCCCCCGGGATGGAAGAAGCATATACACCTGTGGACCCGGGGCCTTTTCACCTCAAGATCAGACCTCTTTCGTCGCCAGTTGAGGACGATGGCCTGTTGGCGGCGGACATGGACTTCGGTCGTTTCACAGGGACCATGATCCTCTCTTTCTCCTATGACCGGATGGCGACTGTCCAGTCAAAGGCTGCGAAGCCGACAGAAGGTTACGAAATAATAAACGGCGTCGACACTTTGTGGGAGGGTCTGTCTAAGATGAAGGATTTTTCTCGTGATGACACGAAAAAGGTCATTAAGCAGGCTCTCCGGCGAGCGGAAGGACCAACTGAGTCTGGGGTTCCACAGCGAGACTGGCGACTGTCAACAATGCGCAAGCCAAACCCATGGTTTCCTCACAGTGGCTCTCGGCGGCTTTACTTCTGTTCAAAGGGCGTCGATGATAAAGGGACCCAGTGCCACAAGGGTGTGCTCGATTTCAACCCGTCTTGCACCCGGTTTCAAGGCCTCATCTCAGTGAATGGAGATCTACTCAAGTTGAAGGGCTACAGGGCTGAAGACTACTCGCCGCCGCAGTGGAGTAACGACGCGCAGACGGAATCGGAGGAGGATGGAGAGTCCGACGAAGATGGAGAGTCATCTACGTCTGGGGAGTTGTCACGAATCAGCATATAGAGTAGCTCATGGAAATCGGGACCTCAACTGTGGTCTAATCAACTATGGAAAAGGGGAAAGGGAAGCCCTCGAGGGAGCCCCTTTTGTATGCCCATACCCCTGTCTACCCCTTATCTCTACCCCTGAGATATCCACTGCTATACCTCTTTCGTGACAGGAGTCATCTTCAGACATCGACATGAACTAGGTAACCTGCAGGTTCAAAGTACCTCTGAGAAAAGGGAAGCCGGATTATGTATCAATTTTGCCAGAGTCATGACATGGATGTCGGTAGACCGCTCTTAGTTACGTACTTAGTCTCGGTTAGGCCGTCGTTATGGCGTTCAGTCGCTTTGTGAGGCGTTGGCTTAATTCCCTTCAATGTTCGAATTTAACTATTGCTTCGTCTGTCTCCAACTCGCAGGAACACGCTCGGGTGCAGTTGTTCTCTTCTCAAGCGCGATAATTGTAGTACATTCAGGGTCCAACTCTTAGTACCTAAGAAGAAGAGTATCAGTCCTGGTGCCATGATATTGTAAGTAGGTCCTGCTAAGTTACGCAAAGTGTTCAAATCGTTAGAAGCTCAGGTTTTGCATGCCGTCCGGTATTAGTATCACCAGCTCTTTCACTCGTTTCCTTGTCTGGGCCTCGACGAATCTGTCAGTCCGCCGACTCTTGACTTCGTGGGTACATGGAAAAGTTGGACACAACCTTGAGGTCTCATTCAATCGAAACGCCACAAAATAGACATTTCAAAACCAAAGAACCTGGCTGGCAAAACTTTCCGGTTCAAAGACCCAAACGGTAGCAAGAACAAATGTCTAAGCGTCTGATAAGAAAAACTGAAAACCGACCATTTCGACGTCTCTTGATTCTGCCTCGAAAACCACTCCATTGACTGCACCATTTTCGACTAAGCCGCTCCGATACCGCCGCTCCAGATCAGACAATGCGCGACAAAAACTTGAAGAAGCCGGCAAAATGCGTCCTGCCCTACAAGGAACAAGATGAGCGACAGGAAACATACGAACTCATGCCGCTTCCAGGTCCGGCTCCAGATCCGAATTTACACAGGTTCGAGGAGGTTCCTATTAAGATCAAGTCCAAACGCGTCAGGCTCATCAGGAGACTTACAAAGCAACCACGATTATACAAACGTGTGCCAGTTCCGAATCCGACTTTCCTCCAATTCGCAAGGTTGCCCGATAAGATCAAGTCCAAAATTTGGCGCGAATTTTATTTGGAGCCTCGATACTATATCGCAGAACTTCATCCAAAAGACGATGAGATAGAAGGCGAGGACTACGACTGGGACTTGAAATCTTGCGATGGGGAATCGTCCGGCGAAGAGCCTTCCGAAGAGAGCACTCCCAAAGAGAACACTCCCAAAGAGAACATTCCCAAAGAGAACATTCCTGAAAAGAATGTCTCCAAGAAGAGTACTCCTGAGGATAATACGTCAAACATCGGTACTCCGCAAACCGATGCCCTGAATACCAATGTTCCTAAGGGGCAACCATATGACGAGTATCTGTCTGATGAGTATAGTTCTGAGGAGGATGAAGCTGCTGAGGATGAAGTAGCTGGGGATGAAGTAGCTGAGGATGGGACTGACGTAAATGGGGCTGCGGCTGCCGAGAATGGAGTTGTTGACCATGGAGCTACCGGGGATACAACCATCAACGATATATTCGACGAGCTAGGACCCGACGAAGCAGATGATGAGATAGACAACGTGGAGGGCCGCGATTCCACTGATCTGCTCATTCTACCATCAAGCAACAGCCCAGAGCCACTCGATGAGGAAGAGGAGGAAGCAGACAAACCGACACACCGCACTGTGTTCTGGACTCTGTCCAGACATGATGCAGAGTACCCGAATGGCTACTATGACTCCATCGACACGGCGATCGATTCTTTGTCGAGATCTGTGGCTCAGAGCGTCAGGCCGCGATTCTGGTTCCCAGCATTTGTCAAGGATGAGCTCGAGGAGGGCGAGGAAGGTCCCTGGATGCCGATTCCTCCACCGAAAGATTCGGCAGAAGAAATGGGAGAGAGTGTCGGCATCAACTGGGACATTGACTGTGTCCACGTTAAGGTGCGCTTCCGCACATGTGTCCCAGAAAGCATCGACTGGATGCAAAACATTCAAAACCTCGTCATCGACACGAAGCCTTTCATAGCGCGACGTCCGCAGCATGTCACAAACACATGTTTCTGGATGTGGACCAACAAAGCAACGCTTTCAAACCTCAAAAGTATCCGACAAATTGCTGCTCCGGAGTACCAAGTCCCATTCTGGCATACCGAGTGGTGTCACTACCAGATGAGACACCTTCTCCGTTTCGCACCGGGAACCCCTCCTCAGTGGCGCAATATCCAGTCCGAACTGGTGTCTGACGAGTTCTGGTTGCCTCCTGACAACTTACCTCGACAACCCCAATGGAAGCGATTTGTCAGGGACTTTTTTGGTAAATTCAGACACGTGATTGGGAGTCGGACCTGGAAGAATTACATGAGGGTTCCCCATGCCTCCGACTGGGATGAGGCAAAAGGTGCGCGTGTAATTTTTGATATCGTCAAGCGACATCCAAGCTACTTCCACGGCATACTCTTCCATCCGCCTGGAAAATGTGGTCATGAATTCATTGTCGCAGAGCTTTAGTACGTTTGGGGCTGAATATCGTGATTGATGGATTGGTTCTCTTCGTCGAGCTTCACTCTTTGACAGCGGACATGGTTTATGAGGAAACCCGGGCTGGTGGTGTATCCATACACACGCAACAGTTACATTACTCCAGTAGTTATCTCACGTATGCCTTATACGCTAGCTCTGGAATTGAACAGTGTAGTTAAATGTCAAAATCATCATGTTCGAGTCAAGGGCTTTGTTCCTCATCCATTCCAAATTTTGCTTTTGAGATGATTGCGATAAACATGACTTCTAGACGACTCCTGGTAAGAGTCTCTGAAAATAGAGAACACAACGCCCATTTTCCCGCCTCATTACAGTGACTGCATATTAACGACATTGGTCGGAATCTCCAAGACTATTTCTGTTCAATTAGCCGAAGCTTCGCTCTAGGCAAAATCAATCAAGCACGGGACCTCATGACTGCAGCTTCTGCTTTGATCCGGCCTTGGCAGCCGGGTTTAATCAGGAACAATACGAAGTCGTCAACATAATCCGACTCTTGGCTGCAACGTAACAAGTCTATATACCCAATCGAGGTTGAGCGGCATCTGTCAAATCCTAATCCAGTGCGTGCCCCCGCACTTTGTATATTAGGGGGTTGCGGCTCATACGTCTCTGGTACGCACTGCCGATTGGCTCCCCGCCTGCTGCTCACTTGCCTCACTTGAGCCTATTATAAGCTTAATGAAGCGTTCAGATGAAGCCAACGGAATAGCCATTATACTTCTGGTTAGTGTGGGCCACTGATAGAGTGAAGGAAGGCAATGCCTCCAAAGTCATACAACGCAAGCCTGGTGGCTTGACAACTCCAGCGGGACTGTATCCGGGACACCAGTTGTACCGCGTGGGTTACTCTCTCGACGATGAAGTTTCCACAGCGCCACTCGATAACTGAGCTTATAAAACGTACCACCTTTGTCAGTTCTCTGCCTTCTGTCTTCATGTCCTGCATCCATCTCCTCTTAGAAACTTGTCTTTATTCTCAGAGGCTTCAAGATGCCTTCCTTTAGAAGCTTTACACTGTACTGTCTGGGCGTTGTCGCGCACCTTACATCAGCGTGGCCAACTCAGCACCCCGAACATGTCCAGATACTCACCCGAGCAGAGCAGCTCGCCACCGAATACGACTATGTAATCGTCGGCGGTGGCACCTCTGGCCTGACAGTTGGTGATAGACTCACAGAAGACGGCAAATGTTAGTTTCCGAGCCACGATATGTCTTCAACCTCCAGTATATAGATTCGGACTAATACAGACAAGATACCGTCCTTGTGGTCGAGTATGGCTACTACGATAGTCAGACTGGCATGAACCCACGCCGCATGTTCAATATCACGTCCAAGCCGTGCCCCAATCTCAACGGCCGAAGCTTTGACGTGGGTATCGGATGCGTTGTCGGCGGTAGTTCTTCTGTCAATGGCCAAGTCTTCCTCAGGGGAACTAGAGATGAGTATAATGCCTGGAAAGAACTTGGTGGACCCGGGTCTACCTGGGACTGGGATAACCTCCTACCATACTTCAAGAAGGTGAGCTATCAGGCGAGCGTATGAGGACTATGAGATTGACGGATCATAGGGCATCACCCTCGCCCCTCCCGACGCAGCTCAAGCTCGAGAGTATAACATCACCTACGACACCAAGTACTGGGGTACAACCTCCAAGATCTATGCTGCCTTTGGCAAGGGCCCTCTTCAATCCGTCTTGAGTAGGTCCCAATCCACATGAACCCTTTCCCGCCACTCACAAATCACTGAACATATCCCTAAGAGATCCTCTACAACGCCATGGCAAAGATGCCCGGCATGACCATCCCCGTAGACAGCGGTGCCGGCGAGGCCGGTCTCTACTGGTACCCAATGTCCCAAGATCCCGTCCAATTCCAGCGCTCCTATGCTCGCACCGGCCACTGGGACGGCCTCAACCGCGCAAACTACGAGATGATTGTCGGCGCCAAGGTCAACCGAATTCTCTTTGACGGCGACACCGCCACGGGAGTGCAATTCGTCTCTCGCAATAACACAGGAGCTTCACCTGTGCAGATCAAAGCCCGTCGAGAGGTCATCCTCGCCGCTGGCTCCGTACACACACCGCAGGTCCTCATGCTCAGCGGCATCGGGCCCCGCGCACACCTAGAGCAGGCACGCATCACGGTCAAGGTCGACTTGCCGGGCGTCGGATCTAACTTCCAGGACCACAGCTACATCCCAAGCATCTCCTACCAATGGGGCATCCAACCTCCCAACTCGGGCGGAGGTGGCTGGGGCGGCGGCGGTCCGCCCTCCCTTGCCTCCATGATCGGCCTGCCCGTCGTCAGCCCTGACAAGTTCGAGACCTTAGCCAAGGCCTTTGAAGCACAAGACCCCAAATCCCACCTGCCCTCGACCTACACCGCCGAGCAAATTGAAGGCTACAAGCAGCAGCAAAAGGTCTGGGGCAGGCTCATGCGCTCCAAGAACGTCGTCTTCTCCGAGATGATGATGTACGGCCCCGGCGGCTCTGTGCAGAACCTGCACTGCATGTCGCGCGGCAACATCCTCCTCAACACGGCGCAGCCCGAGAGCGAGATGATCGTCGACTACCGCGCCGCGTCCAACACCATCGACCTAGACGTCATGGCGGAGATCATCAAGTTTATGCGGCGGTACATGACCACCGGCGACCTCGCGCAGTACCAGGCACGCGAGACATCGCCTGGCACGGGCGTCTCGTCCGATGCGCAGCTCGTGAGCTGGGCCAAGGGGCAGATTATCCCGTCCGTGTATCATCCTGTCGGTACCACTGCGAAGATGCCGCGCGAGTGGGGCGGCGTGCTGGATGAGAACTTGTTGGTGTATGGTGTGAAGAAGTTGAGGATTGTTGATGCTTCGATGATGCCTACGACTGTTGGTGCGACCACGTCCATGACTGTTTACGCTGTTGCTGAGAAGGTAAGTTCCGGGTGTTTCCAAGTCCATGGAAATATTGCTAATAGGAATTAAAGGCCGCCGATATGATCAAAGCGCAGACACAGTAGTTTGGTGTTGGCTTGGTGGGAAACTTTCGAAGGGCTTGGTGGAGAGACATGAGTGAATTCGGGACTTAGGCTGCGGTCATTTTAGCACATTCATTACTTTTACATACCACACAGCTAACTCGTCTTTCGAGCCGGCTATCGGAGGAGCGTATTATATGCAGCCTTCCATTGAGTAGTTGATCTATGACAAAACTTCTAGTTTCATTTAATGTGAAGCTGTTCTAGTAACTAACTGTTCAAATCAAAGGCAAAGGGGGGATGAATTGAATGATGTTTCGACGGGCATCGCCATCTCAATGCTACAGCCGGTGCCTTCTACTAAAGCTCCTCGGACACCCCTTTCGCTCTCGTCAGCTTATCAAATGACACATGATTGATGACAAACATACCTCCTTTGGCGCTGTCCTGGCTCTGCGCCTCCTCCCACTCCTTCATCCAAGCCTTGACAAACTCGACTTCCTGGGCCTGGACGTTCTTGATGGAAGCAGGCGGGAAGTTCGGCGTGACATCCTCCGGCTTCAACCCGTTCTCATCCCAGTGATGAACACCCAGATCGATAAGAAGGAAGGGCTCGCTGGTCGTCGACTTGCGGTTCAGGCCGATTTTGTGGGGCGTGGCAGCTCTCCAGGGGTCAGCTTCGCCATCGACGATCGCGACGCGCGGGTAGCTGAAGTTGAAGCCGCCGTGCTTGTTGATGGCGTCTACATTGGGGGGGTCATTGATGTTGAAAGCTTCGCGGCAGTAGATGGAGCTGTAGTCGACGTCGATGAGGCGGGAAATGAGGGGAAGCTGGTCATCGGGCACACCCGATCCGGTCTGGAAGTAACCCCATCTATGAGAGTTGTTAGCAATAGATCAAACTCCCTGGCTTGAAAACACTCACTCTGTGCAGACCTGGTAGATCCAGCTGCGGCCCGGACCTTGGCGAAGAGAGGTGTTTTTGTGCTCTTCACTGTTGCGGCTTGAGAAGCACTTGACCAAGTCTCCGCTTCTGCAACCCTTTTTGACGTAGTCCTTTACATAGCCGACATAGTTGAGCATGCGATTCGTCAACTTCGCGTCTGCGCCACTGGCGGAGAGCAGTTCGTCCACCGACGACTTCAGATGGCGAGTGCTGCCAAAGAGAACACTGTATGAGCTGACAGCGGCGCAGTACGTTCCAAAAGCGGTGGTATCCTGGGCAGGATCCCAGTTGGTCGACTGCAGCCCCGAAATGCCGTAAGACAAGGTGCTGGCGAAATCATCATCTTGAAGAGGGCCCAGGCCAAAGAGATCCTTCAGCTGGCTCTTGTCAGAGTCAGACTTGCCCAGCAAGATCTTGTCGACAACCTCGGTGAGCTTCTGGGTCGTCTCGGCACATTCACCGGGCGAAAAGAGCCTGGCACCTTCGTAGTACTCCCAGTAGTCGATGATAGCTGCCGTGACACCCGACGACGAGATGCCGCCCCAGAAGACCTCAGGGTAGAGCTTTCTGAGGAAGGCGGCAAAAGCTCCGGCGTATGAACCTCCGTAAGCAAGGTACGCAGTTCCAGGTGCGGTAAGGTTCAAGTCCTCGTGACCAGGGAAGCTGATGTGCTTCGCAAAGTAGGCCGTATCGGCGAGAGCCTGGTCGGTGCTCAAGAAGCGGAGGTTCTCAGTGCTGAGATCGGGCACAGGGAAACTCTTGCCATAGTAGCGATGTTCAAGAACGACTCCGACGCCACCGGTGGCCTTGGCAAGGATGCTAAGGATGCCGTGGTCGAGGAAAGGCAGACGCTCCTTGGCGTCCGTCTCTCCGGCCGCGAGGATGATTACAGGGCCTCCCTTGCGGTAGTGCTTCGCGTCGAACCAGTAGCGGAGGTCAAAATACTCATCCGAGTGCGGTTCGTAGCGGGAGTCATTGTGGAAGTGGTCAATGGGGACGGAGAGGTTGTACTCTGGGTACTGCTCCGCAAAAGAAGCCGAGGCAATTCCCGCCTGAGACTCAGACTCAGCCCGGGCAGACGATTGCAGCGCGTTCCAAGCCTCGTGGCCCGCGAGGTGATGCGGACCAAGTCCGGCGGCAACGGCCCGGACCGCAGCCAGGACAAAGCAAGCTCCGGACTTCCAATTCGTCATGTCGCCGTCGTGTGATGGGGAAACCAATGATGTCCGTCCCGCAGTTGGAGGCGGCGCCGAGTGTTGTTGTGACTAAAGTTGTGGAACCCGGCGTGGTTAGTGCGGGGTCATTTGTGTGTGAGATCGCGCCCGGGCCCATAATTCTTCGGGCTTACCTGAGCAGCTGTTGCTCTCACTGAATCTCATTTCACTCTCACAGTCAGTCAGTCTACGGTATGAGGATTTGGAAGATCATCAAATAGATCCACTTGAAGACATGTTTTTATCCTTTTCAACTAGGCAAACTTACTCTTGGTTGACAGGAGCACGAGCAGTAAAAGTGAGAAGGGCGTCACCACTGCAGGCTTCATTCTAGACTGGCTAGGTAAGGTAGCTAGATGATCAGATGCCCTTGAATACGACGACTTCGAGGGTAAAAGACACCATGGACGGTTTTTGGTTCATTGAAAGAGATTCCCGCATCAATCCAAGCCATTTGGCTGAACCTCCACTTGAGTCTGCCGGTTGAGTCACTCGCCGCAGACCCGGCGTAATACGCTTGGCCCGTAAGCTGTCAGCCCACGAGTGCTTCAATCAACCCAGCAATCTGATGAGAGCACGCAGCTATCTTATGAAGCTCCTCCAACCGATCTTCGGGGATTAGGCAAATCCCAAACAATCCATATTCAATAGAAATACGACGACCTCGGCGTGAGATGTATGTCCTTGGCTTGAGTCAGTAGCCCACCTTGAAAGTACCTTTGGCGAAGCTTGGAGTTCTGGTCCATCGAGAATAGGGGATGGAATTCTCTTCGAGCCCGCAATGCTCTGATGGTATTCTCTATATATGAAATCCTCATTTGGTTCATGCCACGCTCCTCGAGAGAACTCATCCTCATTCCTGAAAATGGCAGCTCTAGACCTTTCAATATTGACCAAAAAGACACTTGCTGTCTCTCGCGGCTTCATCTACACCTACTACACCTCGCCCGCTCACAACTCCAAGCCCACTCTCCTCCTCTTTCACGGCTGGCCTGATACGGCGCGCCTCTGGGCCGGTCTCACGAACAATTACCTCATCCCGCATGGCTACGGCGTCGTGGCCCTAGATAACCTCGGCTTCGGCGATACGTCAAAGCCCACCGATCCAGAAGACTACGCATGGCACCGTCTCGCAGCGGACGCCATCGAAATTCTCGACGCCGAGGGCTTGATCAAAGTCATCTCACTCGGCCACGACTGGGGCTGCCTCATCGTCCAGCGGTTATACAACTTTCACCCCGATCGCATCTGCGGTCTCATCACGTTGAGCGTCCCGTACATGCCGCCCACCGGCCACTTTGATCTCGAAACGGTCAATGAAATGACGAGAAATGCATTCGGCTTCGGCATCTTTGAGTACTGGCACTTTTTCCTCGCCGAGGACTCGGTAGACATCATGAACACAAACCTCGAGTCCGTGTATAGCGTCACATTCGGCGACCCGCACACCTGGCTCGAGAACTGGTGCACGCCCGGCAAGATGCGCGAGTTCATTACCCGAGGCCGCACGCAGCCGACGCTACCGTTCGCTACACCGGAGCACAGGGCCGACTTTATGGAGCGTTACGGCAACGATGGTGGGTTTGCTGCGCCAAGATGTGTTTACGTTGTGACCAGGTCCGGGATCTCAGCCAGGTCGGAGAGGATGCTGGACGAGGAGGTGAAGACGGTTCGGGTGCCGGTGCTGTACTGGGGCGGGGAGCAGGACTACGTGTGCAGGCCTGAACTGCTTCAGCAGAGCATCGCTGCTGGCGTGCTGCCTGATGTCAAGAGTGTCACGAGAGAAGGCGGACATTGGGCTTTTCTTGAGAAGCCGGTTGTATTTGGAGAGGATGTGATGGGATGGTTGCAAGAGACATTTGACAGTTGCTCTTGAGTCGGGAATTCGAAAACAGGGATAACCCCGCCGACAGCTTCACAAACAACTCTCAATGCAATTCATCGAAAGCAAACTACAACCACAACAAAAAAGCAAAAGATTAATCACCACGAGCTGTGATGATGAGGTTACTGGACGATCAGGGGATTGAACCCTGGGCCTCCCGCAGACACCAGGTGAATGCAAAGCGGGCGCTCTACCACTGAGCTAAACGCCCTGTACTGGGTGCGACGTTTGATGCCGCTGTGGGATGCTCACGATGCTCGCAAGTGGGTTTGAGAACCCCGCCAGACACAGCCGCATGCATGCGGGCGGAGACATAAGCCACGATATTAGTAAGAGAACCGAGTTCACTCAAACTCGTGTCAAGTCTTTCAGGACCGGCTTCTCTCGTTAGTATAAAGGAGGAAAGAGTAGAAGGCTTTAGAGGTAAGGCAAGTAGCTTACGCTTCATGATCGAGATGAATGTAAACAAGTCAATTGATGCACAGCTACATCATGGAGGTGATGTGAGTTCATCTCAGGCTCGGGTAATTCGGGGGGCTTCCTATTGGTGGGCGGGCCGGCGAAAAGAAAAAGGCTACTTAGAACTGCAGACGCACTTTGCTTCCATCACCGAGCGGGGCTTTAGCTCCGATCCTCCCCTTGGTGTAGTTGGTTCATCACGTTCGACTGTAATGGTTACATTGTCATCGAAAGGTCTCTAGTTCGATTCTGGAAGGGGAGAACAAATCTTTTTATTTCTTTTGAGTGGATGTTGGTTGAGTGATTCTTTTTGTGGTTTGCGTGAGTCTATTTATTGAATTATCTTTTTTAGTACTCATGGCAACTCCTCGATGGACATTGCAGAATTGGCAGCTTCCCTTACACATACTATCGAAGACGCTCCTTCCTTCACGACCGCTCTCCAATACCACCGTCAACATCCGCCCCCTCGCTCCTCGCCTTCTTAATTGCATCTCTTGCCTCTTGCTGCTCCTTCTTCTTCCTATTTGGTAGGTTAGTTATCTCATTCACTTGAATTGTCCATATCAACCGTCCATCACTCCAAGCAGGGGAATGAATACTCACTCCTCAATCCCACTCCCAAACTCCACATTGACAACCTCCTGCCCCGGCACCTTTTGCGTACCACTCTTCCTCTCAACCGCATCAGCAACCTTTCCCTCCGCCAGCGTAGCCATCTGCTCGGCCTCGACGTTGGGGTTCTCCAGCTCTTTTCCTCTGCTGCCCTCAGTCACGTACGCGGTATTCCGCCTCTCCGTCTCGTCCACGGGGCCGGAGGAGTGCACGCCTGCGCCCAGCGAACTCGGCGTCGCGTCGTCGACGGAGCGTGATTGAGATTGCGGGAAGGGCGTGCGGCCTAGCACTGCGTCGCGCGCGGCGGTTTCGCGGTCGGTGGCATCACCTTGAGCTGCTGCGTTTTCGGCTGGGGTGCGGGTTGTCGGGTTCGAGGCTGTTTTGTAGGCTTCTGATGTTGGGGGTTGGGGTGGTGCTGAGGATGACATTTTTGCTGTGATGTGAGGCGAGCTGGTTCTTGGGGTTATGGGTTTCTTGGGTGTAAAGTATAATGATTAATGTTACAACGGTAAGATGCGTGTCTGAAGAACTCTGAATACTATGAGTTTAAGTATTTGCAGTGAAATTCCGAGTCGCAAAAGAGTGTTTTGGAGTGAGCTCGAGAGCTCCAATGACATCGGTGACAGGTCGATGACGTCGGCGGGCAGCCGTGGATCGACGCTTAGTCTCTCCCATCTCCGTCATCGTAAACCCGACATCAACAATTCTCTTGTCACCAGCTATTGTCATGGAATGTCTTACACGATAAGGCTACTCTCGCCGGTAAGTACTCGGCGGCGGTGTTTCCGCATCCCGGCCCGTCCACCTCTTGGATTGTGATTGAAATCTCCGGCTTGCCAGGTGTCGGGGCCCGCGTCTGGATCCGGAGCCGATGTAAGACAACAGCACGCTCACCGTCGATGTCTACCGGGCGTTGTGTTTGCCCCGAACTTGCTTGGGGCATTGCTGAAGTTCGACCGAGATATGGCTGTGTTATTCGCATCATACTTGAAAGGGTACTTGATAGACATCGATACCACTACTTTGCAGTACGACTTCAGCTCATCATCATCCAACTGTTAGTCGAGCTTAGAGAGCTCAACTCACTCTGCCACATCTTGCATATTCTAAATGAAGAATCAATCAGGTCCCGCATAGCACACACTACCTTTCGCACAAGATTCATCTGAAAGCCAGCTCGAACCAAAGCCTCGCGATGAATACCACAACGGTTCCCATCTGTTTAGCCACAGACAATGCAACCTCCAACTCATCCCATCTCCGCAAACCATCTCATTCCAAATGCCAACGCCGCCCAACTCTCATTGGTCTACCCCGCCCATCGACACTGAAAGCCAAGACACTCGTTACCCCAACAGCGTGGAGTGCGGTGCTTGCAGCTTGACCGGACGAGGGGGACGGAGAAGCACGGCTCCGATTCGGCCTCGACATGTGCCGCCGAGCTCCCGCGACCCGCGATTTGCCCGTTTCTACCGGTGGTCGTCCCGTCTTTGCTCTCGAGATCGAGATTGGCGTTGGCCCCCGCAAAATTCATCGACAACCCAATTGGAGAATCCGAATTGCATAAGGTATGGTGTGATGTCGCGCAAACTTTCGCCTCTTCCACGGCCCGCGCGCTGGTGGTGTGGTGGTTGATGTCGGAAGGGCGTATAAGACATGCCCAAGACCCCTCTTCGACCCCGCGATCGAAAATGTTGTAGAGGTAGTAAACAAACTTCTTCCTTTGAAGTGTTGAGACCAGTATCGGAAGAACTCCAGCAATGGCACCATCCGCAACAGAGACAGCCGCCAAGCAGGTCGAGGACCCCAAGGCCAAGAGTGTGCCCTCAAAAGAACAACCAAAGGAGGCAGTATACGCAGACGACTTTCCGCCCCTGGATGAGGAGCTCCCGGAAGTACGAACAGGCCATAGGGAACCCCTCAAAACGAGGGGGGTTCTCGATCAGTTCGAGCACTTTGAAGTGACGCCCGTCATCGGCCGCGAGTACCCGACCCTCGATCTCAAGGAGCTGCTGCGCGCGCCCAACTCTGACGAACTCCTCGGAGACCTAGCAATCACCAGTGAGCAGCGCCCTCCACTAAGAGACTTGACCCACGCTAAAACAAACCTACCACAGTCTCGCAGCGCGGTGTCGTATTCTTCCGCAAGCAGGATAACATCGACAACGACCTCCAAAAGGAGCTCGTTCAACGCCTCGGCGAGCTTTCCGGGAAACCCTCGACTTCGAAGCTCCACATCCACCCCGTCAACAACTCGGGGCGCGGCGATACAAAGGATGACGAGATCAGCGTCATCTCGTCGGCGCAGGCCAAGAGGCTGGGCATACACCGTTTCCTGAACTATACCAAGAAGCAGACGCAGAGGTCGCAGTGGCATTCGGATATCACGTTTGAGCCCGTGCCGAGCGACTATGCGCTTTTGCGTCTGACACAGCTGCCAAAGACAGGAGGAGGTAACCACTTGCGGGTGATGGTTAACAGTATTGCGTACACTTGTACTGACGAAACGTAGACACGCTCTGGGCCTCGGGCTACGAAGTATACGACCGGATATCGAAGCCGCTCCAAAAGTTCTTCGACGGCATGACAGCCACATACGCCCAACCAGGCTTCAACGCAGCAGCTGAGAAGAACGGCTTCAAGCTCTACTCCGAAGCGCGCGGCGCGCCCGAAAACGTCGGCGAGCTCCTGGAGGCCATCCACCCGGTGATCCGCACGAACCCGGTAACAGGCTGGAAGAGCGTCTTCGCCGTGGGCCTCCACGTGCAAAAGATCAACGGCCTCTCGGACGAGGAGTCGAAGCACTTCCTCGACTGGTTTGTGCAGCTCATCATCGAGAACCACGACCTGCAGGTGCGACACCGCTGGCAGAATCCCAACGACGTCGCCATCTGGGATAACCGCTCGGCCTACCACGCCGCGACGCCGGATTACATCGTGGAAGGCCTCGGGGAGAGACAAGGGTCTCGTGCCGTGAGTCTCGGGGAGAGGCCGTACTTTGACCCTCAGAGTCAAAGCAGACGGGACGCCCTGCGTGCCGAAGCCATTGCTGCTTTGAAGGCGGATTACAGCTCATGAAGGTTGTTTCCGGAACCAAACGACTTGTTTCTCTGGATGGTCGTGCTCTTGAGCTTTGGTATGAGGGACTAGAGCACGATGGGCTCACTTTCCTACTCGGGGAGCAGTTTACCGTAGCAGTCAAACAATGATTTTCCCCAGAGAAGAGGAAGAAGCGGTTTCAGTCTGCCCTATCGTGATTCGGGAGTGACTCCCGACGATCTTTCAGCTGTGCCTGTATCAAGTAGACTTTATCCCCATTTAGGGGTTGAGGATAAAAAATCAGACGAGGTCGCCAGCACGAGACTTCTGAGACTGGACCCTCCCATCGGTTCTCTTTAGAGTTCAGAGCCAATCTCAAGACCGTCACATCCGCTGGTTAGACATGGCACGGGCGGCACACTCAGACCCTGAGAACGTCAGCCGGATGATCTTCCTGCTTCTTCATCTTCTTCTCTGCATAGAAGGACCTGTTTCCTGTCGACTAGGCAGTCGGGCCAAGGTCCCGATGCATAGGTACTGCTGACTGTCGCAGCCGTCCCCGTCTTCTGCCCTCCGAGCTCGACTCGGCCGGCTGGCGGTGCATTGAATCATTCTGCTGTTCGGCAACGCGTAGATCATACGCAGAGCTCGAGTCGAGTGGTTCAGACGGCGATCCAGACCTTTTGCGACGTGGGCTTGACGCCAGACGCGCGCGTTTCAAAGGACCTCTGAGGGTCTTTGGTAAACCGCTCGAGTCATCTCTACTCTATAGGCATTCTTCTTTATCGTGGGATGGAAGATGCCGTTTTGACATTGGCCCGGCGGCCATATTGAAGCTTTGAGGGGTACTATACGAGGTGGTATTGGCGCGCCTTGACGTGAGGTTTTGTTCTGCTCGGGTCGTTTCTCGTTTCTGCACCATTGTCGGATCAGAAGAGGTCAATGTTCATGTCTAGTCGAAGCCAGCGCTTCTCAAAGTGGATCTGTCATTGCAATTATCGCCTGCGTCGTAGGAAGACGTGGGCCAGCAAAGGACGGTTCGATGCTTGGCCACTCCATCCATAAGATTTCGAGGATAGAACAATGAGTGGCTGGATAGGCTTGTCTTCCCCTCCACAGGCACGGTTGCTGGGGGGCGGCAGTATCCCTGTGACAGCAGCCAGCAGCCAGAAGCACGTAAGCGGTTTATCAATCTCCTACGGCTGGCGTGGGAGAGTCGGTTTGGGACAGACGAGCACCGATCCCCTGGTGGTCCCTCCGTGGGCCAGTCTTAGTCGGCAGAACCGACATGGGTGAGGGTTGTGAGTCGTGACTTTCCACTAGGTATTAGTCTGTCATTGTCAAAGTGTCCAACTGGGAACCAACGATGAGCGAGTTCTCCCGAGCAGAATGCGGCGAGAGTTTTGGGGGAAATGTTGTAGACGCCTTGGATGGCACCATGTCCGGATGCCAACGCCGTATCCGTACATTAGTCTACATGATGGAAAATTAAGCTCACAGAGACGCGTCGATGAGACGGCGTTGGCTGTGCTGATATCGCAATGGCAGGAATCAGCCAAGCGTAGCGGCAACTGTAAATCGTGTGGCTAGTACTCCGTCGGTGTTCGTAGACTATCGTAGTAAGCTATAGCCTTTGAGGATGAGGCAGAATACGAGGCGGAAAGTCTCAGTGGGCAATCTTCATGTCGCTTGTGCCGTGACTTACTTTATTCGGGAGCTTATTGAGAAATGAAAATGAGGACCGGAAGAGGAAAGGATGAGTAGATGAAAATTGAACAAGGCAAATTGGGAAGAAATGAAGATTTCAAGATTGGCAACCTCGAACAAGCTGGTAATGAACCATCTGCTACTTCCAATGTGATGGTATTCGTACGGCGATACGTACAGTGCTTACCAAATCACACACTTCCTATGAAGTACTTCGTAGGAACCTGAGGTAAGGCCCAGCCGCCCAAGTCAGTGTTATTTTTGGGGAGACGACGGGTCGCTGCAATCCAGCCAGATACGTCCCGAGACAGCCCAAAGAAGAGGGGGGAGACCCCTGGACGCACAGTGTCTCGCCTGCCGCTTGTCTTTTCTTCAGGTAAATTCGGCAATGTCTCACCTCTGGGCCTCTCTGGCTGGCAAGGTCCTCCCTCACTTTCACCATGAACTCACTCACTCTTCAGGTCGTTCTCACTCATGCATTCGTCACTCACTCGCTCGCTCATCTGACCTGCCCACTCACTCACTCACTCACCTCCACTACTCACGGTGTTATCCGTCCCATCACCTGATCTTAGCACGAACACTTCTCCCATCGGCACACCATCCACGTCCTCTTGCTTGACCTGTGCCCATCTCACAGCGGCTCAAAGTCCAATGTATTTCAGGCCTGCCAGACGACCCAAGCGTGTACGAGTAGAGTTCGACAAGGCAAGCAGAGAAAGTCAACTGAACCGACGACTCTATATACCCTCCTCTTCGATCTCCCCCCCATGTCGGACCCTGTGGATTGCGAGCCGGAGCTGAAACGCTCTCACCACGCAAGGCCGTTGTCACCCCTAGGCCTGCCCGCACCAAAAATGGTCCGAGAGGGAGAGTCTCTTACAGAAAGGCCGCTCCTGGCCGGCCGAGTGGTCTCATGCCTGCTCTCTGTCTTCTACAGCCTGCTCGACTACCGTAACTCTGCTGATCTGGCCTTGGCTTCGACCCGAATGCCTGGGAAACTATCGTACCTGTCTCTCCTAGGATGGCCCTCGCGATAGACGACGACAAAGTTGTTGTCGTCGCCGCCCGTCTGACGCGTCCAAACTCCATGTCCCGTCGGTAAGAATATCTCATCTGTCCGGTCTAGCTAGTCCTCTATAATTCATCGGCATTCCTCGAGCTTGTCCGCGAGTGGGAATACAATGAGCGAAACAGTGGTGTCCTTACGATTACCTCGGCACATTTACCCGCCTAAAGACTCGGCGACGCTCATAATCAGTCCTCCAATATTGAAAGGGTGAGAACATACTCCAGGCCTCCTCATCAGTCACCACTTCACTCAACGCACCAATCGCACGCATCAAGACAGACCAGGCCAGACTGAAAGATCGACTGCCCCTCAACACGGCCCGGACATGACACCACGACCACCAACATGTAACCAAACCGGCACCCATCATCACAAACCCCCTGCCAAAACATCCTTGAACCGCCAGAGCCCAGCGTGGCCAGTGACCAGTCATCGCACAAGATATTTCCGTACCCTGGTTGCTTCTCTCCACCGCCTGCAACCACTTCAGCCGCGGCCATATTGGTTCAAGGGCCGGCTATCCAAACTCCAACCAATGCTCTGGCCTGAGTGGCCTTTGCCCACCCCCGTCTCAGTGGGACACTCTCCCGAAAATCTGGGGCTGCCGGCGGCTTCCAAGGCCGCAGAGACCAGAATGCGGCCACCAACGGGCAGAGAGCTCTCACAGTGAGAGAGAGAAGAAAGGACATGGGTTCCTGCGTCTGTCGCCCGTCACAGATTCTAATCCACTTACTTGTCCACCCCTGGTTCATCAACCCCTGGCCCGGTGCGCGGCCACATCGCGGCCACTTCTTGTCTCCCACACACTCTCTCCCCGGCCCCCTTCGCTCTCAGTCCGGCAGTCTGCCTCGTCCCCTTCATGGACCTGGTCGAGATCAACAGGGGTTGGTTTGTGTTGGTGGCTGTATGGCCCTGCCGGTATAAGGTCGAGTGACCCGCCATTTCGTCTCCCCCCTTTGAGACATCTTGGTCGTTTCCTTTGTCGCCTTTTGGATCTCGGAGCTTTTCATCATCTTAGTATCGACATCAGCAATGACGAGCTAGATCTCGCATTTGTCGACGGGTTATCTGCAAGTGCGAGCCACCGGTGGCGTACGAATCGATATCACAGCAATAATCCAAAATAAAAAACTCACCTCGAAACACCGACGTCTCTCACTCTTTCTCAAGTCGTACGAACAACTCATCAAAATACCGCCTCAGAACCATCTTTCGCCAAGTCGATCGACCATGTACTCATAAGCAAGTACATCTCACATCGAATCCAGCCTCTACGGCAAACCACCCTCAAACGCAACAATGCCGCCCCGGGCCTCTGGCACCGCTCCTTTCTTGGCCCTCCGCTCCGTTCACCTTGGTGCCTCTGCCTCTGCCCCAGCTGCAGCGGCAACAACAACCGCAGCAGCAAACACTACGATCCCGCCCTGGCTTGTCCTCCCGAGACCCGACCCGAACGAGTGGAATGGCGCCTCCGTCGTGCCCGTGGCCGTCCTCTCGGCCGTCGTGGCCACCGCCTTCGTTGCCATGCGCTTCTACACCCGTGCCAGGATCCTCCGCTCCGTCAAGTGGGAAGACTGGGCCATCCTCGCCTCCCTGATCTTTGCCATCGCCACCAGCGGAGGCATGATAACTCGTGAGTCAAAATCATCATCATCACGGAACTAGAAATCAAAGTCAACTAACAACCCCAGAACTCAACTTTGGTCTCGGCCAACACCTCTACTACTCCTACCCCTCCTTCGCCGCCTACATCGAAGCAGGCATCTTCACAAACCTCTTCTACTCCGTCAGCCTCACTCTGACAAAGATCTCCATACTCCTCCTCTACATCCGCATCCTCACCTACGACTCCATCCGTCTCCTCGGCAAGATCCTCCTCGGCGTCGTCGTCCTCTCCCACGCCTGGATCATCGTCAGCATCCTCACCACATGCGTGCCCCTCCACTCCGCCTGGGACTACGACCCCTTGAACCCGCCCGTCTACTGCCACCCCATCTCCGTCTTCTGGGGCAACGCATGCCTCCACCTCGCCACCGACTTTCTCATCTTCCTCCTGCCTCTGCCCGTCATCCACACCATGCGCCTCCCCCGCCGGCAGAAGACGGGTCTGTACATCATCTTCTGCCTCGCGTTCCTGTAAGCCCTCCTCTGTCTTCGAAGCATTCAAAAGACAAAAACCAAGAAAGACTAACACCACCCCCAGCGTCTGCGCAATCTCCATAGTCCGCCTCGTCCGCCTCTTCCACACAGACGAGACCCCCCTCCAAGTAATGGACGTAACCTGGTCCGCCGTCCGCATCGCAAACCTAACCTGCGTCGAAGTCCACGCCGCCATCGTAACAGCCTGCCTCACCACCCTCAAACCCCTACTATGCCGCCTCTTCCCCCACTTCATGGCCTCCGCAGCCGGCAACAACACAGCCGGCGGCGGCGGCATCATGTACAGCTCCTACAACTCCTACGCCGCCGCCGCAGCAGACGCCGCCCGCCGCGACGAGTGGGAAAAGAACTTCTCCCACGGCGACCCGGAAATGCACTACCAGCGTCCCTTGACTATCGGCACAAAATCGAATCGCCCGCGCGTGCAGAGGGATACCTTTGCCAGCTTGGACGACCTCAAGTTCTCCCCGTACGAAGAGGCGGAGCACGTCGACGTGTTGACGGCGATGAAACCCGCTGCGCCGGCAAGGAGCAGCGTACGGGGCGGCAGCCGAGGCAGCCGTGACGAGTTCCGGTTAGCGGAAGTTGATGCCGGTGCGCCGTTGCGGTGGCCGTCCACCCTCGTGAGGAAGTCGAGGCTTCAGCCGCCGCAGGGCGCAAAGACGCGCGGGTCGATGCTACGGTGCGGTCCATGCGCTTCAGCTCTGCGCCCATGCCTGAGAATCGGATTCAATGAATTGTATGTATAACAGGAAATGGCAAGGCGTTCATATCGAGGCGAAGACCTCGGGGAAGGCATTTTAGCAGCGAATTATTTATATTCGCCAGTCGCACAGCCGACCAAGCAACAGAGAGCCACTGCGTTTTTTGACAGCACCAGCATCACATACTTCAGACGGCGTTGGAACGGCAAAAAACATGCGTGGGGAGGGTATCATGTGTTGTATACCCATTCAGCGCAGGGCGCGGCTGTTCATAGTACTACGAATAATGACATTTTCCCAAAGCCATCAGTCCACTTCCTTATTTTGTGACGCCTGCATTCGCCCACGATCCGTTCCTTGACAATCTAGATTTTTCACTTTGAGGTGGGTGTTAGCAAACCGTGCACTTGTCTCACGACGATGGACTGTATCTTGCTCACCTGCTTCTAAATCAAGCCCCCTTCCTCCACTGTCTCATTGGCATGACGACCTTCTCGTCTGCCTTGTTTGATTATCCTTGCCATCTGCCTACACAGGATTCAAGTATTTTTGGTTTCTTATCAACCATTTGCTTAAGAGATGAGATCGGCCACGTTCATGGGCATCTCATCAATCTGGGTAGAGTAGTACACTAAGAATCTCAGTCAGTATCGCAGTAAGTCAACAGGCCAAGGGCAAACACTCACACTCAATATCCCGCAGAATGCGCACATCTTCGCTAGTAACGAAGTTGATGGCAACACCCTTACGTCCAAAGCGACCACTACGACCGATACGGTGGATGTAGTTCTCACGGTTGCTCGGCAGGTCGTAGTTGATGACCAAACTGACCTGCTGCACGTCGATACCACGCGCCCACACATCGGTCGAGATGAGCACACGGCTGTTGCCCTGGCGGAAGTCCTGCATAATGCTGTCGCGTTCCTTTTGCGGCATGTCACCGTGCATACTGCTGACGGTGAAGTTGGCCTCGCGCATCTTGTCCGTCAACCAATCCACCTTTCTGCGGGTGTTGCAGAAGATGACGGCCTGCGTAATGGTCAGGGTGTCGTAGAGATCGCACAGGGTATCAAACTTCCAGTCCTCCTTCTCGACGGCGATAAAGTACTGCTTCAATCCCTCGAGGGTCAACTCGTCACGCTTGACGAGGATACGAACGGGGTCGGTCATGAACTTGGTCGTCATGTCGAGGACATCGTACGGGAGGGTAGCGCTGACGACGACGACCTGCGTTGCGGGGGGCAGGTATCGGTAGACGTCGTAGATCTGCTCGCGGAATCCGCGGTTGAGGAGCTCGTCGGCTTCGTCAAGAACGAGCATCTTGATGTGGCGCGTGCGCAGGTGACGACGACGGATCATATCGGCGACACGGCCAGGGGTGCCGGAGACGATGTGCTGGCCGTAGTCGAGCTTGCGGATATCCTCGCCCACGTTGGTGCCGCCGATGCAGGCGTGGCACTGGACGTTCATGTAGTCGCCGAGAGCCATGACGACGGACTGAATCTGGGTCGCGAGTTCGCGGGTCGGGGAGAGGACGAGGGCCTGGGTCTCGCGCACCGCCGTGTCGATAACCTGGAGCATGCTGATCGAGAAGGTCGCCGTCTTACCCGTACCGGACTGCGCCTGGGCGATGGTGTCGCGACCCTTGCAGACCTGGACAATAGCGCGGGACTGCACGGCCGAGGGCGATTCGTAGCCATAGGCGTAGATGCCGCGAAGGAGGTTCTCTAAATGTGGGACGTCAGTATGCGCCGTGTCAATGTCATTTAGTGTAGTGATTAGTGATGGACAGCCTTACCCTTGAGGGACATGGACTCAAAGGTCGGGTGGACCGTCACTTCCTTAGAGGTCGAAAACTCCATCCTCTCCTCCGCCTTACGGTCGATTCCGCTTCCTTCCGCCATGATGATGGTCTTGTCGGGTGGTGTGGCGAGTGATGGTGCTGCTTGGACGATTTGTCGCGATGGTGCGTTTGGTGGAGGATGGTTTGCAGGCGGACGGTGCAAGCAAAGTGATGGAAATTTTAGAGGGGCGCGCTGTAGCTTCGACGGCGCGACTGCATGTCAGTGGCCGTAGCGCTGGAAGTCTGTCTTCCGTCCAGTGCCTTTCCAGTGGAGGTTCGAGAGAAGCCCGGGACGGAAGATCTGCGATGCCGACATGGTGGAAATCCGGTCGATTTATCACAGGGTGTCTCTGGTTTCCACAGTGCTCTGCGCAGCTTGCCATCGCAAAAAACCCAAAGCTAACGCGACCTTATTTGGTGGACCACTCACCAGCAAACAAACGTCTTGTCGAGAAAGGCTGCGACTTTGATTTTTCTAAAGCCTCGTCCCCTTCAGCCTCTGCCAGTCCCCCGAGAACGTGCAGCAGCCCAGCTCAGTCCGCTCTCTACATAACCAAGCAGCGCCCGACGGAGACGAACGACGACACAATGGGCGTAATCGAAGAGCAGCGCTACCTCCACGAGGACCTCGAGCGCCTCGAGCAAGGCATCGCAGACCGTATCAGCGAAGAACCAAAACACATTCGCGACCGCCTGAACCGCGACCACGAAATCGGCCAGCTCCTCGACCAGATCCAGTCCCAGTCCGTCAAGCTCCTCGACATCTACCGCGACGCCGACGGCCAGCGCGGCCACGAGATCCAGACCATCGGCACAGGCGACCCCTTTGAGGAGTTCTACAGCCAGCTCAAGACGGCGCGCGAGCACCATGCCAAATACCCAAACGAACAGGCCGAGAACTCGGAGGTGCGGTACCGCGTCAAGAAACCCGACGACGGGGAAGTCATGCCTTACATTGTCGACCGCCTGTTCACGGGCGAGGAAGGCTTCGGCCGCTTCTTTGACCTGCACACCTCCCACGAGGCCTACCTCAACCTCCCCAACGTCAAGCGCCTGTCGTATCTGCAGTACCTCGAGGTCTTTGACAACTTCGCACCAGGCTACGGTGGCCTGAAGCGCGGCGAGAAGCTGACGGATCAGTACTTCAAGTACGTCGGCGAGCTGGCGTCGTACCTCGAGTCCTTTATGCGCCGCACGCGGCCGCTCGAGAACCTCGACAAGGTGTTCCTGGGGTTCGACAGCGACTTTGAGGCGGCGTGGGAAAAGGACGAGGTGTCGGGTTGGCAGAAGGAGACGAGCGGTGGCAGTGGTGGTGCGAACGGTACCGCAAAGGAGACCAGCTCAGCAGACGCCATCTGGTGCGACGACTGCGAAAAGGAGTTCAAGAACGAAAACGTCTACAAAGCACACATGACGGGACGCAAGCACATCAAGGCCGCCGAGGCGAGGAAAGCGCGCCGCGAGGAAGAAGGCGAGGAAGAAACCAGCGGCGGCAGCACAAACAAGGTATCAGCAACGAGGCTGAAGGAACGAGCCGTCGCAGAGCGCGAGTACCGCGTCAAACGCCTCGCGGCAGCAGTGAGCACGGAACGCGGCGACACGCGCGTAAACGTCGAGCGCAGACAGGGCATGACGGAGCGCGAGCGCCAGCAGGAGCTGGAAAACATAATGAACCTGTCGTACTCGGCGCCCGGCAGCGGCATGGCACACCACAACGGCGGCGGCGCGGACGGCGAAGACGACGACGAAGACGGCGAGGACGGCGAGGAGAAGATTTACAACCCGCTGAAACTGCCCCTCGCGTGGGACGGTAAGCCGATCCCCTTCTGGCTGTACCGTCTGCACGGTTTGGGCGTCGAGTTCCCCTGCGAGATTTGTGGTAACTTTGTCTACATGGGCCGGCGGGCATTTGATAAGCATTTCAACGAGGCGAGGCATGTTCACGGGTTGCGGTGTCTCGGTATTACGAATACCAGTCTGTTCCGCGATATCACGAGTATCGAGGAGGCGGTGAATCTGTGGGACAAGATCCAGCGGGAAGCGAAGAAGACCAAGGTTGACGAGGGGAGCGTGGTGCAGATGGAGGATGCGGAGGGGAATGTTATGCCTGAGAAGGTGTACTACGATTTGCAGAAGCAGGGTCTTTTGTAAATGGAGTGACACTACCTTTCTCAGAGTCATGAGGGAAAAGGGGGAAGATGGGGCGTGGTGTACAAGTATTCCAAAGGCGACGGGGAGGCGCGACGATCGTAGAATCGCTGTGGAGATTGTGAAATGTAGATATCAGAAGCACTTACTCTGCGGTTGCGTTCAATGTGAGGGGTAACCAAGATTACAATCATAGATATCTTTGAGGGCCTCTGCATCGATGTTTGAAGGCGACGTGATCCTCTGTTTGGCAAAATCCTAGAGACAGAAAACGGCGGAAACCTTGGCTCTATGTCCAACATCCCTCACATCGGCGAAACTGGAAATTTGCTAAGAAAGGGATGAGTTTGTTCATCGACTTGGAACATGCAGAATGTGCCTCCCCAGGTATACTCGACGTCATCTCTCAAATCTTAAGCCAGAGACTACAAATGCTACACTCATAGTAGATGCAGTGTCCGCCTCAATGCTTCATCTCAGACCTAAAGACTGGCCAGAGCACGAGCAGGCCTGAAACAGAATTGGTCACTTGAGATGATGAAAGCGGAAAATTTGTGTGACTGTTGCAGTATGAGCCATCTTTTTGAGGCTACAATATATGGGTGGTTGTCTATGTGGTGTTCCCCATTCTAAGGGATCTATCTCTTTGTACAGTACCTCCTGGGTGGTTCTTTTTCTCGCTCAAAAACATTCGCTTTCCCCTAGTTGCCCCTGTGTACTTTTTTGTCTTCCCTTTGCGATCTTTTCCTATTGACCGTTTCACCCAAATCCCCAAGTAATCCTGTTGAGGCGATACCCAAACATCGCTGCTGAAATGACAAAAGCCCGCCTGTAGGTAGTATCCTGGTGTCCCAAAAACACAAAGGAAATGGAGCTCAATGGCTGCCGCCGCTTTTCATCCACATTAAGTTCTGTCCTGTAGTTCTTCCCCTGGTGTATAATGCTGGTGTCCATTTGCCGGTACACAAAAAAACATAATCGCTGTTCATCCATTGCTGGATATCTTTCATTCGTCTCCAAAATCGTAAATGACTCTCGATGGTTTATAATCTAGTCCTCGAAAAGGCCAGACATCTCCTCGAGAAGCTGGTCGGCGGTAGGGCGCTCGGCGGCGTCCATGCGCATGATGCGGTTGATGAAGTGAGAGGCTGTGCGGAAGTCGAGAGGCTCAACCTTGCGGCCGACAGTCAGTGCCTTGGCGGCCATGGCCTTGCCGGGACGCGCTCGCTCAAGGTAGGTCTCGGGGATGGCGCCGAAGCGACGAGACTGCTGGCGAAGGACCTCAAAGATGTAGCTGCGGTCGTGGTAGCGAGCGTTGGTAGGGCGGAAGGGGTTGTAGTCGCCGCCGTGGAGAAGGGCGATCATCATGGAGCCAAAGGCCCAGATATCGCTGGCAGTTCCCCAGGGAACCTCCATGAGCACCTCAGGGCTGGTCCAGATGGGAGCACCGATGAGGAAACCCTTGGTAGCTACGTCAGAGTCAACCGAGTAGGAAGCCCCGAGGTCACCGATCTGAACATCGGAAAAGCGAAGGTCGGGGTCAGCCTCAGAGGCCGAAGCGTAGTTGACGAGGATGTTGTCGGGCTTGATATCGGTGTGGACGTAGCCATCCTTGTGGAGGGTGGAGAGGCCACGGAGAACAGCGCGGGCAACGAAGCGAATCTCGCGGTTGGTCAAAGGCTTCTTGATGGTTGCGTTCAAGAGGTGGTCGTCCATGTGCTGGAGCACAATCATCGGGGCATCTTGCTGGATCTCGTCGATGACGGGGCGGAGGAAAGGGTTGCCCTGGAACTTGCGAAGGACGTTGTGCTCGTTCTGGGCTCCGGAGATACCCTGAACACCCTTGACGATGGACTTGTTGCCCATAGGGTTGCTGAGATGATATTAGTGCTTTGCCCCTTTTGAAAGCCTTTGCTTGTGGTATGCTTACGTTGCGATCCAAACGCCCTCACGGATCTTCTTCTGAATGGTGTATCGGCTAGCATTGCCGAGCAGGATCTGGCCGATCTCGAGGGACGGGGTCCCGAAGGCGGAAGTGAGACCTCTTGGGATCATTTTGTTGATGTGTGTGTGTTGGTTGAGAGAATGGATCTCTATCCAAGAAAGGGCTGCGGTAAAATAGTCTTCGGCGGTTTCGCGTCGTCGAAGTTCACTTCTTTATGTGACAGCTTGCAGAGGCTGTCGAAGAAGAAACTGGTCGATAATGGTCATTAGGTGATATATGCCCGATCGAAGTTTGTGGAGAAAGCGTCTAGCACGAGATTCCAGTCATCAGGGTGGAATCTTATCTAGACAAGAGCCGGTTGAAAGTGTCTTAAGATGGGCGTAATCGATGGTCTCGAATCGATGTCGAAGAGGGGAAGACGTAGATACGTAGGTTGAGTTGGTTGTCGGAGTGAGAGTGACAGAATCGAAGCAAGTTGAGTCGGAGGAGCAACGCTTCTTTAACGGGCGGTCGGGTACTTTCAGGCGGTACCTATGGAAAAAAGCCAAGACAACCACCTCAAGGGCAGGCCGCAGACCGCAGGGCAGGGGGCGTGGCGTGGCGTGGGAGAAGTGGGTGGTGTGTGATGGAAGTAGTGGGGGGTGTGGTATGCAGAGAGGGGGAGGGGTCCCGGTCTTCCCACACACCCCAAGAGGCAAGCTTATCAGTGTAGCTACGGAATACGGATATCTGGCAGGCACTTTTTTATCTCCGACTCCTACACTGGTGACTCTGGTCTGTCACTGTCCAGTGTCACCCTGTTTCTCTCTTTCCATCTCTCGTCTTTCTCGGTGTGTGGCACACGGATCACCCAAGTCCCTTCAGCGGCTCTCTCTCAGACCGTCCACACCGTCCCAGTGACTGGAGGGGAAGCAAGGACGAAAGAGTCCAGACTTCTGATTGCAGCGGGATGCGCGAGCCGGACTTGGCAGCGACCGGCAGGGGTGGCGAGGTACGTACTGATATTCGTGTACACTATTCGAACACAGTATTTTGAGTAGCCGTACGGATACCTCATTAGGTCTTTTCTCAGATGGTGTTTGACAAGACGAGACGAGGGGGAGACACGCAGGAGATAGAAAAGATACGTCTCTCTACTATCTACGGATAGAGCCCTGACTCCTCTCGCTCAGGTCAAGTCGCACACAGACAGACGGACAGGTGAAGGTGCCGGCTGGGCATCGAGGGCTGGAAATAGGACGTTAGCAGCTGCCACCATCTCACCACCCTCACCTTACTTCTTCACTCACTATTCAGTAACAAAGCTAGCTATGCGTGCCACGGGTCGAGCGCGGCGGCGGTGAGGCAAATGAGTTCGCTCCAATTCTTCCTAGTTTCAACTTTCAGTGAGCCGGGGGGGGACAGTCACCCGGGTCCAGAATAATCACGGCACCTCCTCCACCCACCATTATGGAAGGGGAAAAAAAAGATTTTTCTTAGTGCGACGGCACACTCACCTTATCCGCCTGCCGCCCTGCTTCATCCACCCCCACGGGTCGTCCTTCTCCTAGGGTAAACGTGCATGGTTGAGGGGGGCCGGACTGTGTGCTGAATGCTGATGGAGGGTGGCCTATCGGTCTGTCGGTCTGTCGGTCTATCGCCATAGAACGTGCAGCGGCCGTGGACAGTAGACTGCGGTCTAGATCACTCCTGGTGCTCACGTTGTCCCTCGCGGCGTGTCGACAGCTTCGAGACAGAAAAGAACCCATCGACAGAGACCAACAGAGAGGGTAACCCAGGAGGGAAGGTCATCTGCGAGCGTCTGCTGGCAGCAGATCCAGGACAGGGAATTTTGGCGTCTCGAACAGCGACAGTGACGGACAGTCCTTCTCCAGCGAGATCCAGGTGCTCCATGATTGACCTTGGAACCCTTGGCCTTGGGATCGGCAAGGATGGACCGTATTTGGAGATGCTCCCAGAATCCCATCATAGGGGTCCCCTCCTCCGGCCCAGGTACGCGCCCACACCCCTCTAGGTCGCGAGTGCTGACTGGCCCTGCTGGCTTTCTTTGCAATCCACGAGGAAACCCTCAGTGACCATCAGTGTGTCCAGGTGGTAGAATGGTTGGCTGGAATGCCGCTGTCACCGAAGGACCGGATACTTGTGTCTGCATCCGTTGCCTGCCCAGGTGGCCTGGTAGTATTCCGGCATGACCAGACGTCTTCGGCGCATACGGAGCTTTGAGCGCACCTGGCCTCTGTTGTCACGCAACTGCAGATAATTGCCCGGTTCGAGGGGTGGTGTGCTTTCTTTGGCGTTTCCTTTGCTGCCGCGTCGTCTCTGAATCAATCGGGTTCGGCTATCAACTGCCATAGTGGTGTGCGGTGCTGCTGCACACCGACTGCAGGCTGACTGCCTTACGGTGCGAATAGGTGGGTGATTTGAGATGTCAGTGGGTGGTGGGTGACTGATTAACTTCCAAAGTTAGAGATGAGGTGTGGGTAGCAAGCCGCACGCCGTACGCCGCAGCCCGTATTCCACTACCCAAGCCATCCACAACGCCTCCAACGCCGTGGTCGGCAGGCCCAAAGCCGTAAAGCCGCAAGCGTTGAGCCAGTCAGTTGAGGAAGCTATTGGCTTTCTGGCTATACAGTCGATGGCCTTTTGCCAGGGAAACAAGCTGACAAGTGTGTTTGGTGGCTGTTTGTTCGGCTCTCATAGCTTCGCAGCAGTGAGCCAGCCTTCTGGCTTGGATGCTCCATTGCTTGGCTGCAGCTGGTGTATGCATTTTACACCCGCGCATGCATTCCACCTCACACATGGTGCCTGCTCGCGCAGCAGCACAAGGTTGAAGGGGGAGCTTTGTCGTGTCTCGGAAATTCGGTCAAGATTCTCGAGGGCACAGTCGAAAACGTGGGGTGAGAGGATTCCATTGGTTTGCCAGCCGTGCCAGCATACTGTGTAACTGTGTGTTACTGCTGCTCGCTCCCGAGTCGGAAACAGGCGAACGTGGCAGACCTCATCGGATCAGCGAAAGCAAAGAGACAAGCGTCAATCCACGCGTGCCACGCGTGCCACGCGCATTGTGTGCCAATGGAAGACGCCAATTGACGGGCATTCTGTGGGTTCGTGACGGCGGATGCGGATTGAGCGGCGATTGTGTCTCCGGACGTAGGGCAGGAGGCGAACTGATGTGCGCTAGGAACGACTGGAACTGGATACTCCGTACTTACTTTCGCACAGCTCTAGCCCACAGCTCCAGTCCGTGTCTCTCGAAGCCTCCATCGGTGCGTCCGGTCACATCATTCTCTGGGCCCTTTGGTCTTTTTGGGAGGGGAATCTTGGCTCGGGCATTTGGGGTGCGTTGCTCCTTGACCTCTGGAGCTGCACAACTGCAACCGACAGTCGCAGGTCGGTCAATCAATTGCTCGATTTCTCTTCTGTCGCACAGGCTGTGGCACTGCACTGACACAACTCTTCGTATGACCGAGTGCCGTGCTTGGTACTAATTGGCACAGCCATCGAGGTTCTGATCACTACGTGAATACCTGAAATCCGCAGTGTGCGTATGTGGCTCGGTAATCAGCGTAGGATGCGTAACTCTTCGTAATGGCAGGTGATCTATGCTCTTGTCAGCATCAGTGAGGCTCTGTGCCCTCGATTCGTCTCGATTCCCATTTCATTCGAACACCTTGGCAATCTGAGTGAAGCATTTGGTCTTTCGAGTGACACCTGCTAGCTAGCTAGGCGTGCGGCGTGCCAGGGCAGATGGTTGGTGGTTCTGTGAGTAATAACAAGTGAACAGCGGTATGGAAGGGTTTGCTCGTCTTGAAACCGGCATCGCCAGGCACGCACCCGCTTGGAAGAGTTCTGAGTGCATGCAGGTGGTTGATTAGACGGAAGCTTGGAAGTTGGGAGTCCACGATTGCGGTTGCGGAGTGCAGCGTTTGGTTCCGCGGTCGGTGTCGGTTGCTGGTGTCGGTTGCTGGTGTCGGTGTGTCGTGACCCCAAGCTGACGGGAAGCTGGGGAAGCTACCTTATCCGTACGGCGTAAGGTACTTCGTGGAGAGCAGAACTTCACGCCCCGAGCTAAAGCTGACGAGGGTGGCATTTTTTTGCACATCACGGGACGAAGTGTTGCGACATGGGAATCTAAAATTGAAAAACATGGGGGAATGTTGAGGGGGGGTGGGGGGTCCGATGGCCGGGGGGAAGACGAGGGACGAAGCCGGGCGACGATGCTCAGCTGGGAGGGGGGGGGGGGGGGGGGGGGGGGGGGAGGAGGCACGAACGGTACGAGGCAGGAGGGCAGGAGGCATCGTCAGGAACAGCAGGAACGGCAGGCACTGAGCCTCTGAGGCAGGAGCAAAAAGTGCGAAAAAGTGCAGGTGCGAGGTGCAGATGGCCAGGTGCAGGTGCAAGTGCAACCGCCAACCGCCAACCGGAAGGAACGACGAGGCGGAAGACTTGGGGTCAGCTTCCCCGGTGTCTTACCCCCCCGTGTCCCCATGCTCCCGTTATCGGCTGGCCCTCCACGCCTTCCCATGCCTCCCATCCTGGCATCCCCTGACGAGAAAAAATATTAGTTTAGAAAAAAAAAACAAGGTGAAGAAGGTGAGGTGAGACCCGTGACACACTGACAACTTGCAAGGTGAGAACAGGTGAGAACAGGTGTGCAGGCGAGCAGCCACAGCCTTCTTTCCCGTGTCCCAAACAGGATTAGCCTCTCCTCAACTCCCGACCGAACATTTCTATTTTCAATGCAGCCGTCCAGCCCGTCAGCCATCCAATTTGGACTCAGATTTGATCCAGATTTCCAAAGTGAATCAATATTGAATCCCAATTATTACCTGTTCTACCTTACCGAGTACTGCGTAGGTGGCCCCCCATTTTTGACATTTTCCCCTTGCAAATTGCTTGTTTCCTCCCCCTTCCCCCCCGTGAGTCGTGACAGCAACACCCCCCCATCCTCATCCCGTCCCGTCCATCTCGGTTCCCTTTCCATCTTTGACTCACCTTCATCTTCCATTCCCCTTCACCTCGTGCTACGGTGCTTCACTCAATCACTGCTTCTAACCTGTGGCTGCTGCTGCTACTGCTACTGCTGCACTCCCACGGGCCACCACCTACGTCAATCCGTCTCACCGTGACCTGCGTTGCATTCTTACCCCGACCTGGTGCTCTCACCTGACCAGTTCCAATTTGTCGGTCCCTGGCCGAATGTCACCCTGACGCCAAAAAAAATTCCGTCTCCCCCCAAGCTTGGGATTCACTTTACTCAAACTCCGCGACCATCCCACGCTCCCACGCCCTCTCATGCAGCACCCTCTCAAGGGCACATCCAACACCGTACACCGACCGTACACCGTGCAGCTACCCGAGTCTCCCACCCCTCGGCCGACATCGCTGCTGACGGTTAGCCTCCAAGCAACCAGCCAACCTTGAATCCGAATCCAGACGGGGACCTGGAACGCAACTCGCCTCGCCTCGCACACCGCTCTCTCACCTTGCCGCCGTCCGGTACCTTCGCCCCGCGCGCATTGCCAGCAGTACCCCGAACCACCACAACTGGCACCAAGTTCACCAACAATAGCACAGGTGTTCAAGCAACTCCCAAGCCTGGCCTGGCCTGGCCTGGCCTGTCACCCATACTCTCCTCCTCCTCCAGTGTTCGCCCTGTGGTCCTACACCCATCTGGACAAACTCAGTTACAGACCCAACCTCGACCGCTCCGACACACGCCCAAAACCGAGTCCACGTATGCGCCCACAAGCAAAGACGAGTCTAGAGTTAGACTACCTTATCCGACCAGCACAAGCACTCAGCACTGAGTCCCGAGTCTGCACAGCACCTCCATCCCAAAACAGGTCGCACAACAACATGTCCTGACTTCGTCTACCCTCCCCTGCCGAGTCATGCCCGTCCAGTCCAAGCCCATCCCCGCCCTCTACACGGTGTACATACTCCGTTCCACCGTACGCCACGCGTCTCTCTACATCGGCTCGACGCCCAACCCTCCGCGCCGTCTGAAGCAGCACAATGGCGAGGCCCGCGGCGGCGCTGCTCGCACCTCCCATCTGAGCCTGCGGCCCTGGGACATGGTGGGGCTGGTTTCCGGCTTCCCGGGCATGGTTGCTGCTCTAAAGTTTGAGTATGATCTCCGTCCCCTTCGTTCCGTTCATGATTCACCTTGACCTTGAGGCTGTTTCTCTCTAATCATGCTTCCAAGCATACTCTCAAGCTGCTTCGGATGATGTTTCCCCGCTCCTCCTCCACCCCTCTAGCTTGCACATGCTTCTCCTGCATGTCTGGGTCTTGCATATTGCACCGTTTTGAACTGATTTGATATCACATTTTCAGTCAATATCAACTTCTCAACCATGCGCTGACCAAAGGATAACAGATGGGCGTTGACAAACCCGCATCTTTCTCTGCATATACCCTCAACATCCCGGATCACTGTCTCGAACGGAGTGAAGAAGAATGGACGCCCCCGCCGGCCTCGTGCGAGCCTCTCCTCGATCTTGCCCAATCTACAGCTCTTGCTAGGTGTACCAAGCTTTCGTCGGTGGCCGCTTACACTACATTTCTTTGCAAAGGATGTACACAAAGCATGGGTTTCCTCCTCTGCCAACTCAACCAAGCCTCTGCGAAACACCCTCAACATAGTCACCGACTTCGGCCCCGACCCCGCCGCATCTTCAGACGACGTCGCTTGGGGCATCCATGCTTTACCTGTGGATTACACAAACATGAAGGCCTATGTTGAAAAAGCACAGTCCATTACCGCCTTTGAAAGAGAAGGCAACTGTGTTGTCTGCAAAGAAGCCCTCCCTCACGGTCAGGGATTACACGCTGTATGTCCAAACGAGTCTTGTGAGGGCGTTGGGCATCTTGCGTGCTGGAGTCGTCATATGCTCCACAACGAAGAGGATCGAGGAGTCGTAGTCCCTATTCAGGGCCATTGTCCACAATGTGGGGGCCAGATTCAGTGGGTCGATATGATGAAAGAATTGTCACTACGGGAAAGGGGTGCGAAAGAAATCGAGGCTCTTCTGAAAGTGAAGAAGAGGCGAACGAAGACTTGATAAGATGCACGTGGGTCCCTCTGTCAAACACGGATCTGCAAGATCCATCTGCGAGATAACATCTTTTCGGCCCGCAAAGCCTGTTTCTCCCAATCGCCACGAGTCAGATCGGTTCTTATGAATCAGACGGCTAGTGACGAGTTTTCGCATTATCGTCATAGCAGTGGAGTTCTACCTTTGCGGCAGTGTCGAGTTATTCTCACAGCTCGACTACTATCGACTGGAAGCATTGAGAGATGTCCTTGGGTGCATTCGAGTTACGGAGTACCCAGAAGCGATTTCCCCTGCAAATACTTCTGCTCAAATCTGCAAGCTCAGCTTAGCAAGTTCAATGGAGAGCTTGGGGGGTACTTGTGTACCTCCACAGGCCTATCTCGACTATCGCATTCGCTTCGTTCTAGCTGAAATTCATGGTCGAGAAGCCAATTGGACAGTGCTGGAAAGCACCGTTGAAGTTTCTCGAGAGCAGTCGAAAATCCAGACTACGCCAACCGCGATGCCCATGGCCGGATGCAAATAGCTTCGGGCTGTGCATGAACGCGGAAAGCCCAGTTTCGCTGCTCGGTATGTTTGGCTCGAGAAAAAGGTCAGACACTGAGCTGGCGCGAAGCTGGTAACGGTCTGGGGATCTGCGACACCGGTAGACTCTGGCGCCACCGTCTAAGACAGCGACGAGCTCCCAAGAGCTGCGGCTGCAAACGCGAAGAACAGAAGGGGCCGGCTAGCCCAGGGTTCTTTGCATGGCATGGCCTAGATTGCCGATCAGGCCCAAGAGCAACCACGCCGAGGCCCCAGTAGCTTAGTTTAGTTGTTAGACTTGGCTTTGGCAAAATGAAAGATATCTGTACGATGAATTTGAATTATGTCTTTTGTATCAATGAGCGACTTTACAATCCCATAGAAGATCGATATGATCTACAAGTAGTTTACTCGACGCGTAGCAAGGTTGTCTCTCAACACGATTGTCTGGGGCACCACATCAGTCTTGAACCGCCATGAGAGGTCAAATATCGAGAGTCAATAGGTAGTCCTGTCCAATATCAGCCTTGTCAGTGGAATCAGATGTCTCTTGTCATCTCCATAGGCTTTGAAGATACCGGGACTACAATGCACTTTTAAAAGGTGGGAACCATAGGAGTACAGTAGGACTCGTGCTCTTTCCAGCAGCACCAACGTCCTGTCTTGAAAGCTTCATAATCGATCTCGTGGCGGCTTGACGGTGTCAAGCTCTTGGCGGATGGTCGTCATGCAGAACTCAAGAGGCGATTTTTGACCCTCTATTTCTTTGACTACCTGACATTGTGTCCCACAGCAGTCGAATAGCCTGTGATAAAGCTGTAAGGCGTGACGTATACTGACCGGGTGGGGGGGATTGGAAACCTAGATTCGACGATTCGTTAATGCCTAGCTGGCTTCATAATGGATGATTGCTCCGTGAGGACCGTGACATCGCTCTTGTGATCGTGCCATCGAGCTGAATTGCGATACCATCCCCTTCACATAGAAAGATAAGCACATGAGAGCCGGTGGTGACGACAGATTACCCTGAGCCCGACCCCTTGGTCCTTCTGAAAGCCAAGCGACAGTTCCTTTTGAGTCCATAATATTGGGTTAGAGATGTATTGAGAGGTTGTTGGCTTGATCATGCCCATCCCACTATCGTGAACGTACACTGGGTGAAATATGGCCACATTCCTGAGCGGGGTATGAGTAAGCTGACACAGCCTCGTAAATTGATTCCTCTGGCCCGGTCCTCTCAAGGAATCACTCCAGGAAAAGGTCTGTTGCCTAGACGATAACCTTGAAGCCGGGCTCTGAGGTGCATCTCACCTGGACCTCATTCTAGTCGTGTAGCTACTACCCTATCAACTGTTTAAGAGGGCCCAGAAACAGGAATTTCGGTGGTACGGCTTCCCTCGTCATATCCCTCTCTCTCCCACCTGTGACCTCCCTTCAGTGATACTCCGGAGAGGTCTCTGCTTCAATCTCGCCTTAGAAAAGCATCTCTGAGGGGAAACAGATTTGTGAGTCGTCAAGTTGAAGTTGAAGGCATATCAACTGCACGAGACATAAGGGACAGCTCTCTCACTCATCACATTAGGTTGCGGTCGTTGACTTTAGGAAGGTAGCACGTGTGGGATTCATCTAGATATAGGCCGACAAGTTCCTTGCGTCGCCGTGTACGACTTGTTCAGGCGAGTCTAACGATGTCAGTCAATTTGTTCCTTCTGAAACGCCATGTATCTATCGGGCCTCTTGATGTCTGCGATCGGTTGAGACAGGCCCCCCATTGGCACAATAGCTCTCGTTATCGTGTTCATTGCAATATGTTGGTAATCTTGAACGTAAAGCGGCACCAGACTAATCTCACAAGCAACGATCGCTCATAGACACGTGTTTGTCCCTACTAATTAGCAATCTTGATCGAGACACGAAGGTCTAGTACATGACGAATGTTTATTACGAGTGCCTATGGGTTGCAATACGCTACTGTTCGCTTCTCGATACGCTGTAGCCGATCAAAATTGATCCGAGAGTACCTTGGCATATCTTGCAATCCTGCTCCCGGCTTCGTTTTCACTATGGGGCATTGCAGTTGACATGTCACATATACACCAGCGTGCAGCCATTGTCTGTGATTCATTCTATAATAAAAGATACATCTTATCGCAAGGAAACTTGGGGCCTTTTTCAGTATCTTCAAGTATCAAATCGAGGCATCGGGGCACGAAAAAGCCCCTGTGAGCCTCATCTCATCGAGCAAGCTTGAGGACAGCGCGTGGGTTTTACGCCAATTCGTCTCAAACCTGGAGACCAGCCGGAGTACATCACAACTTTAGGTGGCTACAAAAGTGAAGCAGAATCAGTGTTGTATTGTGCGAGTGTCTCGTAGCTCTCGGTTCATGACAAGAAGAGTAATTGGATAGACTTCCAGAGCAAATGAGAGCGCTTTTTGATGATGTCCGAATGATCCCCGAATATTTCCAGGATTAGTTACTCTCCGAGTTCCCTGCATGCTTGTATGATTGACCAGGTGCAACTAGAGGCTTCAATGGATTTCAACTCTGCTGTGAAGCTGTTTTACAATCTTGCCTCGGTGTCCATCCCCGTTGTCTCGTCATCCTTGGAAATTTTGGGTGTACTTCCGAATGAGTACCTTTTGGGTCGGAAAGATCACTATTATGCGAACCGCCAGAATAAAAGAAGAACGGCTATCGGCTGAAATCGCTTAGATATCAAGACAATAAAATTAAGTTGAGCGTGTAAAAGAAGAATCCGATATATTACGGAAGCTGCTTGTTACGGCCAGCTAGTCGTAGGGGTAGTTTGCAGAAGTTGAGGCTGCGGAACTGGTAACAGTAATCGTAGTCGGGGATAGCTTCAGGGAAGCTATGTCTGTCAATCGTAAGGGTGGGTAAGGCTTCGGTGATCAATCGTAGTCTTGTCAAGGTAGTAGCTGAAAGCGGATGTTAATCCTGATACGAAGTTAATTGCTGAAGAGCTATGGAAGTCTGTCCTAGAGTCCAGCTCAAGTCCATCCTTATATACAAGTCCTGATCCTGAACATGTCCCTTGTCCCTTGGGTCGTCTTGGGTCATTCTGATCCAGAATGATCGTTTAGCCCCCAATGATGATGATGATGATGATGTATTTAACGTCTGGTAACAAAAGGACGTGCCGGGCGTCGTTTAGCCCCCAAGTCGTGTTGGATCATATTGATCCCAAATGATCCTTATCTTATCATCACGTGACTTGTACCATAGTTCTTCCGTTCCGTGAGAGGGTGCCTAGTGTCCCCCTTGTCCTGTGCGTATATGGTGCGCTGTAACCGCCGTGAGCCTGCGGGGCAGGCCTTGGACTTGGTCATGCACATTGGGTTGTAGTTAACATTATTAGTATTTACTTAGTAATTACTAGTAAATATAATAAATAGGTAGATAAAAATATATATATGAGATTAGGACTTATATATAAATTAAACTCGAGCCGGGCTCTAGGATAGACTTCTTATAGCTTCTTTAATGATTAACTTTATATTAGATCTTATAATCGCTTTCAGCTATCTTCCCTAAGAATCTCTTTAACAAGACTACGATTGATCACTAAAGCCTTCTCTACCTTACGACTTACAGACATAGCTTCCCTAAAGCTATCCATGCCTACGATACTGTTTAGTAGTTCCGTAGCCTCAACTTCTGCAAACATACCTCACTACGACTAGCTGGCCGTAACATAATGTTCGTCAAGGTTCCTGCTTGCCCCTTCGCTCAGAAGTAAACTGTATGTGGATGAAGTAGTGCCTTCATAAATGTGTGAATTTTGAACTCCGGTTACTACCAAGAAACATGAAGTCTTTGAAAATGATATTCAATCGTGATGTCCAAAGTTGATGGATGACTGAGCCGTCATGGTCGTCAAAACCGTGCAGGTCATCTGAGGAAAGAAAGGACAAAGGAGAAAAAAAAACCCATCAGAAAATGCTAAAACTGAGTCGCCTGTCCGGCGCCCGCCCCCGCAAGCAGGGATGATGCTCGCCCTTGGACCGATCTGGGACATCAGGGTGGGTTTCTCCAACGTCATACTGTCATGATTGGTTCGCTAAGCGATTGATATTGGCGGCCCCCTGTTGAGTCAGCGAGCGATATCAGATGTTGGTTTCTTGTGCATGGGAAAAGAGTGGGCGTGCAGCAAAGTCTCGTGGTCCGTGGTGTGCGCGCCAGGGCATCCATCCTGGCAGGGCAGAGTTTAGGCGTTTAGGCGCAACACTGAGATGCAGCAGTAGTATTGTCGCAAGCCGATCAATCAAAGACGACCGGGTGCAGATTCTTTTAGATAAATATCTTCCGAAGAATCCTTAGCTGAGTGCTGTAAGGTGCAGCCTCGAAATGCCATCTGAAGCACATGAGGCGCAGATGCCGAACTAACAACCAAGGTCTTGCACCTCGGACCTGGTGAATGATGGTGGCCAATCATTGGAGACATGTCGGATGGCGATTGAGGGATGGCCCTGGTGTGAATGTTCGGTCGATGATCGAGAGTAATCCCAGCCATGGGCGACGCGGAGTTTTTGTGGCCGTGCACTCCACCAAACGATTCATGGGTCGGCATTTGCGACGTCGTCGGGTGCCGCTGCGATTTGATTATGTGCGAGCACGCGGGCGAGTGTGTGTGTCTGATGTCGCATGTCGACCGACTTGGATGTCAGCGATTGGGGGCCATGTACCGCGGTACCTCAGTATGGTCGGACCACAATGTACCTCGGACTAAAGAACGTAAAATGACACCAGGGCAGCTTGACTCTCATCAAAGGGAAGCAGGAGGCTGTGCCCGGGACACTAGGTAGAGAGCATCGCTCCCTTTGACGCAAAGCCGTGTTGAAGGATAGCTAGTAATGCCAGCCGAACACCCAAAATCGACAGAGCCGTTTGGTTTGATCTGGGTTGACCATTGCAAGCATGGTCCTGGGAGGTCATTCGAGGGGTCGTCAGGAACAGATGATGATATTGGTAGACAGCTGAGGCTTCTCATGTGCCTTACAATGAGGGAGGGAGAGCGACTCCGTGGACGTCATGGACGAGGTACCCGAGAAAGTACCGTATACTTGCAGAGGGTGGTCGACGTTCAGTTCGGACCCACTTGTAGTGGGATTTTGCACCGACAGACGTGAGCTGTCCCTTCCGTTCCGCCCTTGGTCGCCCTCGCACCTGCCGTTCGACGGTCGTCCTTCTTTCTCAAGTTGAGGTACCTTGGCAGAACCCGTGGAACTTCCGTCCCCGTCGGTGCCTGCCTGTCACACCCTTTGCGCTTTCCTCTATGGCTCTCACCACATGTAATATTTCCCACCAATATTTTGCTGGTGGTTTATACTCTTGCGGAGGTATTTTATGTAGAAGAAATAAACAAATACTGTGAAGAGAAGACAAGGAGAGAGACGCAGGCTCTCTCAACTGCTGCCGCTACCTTATGCTACCGATGCCGATGCATGTTGTCCACGTCCCATGTCAGCTCCCACACTTTGCATCGCACCTGCCTTGCCGTGCCTCGCCTTGCCATTTCCCTCTACTAGGACCGCACCAGCGCAGCACATTTCACTTCAGGTCCCATTTCCGCCCATTTTCGCCCACACCAAGTTCAGTTCTCCTCGCTTTCCCCCGTTCGTTCTTTCCCTTCTGCGTCCACTTCCATGTCCGTCCACCCGGCCCGGCGTCCAGTTCCATCCACAGTTTCCACACCACAACCGACCTGCACCTTCCCTTCCCCTTCCCTCACCTTTATCCACACTTCCCACTTCACATCGTTTCCTCCCCCCGAATTCCAGCTTCCCTCCTACATCCCATTCCCATGACTCGGATCCTCTCCTAATCCGGTCACCAAAAGGTGCTGAATACTCTCGCTCGCAACAGACAACTTGTGCGCCATCACAATTCAATCCTGTATGCGGGCCACACATAGTAAGTACCAAACGCCTCCCCCATCCCCCGGCTTCTTCGCTTGTCGCCGCTAGGTACCCCGTTGGTCGCCCGCATCTTTAGCCTTTAGCTTTTCCGCCGTACCTTTATATCTGACATATCCCAACCACCCCCAGACCACACTCTCCCTCACAACCTCCGTCTGATGCGCTTTCTCCAGTGACGACTCTCGAAGCAACAAAATTGTCGATCGGTCGAACCGCGTTTTTATCGTCACCCGCAATCATCGACCTATACGATCTGTAATGCGACAATATCCATAGCCCGCCTCTATTCGCTCGCATGATCTCTCACGGAATTCGCCGTCTACCCGAATACCTGTGACTGCGACAGAACCAAACGCCGTCGATCGTTCTTCACCTCGACCCGCCATTGCGCCTGTTCAATAGGTCCATCGGCAATCCCTAGTTGCAGTATGGTGTCTGCACCTACAGCTGGTGGCTCCGCTGCCAACGGCACAGGAAGCGGGAATGCGAGCTCGCGAGGCTCTCCAGCCGTCGGCTCGTCGAACACCGCCTCGGCCAAATCAAAGGCCACCCAGGTCAACTCCAACGGCTACCACCCGACGAACCCTCAGGTTCCCCTCAGTTCGATGCGAAGCACTCCTCTAGAACTCACTTCGGTCGAACGACGGGGTCAACCGACTGCGACCAAGGAGCCGGCCAAAAAGAAGTCGCGCCCGCATGGTCTTGAGGATGCGCCTACATACTGTCCCACTGAGGAGGAGTGGAAGGACCCGATGGAGTACATCAAGAAAATCTCTCCAGAAGCCAGGAACTACGGATTGTGCAAGATCATCCCGCCCGACTCCTGGAACCCGGAATTTGCGATTGATACAGAGGTTCGTTTTCATTTCCCGTGCTCGAGAGGACCTGCTCAGACGAGACGCTGTTTCTATGCCTACTGCGAGCGTAGCCTCTGTTAGCGAACTAATGCTGACCAAGAAATGTGCAGAGATTCCATTTCAGAACCCGTAAACAGGAGTTGAACTCGGTCGAAGGAAGTCAGTCACGCATGCCCGCCTTGTGTCTCTTGCACGGAGGCAATGCTAACTAAACTAGGCACCCGAGCAAACATTTCGTACCTGGACGCGTTGGCCAAGTTCCACAAGCAGCAGGGCAGTAACCTGCATCGTCTTCCATATGTGGACAAGAAGCCTCTCGACTTGTACCGTCTGAAGAAGGCCGTCGAGGCCCGCGGCGGCTTCGACAAGGTCTGCAAGCTGAAGAAGTGGGCCGAGATTGGTCGTGATTTAGGATACAGCGGCAAGATAATGTCCTCACTGTCCACCTCATTGAAGAACTCATATCAGCGATGGCTCTGCCCATACGAGGAGTATCTGAGACTCGCCAAGCCGGGAGTGCACCAGCAGCTCGAGTTCGAGAATGGCGGACCCTACACACCCAGCCCGGCAGTCACTCCGATGAAGCGATCCAACGTCAACACGCCATCCAGTGCCCGAGGCGATTCACCTGCCCGCCACGCATCGGATGCCCGAGGCGACTCACCTGCCCGCCACGCATCGGATGCCCTTCAAGCAAGCATCAACGGCCTCAAAAAGGAGGCCGATCGAGATACCCCCATGGCCGACGCACCTCCGACGCCCGCACCCGCGCCTGCACCCGTCACCTCGGGCTTCAAGGCCATCAACACAGGTGGCTTCACCGCGGTCAATTCTGGGTTTAAGAGTGTCAACCGGCCTACGCCTCAGGTTCAACAGGATGAGGTGGCTAGCACTCCGCCTCCAAAGTCATTCAGTCCAGTCAACTCGGCAAAGAACACACCCGACTATCGGCCTTCAAATTTGGGCCCAGCAGCCCTCAAACGACAAATCAGTTGTGAAAGCCTCGATCTGGCAAAGAAGGATTCTGGGACAGACAAGGACGACGGAGATGCTGGAAATAGCAGACGCAGCAAGCGTCTGAAGAAAGGTGAGTTCTTCCCCTCATTGCCCACAAGTACCGACCAGCACCATCGTCCCATGTTGGTGGCTGCATTGCCAGCTGTGCTTGACCATCGCGGCGGGCTCCGCATGCAGCGATGAACCACATGCATGGGATTTACAAGGATTCCATTGGCTTCTAAGACTCTGTTTCCCAACTGGGCGAGGCAACCGATGAATTCTGCGACCAGCCGTACGATGATTGGCTGATATGTATGTGCTAATACGTTGACTTGCAGATACTGTACCTACCGTGGCGGGATCTCACATGTCTCTGTTCCGTCCTTCCGTGCCCAGAATCCCCCGAGATGAGGCCTTGGCTCCTGGCGAGGTAAGCTGCGAGACATCATTGCGTCTGTCTTTCCAATGCACTGACTTGAAGCAGAAGTGTGAGCAGTGCGGCAAGGCGGAAGAAGCCGGTGCCCTGTTCGTCTGCGAGTCTTGCGACCACGCATACCATGGCACCTGCCTCGATCCTCCCCCTAAGCACAAGCCCGACTCCGAATGGAACTGCCCGAGATGCCTGGTTGGCGATGGACAGTACGGATTCGAGGAAGGCGGCCTGTACTCTTTGAAACAATTCCAGCAAAAGGCGGCCGACTTCAAGCAGGGCTATTTCGAAAAGAAGATGCCCTTTGACCCCGTTCTCAACTGCCATCGTCCAGTCACCGAAGAAGACGTTGAGACTGAGTTCTGGCGTCTCGTAGCCGACATTGAAGAGACTGTGGAGGTCGAGTATGGGGCCGACATTCATTGCACGACTCACGGCTCCGGCTTTCCAACTGTCGAGAGACACCCCAACAACACTTACTCGACTGACCCCTGGAACCTCAATCTGCTGCCTCTCCACCCTGAAAGCCTGTTCAGGCACATCAAGTCTGACATCTCGGGCATGACTGTCCCGTGGGTATATGTCGGCATGATCTTTTCGACTTTCTGCTGGCACAACGAAGACCATTATGCCTACTCTGCCAACTACCAGCACTTTGGGGCAACCAAAACCTGGTACGGAATTCCGGGCGAGGACGCCGAAAAGTTTGAAGCCGCAATGCGCGAAGCCGTTCCTGAGCTATTTGAGACTCAGCCTGACCTTTTGTTTCAGCTGGTCACCCTGTTGACACCAGAGCAGCTGAAAAAGGCCGGCGTGAGGGTTTACGCACTCGATCAGCGCGCGGGTCAGTTCGTCATCACCTTTCCCCAGGCTTATCACGCCGGCTTCAACCATGGTTTCAACTTTAACGAGGCTGTCAACTTTGCTCCTTGTGACTGGGAACCTTTCGGACTCGGAGGTGTGGAGAGGTTGCAGGTTTTCAGAAGACAGCCCTGCTTCTCGCACGACGAGTTGTTGTGGACAGCCGCCGAAGGTACGACAAACAGTGGTTTGACGATTCAGACAGCCAAATGGCTCGCGCCCGCCCTCGAACGGATCAAGAAACGAGAGTTGGCACATCGAACCGAGTTTGTGGCAAAGCACCTCGAGCCACAGCTGCACGATTGTGCGTTGGCTGGCAAAGAAGACCATTCCTGCCCTCTGAAGTTTGAAATTGACGATACGGACGTGCCCGAAGAGGAGTATCAATGCTCGTATTGCAAAGCCTTTACGTACCTCTCTAGATTCAAGTGCCTCAAGTCGGGCAAAATTCTTTGCCTAGCACACGCGGGTTATCAGCCATGCTGCGAGTCAACCGAACACCAGCGCTTCCACGGTGAAGGACATGCTGTAATCTACAGACAGTCAGAGGAGGACATTGAAGCAACATACGGCAAGGTCCTCGAAAAGGCGCGTACGCCAGAGGCCTGGGAAGAGAAGTACGAGAAGCTTCTGGAAGAAGAGGCCACGCCTTCTCTTAAGACTCTTCGGAATCTCCTACACGAGGGTGAGAAAATACCCCATGACCTACCCTCGCTCCCTTTGCTTCGGGAATTCGTCGATCGGTGCAACGAGTGGGTGGAGGAGGCCACCAACTACACGATCCGGAAGCAGCAAAACAGGCGCAAGAGCGAAAAGTCCATTCACAACCGGAAGAACTCGCTGGACCAAAAGGAACGCGATGCGCGCCATGTTTCCAACGTGTACCGCCTTATCAATGAGGCGGAGCAAATAGGATTTGACTGCCCTGAGATCACCCAGCTGAGGGAGCGGGTCGAGGCCATCGAGGCCTTCCGAAAGAATGCAGCTAAAGCGCTGGAACAGATCCACCTCGCCGAGCTCTCCGAAATCGAAGACCTACTTGAGGAGGGCCGGACTTTCAACGTCGACACGCCAGAAGTCGACCGACTCTCGCGAGTGCTTGAACAGCTCAAGTGGGGCGAGAAGGCTCGTAACAACCGAAGCAGCCTCATGTCACTGAATGAAGTGCGTGAGCTCATCGAAGAGGGAAAGCGATTGGACATTGCTCCATACAACGATCATCTCGTCTACTACATTGAACAGATGACTGCTGGCCAACAATGGGAGAAGAAGGCCAGGGAGTTGATTATTGCAGAGGTCATCCATTACCCACAGCTGGAGGCCTTATCGGTGCAGGTCCAGGCAAATTTCCTGCCGGTTACGGCGGAAACCCTGAATGCTGTCGATCAAATTCTCTACAAGCAGAGGGAGGCACACCGTCAGATCATGGACTTGACTGAAAGATCACGAGACCCGGACATCCGCAATCGACCCAAGTATGCCGAGGTGGCTGAGATCATGCGCCGACTCGACGAGCTGAATTCGAAACCTAATGGGACTTTGGACCTCGAGCGGGAGCAGAAGCGCCACGAAGACTGGATGCGAGAGGGTAAGAAGCTATTTGGCAAAACCAACGCACCACTTCACATTCTGAAGAGCCATATGGATTACGTCTTGGAACGCAACCAAGACTGCTTCGATATCGTCAACGATAAGCCTCGCATGCCTGCCGAACCCGCGTCAAGGGAAGCCAGTCCTGACCAAAAGGTGCACCGCTGGGAGGACCCTCGGTTCCGCGAAGTGTTTTGCATTTGCCGAAAGGTGGAGGCCGGCATGATGATTGAGTGCGAGCTCTGTCACGAATGGTATATCATCAAACGGCCTTTTCGGATTCGAAACGTTAACCAACCTCTCTAGGTACCACGGTAAATGTCTCAAGATTGCTCGCGGCAAGGTCAAGGATGAAGACAAGTACACGTGCCCCATTTGCGATTGGCGAGTCAAGATTCCGCGAGACGCAGCGCGACCCAAGATCGAGGAGCTCATTGCTTGGTCGGACAAGATCCCTAGCCTTCCATTCCAGCCCGAGGAGGAGGAGGTCCTGACCAAGATCATCGACAATGCCCAGGACTTCAGAAACCATATTACCGGCTACTGCAATCCTGTGGTATCCACCGAGTCTGAGGCCGACACCCAACGATTTTACTTGCGGAAGATCGAAGGCGCTGAAATCCTCCTTGCCTACGAAACCAACTTCTTTAGGCAAGAGTTGCACAAGTGGTGCCCTGTTGCGCCAATGGCACCGCCGGTTCTTGAGGTCTCCAAGAGCACTCGCAAGCCGCGCCCGACCAAGCTTCAGAAGCTTCTGGCGCAATTTGGCGTGGATGATGCGGAAGACCTCCCAGAGAACATGAAGGCCAAGGCTGCCAGCTTGAAGCGGAAGGCTCAGAATGCCGAGGCAGCCGCGGTCGCGGCCGCGACAGCGGCTGCTACTTCTGCGTCTGGCGCAACTGTGCTGCCACCTGGTCTTCAACATGGTCACAGTCGCAAGTCGGAACAATCATCAGCAACGCCTCCTTCTACCTCTCACGGCAACATGGGCCGTCAATCCATTGGAAGCAATCACGATCCCATGGACATTGACATTGGCCCGACACTTCATCCAGGCCTCTTCATGTCTAATGGTGCACCGGGTCCTCAACTTGTTGTTGGCAACTCTTCGATGTCTCTCGAGGAACGTCTTCTCCGAGGCGAAGAAGATGGGCTTAATTTGCACACTGAAGCTGGGAAGAATGAGGCTCTTACGATCCTGGGTCGGACAGATGAAGGCCGTAAGAGGGCCGTAGAGATGTTTGGTCCCGACGTGTTCAAGGGCGATGTTGGCATCTTGAACGGCAGGGATGTTGCTCCCCATTCACAAGAAGATGTGCGAGCAGTGAATAAGATGTTCGACGACCTCACGAACCAAGACGATGACGATTTCAAGAGGAAGCAAGAGACCTTTGATGGCCCCATCACAGCGGAGAGCCTTGAAAGTGAGCGAAACGGCATGGATGCATTGCTCGACGGCGACTAGGACTTCTGGCCTGCTCCACACTGCTTCAGCTTTTGAACTCCCCAATGGCAACAAAGGGTATTGGAACCAAAGGCTTGGAGCGTTATTTCTTGTGTCTCGGCGTTTGTGGACAAGTCTTTGGAGCCCATGGGAGGCGGAAATTCCAAACTGGCGGATTGTATGATCAGGTGTCCGGAGGTCAAGGCATACCACTTTGCATTAGATGGAATGGGCGTTTGTGAGTGTGTCAGATGCACCACTCAGTTTCTGCTATCGTTCGTAATGGTGTGTCGCATTATCGAAGAAAAGTCGGGTTTGAAAGGGAAAAGCACTAGTAGTTTGTTTGTTTTGGACTTTTATAATACAATCACCGTGTAGCCACATAAGTCTTTTGATGCATGATGTACATTGTCTTGGTTCTGGCCGAGAAATCGACCTGCTGTGTGTATTGTCGTCGGCACCTGGCCAGGAACTAGGCAATCATGAGGCAGCTTCAAATGTTTCACACTGGTTGGCAGGAGAGTTCCTCGGGAAGGACGTTGAGTTGGCAAAAACGCTTCAAATTTTGGATATAACTATATAGCCTTCCCTAGACCCCAATCATGATACTTCATACAATCATTTTTTCACCAAATAATTTACAAGCCGAGAGCCTTGGCAATAGCCTTGCCGACGCCGTGGGCGGAGGCGGGGTTCTGGCCGGTGATGACGATGCCGTCGACAACGACCTTTTCGCCCCAGGGCTCGGCGGCGAGCTCGTACTTGCCGCCATTCTCCTTAAGGCGGTCCTCGAGCATGAAGTTCATCTCGGGGGTGAAGCCGGCCTGGTCCTCCTCGGTGTTGGAGAAGCCGGTGATGGTCTTGCCGGCGACGAGGTAGCTTCCGTCGTTGAGCTTTGCGTTGACGACGGCGGCGGGGCCGTGGCAGACGGAGGCGACGGGCTTGTTTTGGGCGGCGAACTCGGCGATGAGGGCGTGGGAGGTTGCGTCGAAGGCGAGGTCGTACATGGGGCCGTGGCCGCCGGGGTAGAACTGAGTGTGTTAGTTGAGTGTCCACTGTAGTTTTGTAGAGCGTTTTGAGGATGGAGGGGGAAGAACATACAATGGCGTCAAACTCGGAGGCGCGGCCGACAAAGTTGGAGAGCTTCTCGGTGTTTTCCCAGATGGCCTTGTGGTTCTCGAGGAAGTTCTTGGAGGAGGGGTCGCTGGCGAACATTTCGACCGAGGCCTGGTCGAGGGGCGCGACGCCGCCCTTGGGAGAGGCAAAGGTCATTTCGACACCGGCTTCCTTGAGGACGTCAAAGGGGTGGGCGAGTTCGGGCAAGTACCAGCCGATGGGCTTGCCAGACTTCTCGGTCTTGTCGACGGAGGTGAGGACGATGAGAACCTTGGGAGCCATTGCGTATGATGTTGTATGTGTATGAAAAGGTAGAAAGTTGGATTGAAGATTTGTTTGATTTGGTTTAAGAGGGTATCTTGGGTATCAAAGTTGAGTGTAATGAGCTTCTATTCCAGAATGTCTATTCGCGCGGGGCATCGAACTCTTTTGTACTTTCATCGCAACCCCATCATACACATGGGTAGCTCCATCGACGGTCTGGCCATCATGGTGATTATCTTGAGGCACTGACCCCACCATTGGAAAACAAGCAGCTTGTCCGGGATGCCGTTGAGCTTATCCCCCTGGCACGAAGCGGAATGTGCTGTCTAGGCGCGGAAAAGGGGGGATGGGCTCAGGGAGTGCATGAAGAGCTTCACCCCGCCAATTGGTCAGGTTGACGTCACACCAGTTTCTGAAGACTATCCCGTCTGCCTCTTGAGTGACGACTGAGTGACATGTGTCGGGGTTGAAATTCGGGCCCGGCTGCAGGTACCTCTTGCTCTTGGTATGACTCGCTCACATCCATAAGCTGGCGGTGGAAAGAAACTACACCCCGCGCCAACAAATTCTTCATGGCGGTCCCGCGGAAACGACTCCACAGCTTCTTTCTTTGAAGAAGTGCGGCATGCCCCCGTGTGTGTATGTGAGTGTTTACGCTGGTTTGACAAAGCAATGCGGGCGAATAAACTCTCCGGCTGCTTCCATGCCTTGCCAGAAGGGGCATCCGAGCATCTGGAGGGCTGGAGGGCGAGCACGGGGGTGTCAAGGGTCTGAGGTTGGCTTGTTGCAAGTACGGCGAGCCGAGTGGATGGATCGGCCAGAGCGAGTGGGGATTGAACAACTTTGACGAAGAAGATCGTCTCTTTTGGTTCGAGTTGGTTCTTGATCCAAGGGAAATCATTGAAGACTTCAAGAAAAGGCTTACTAAGAGTTGTAGAGAAATATCTTAATGCCGATGGGGCGAGTCGTCATAACGCCGATGGAAGTATTTTACTGCTCCGTGGAGAGAGGCAAGAGCCAAGAGGCCCCCCTCCCCACCGGCGTTGATGCCGTTTCCGGCACAGATTCGCCGGAGCATCGGCCAACTTGGCATGAACATCACGGCACCCCACGGCACAGTTACACGAGTGATAGCACCGCCCTTTTTCGTTGTCGGTTTCTCAGTGTTTCCACGGCGGCATGGGACCATCGGAAGTGGATCATCACCTCGATGGCCTCGGCTCGCATCCACAAAGCCAGACGGGCATGACGGCTAGCACTCGGAGGTGCCGCGGTATGCGTGTGTCGCGCGCACACTTATTCCCCTAATTATACCAAGACTCTAAAGATGTGGTGACGGAAGTGTTTGCTGCTAGGTTTTTGGTTGGTTTGGGTTCGTACATTACTCTCAGACACCCATTCTTGCATCTTCAGCCAAGGTGGTGGCTCTTACATGAGACGAACGGAACATGAATCGTATTTGCATACAAGCTGACCAACTGCCCCGACTTCTTGGATGACAGCTGTCGCGGCAGAAACAACCGCTATTCTTTTTCATCTGCAGCTCCGCAACATGGCAGAGTTCCAATACGATGCGAGAACGAGATGAGCTACAACACGACATGTTGCATGTTCCCCGTACGGACACTCTATTTCACAACGGACGGAGGATGTTTCTTCTTCCGCGTACTCGAAGACTTGGCGACTAGTATCTTGAACACAGACACAACCGCTTCAGGGGGCCGCCACTTCCAGTCCCTGGGGTTTCTGTCCCCAAACCGACATACTGTATCCATCATCGTCAGTGCGGGCAACAGAAAACCATCAAACAAGAAGAAAAGACTCACCTCGTGATATACGCGTGGATATTCTTGTCCGCCATATCCTTCCTCACATCCATGAGCAACATCTCGGCATCCTCTCGAGTCCAGCCCAGCACCTGACAAAAGATCTTCATCGTGATCCCCTGTACCCCCTCGAGGTTATTCGTCATCTGCATGGCGCCCAAGATCTTTTGGTTCCTCCCCTTCGCCCACGGCGACGCAGGTACCGCAAACCTCTTCTGCTCGACGTTCTGGAACCCCGCGTCCGTCATGTACCGCGCGTACTCCAACGCCGAGAGCGCATCCCGCCCGGCCTTGCGGATCCCCTCGAGCAGGTGATCGTTCCACCGCCGCAGCGCCGTGCCCTCGAGCGACCCGTCCACGGCCTTGAAGTCGATGACGGTCTCCTGGAACTCGACCCAGCCGCCCGGGTTGAGGTTTTCGTGGATCTGGCGAAAGAGTTTGGGAAGGTCAAAGATGGAGGTGCACATGTACCGGCCGTGGACGTAGTCGAATTTATGACTGAAAGCCCACTCGTCCTCGGCGTCGTCGATTTCAAAGTGGCAGTTGGCGGGCACGTATTCCGGCTGGATGGGACTCAGGTCCGTGCCGAGGACCTCTGATGCCGGGTTCCTGTCGGCGAACTCGATGGCCCAGATGCCGGTGCCTGTGCCGATGTCGAGGACGCGATGAGGGTTGGTGACGGGGGCGAGGCCGAGTTTGTCGTTGAAGATGCGGAGGGCGATGGCGTGTTGGAGGTCTAGGCGGCTTTGCTCTTGCTCGGGGGTGTGTTAGTCTGGCCTTGGCGATATCGCATGTAAGGGGGCTTCGCATACCTCATCATTGGGGAGGAAGTATTCTGTGCGACAGTCAACGTGGCGTCCAAAAGGTAAGTTCCTGCATGCGATTGCGCCAACTTACTTCCTTCTTTATATGCGTGATATGTCCTGCCAAACTCTTCCACGAAGCGGTATACGCTCGATGCCACCGAGGCGGACGAGGAGGCGCGGCCGACGTCGATGCCCATGGCCGAGTCGGCGTCGCTGATGTCCGTGTCGATGCTAAGCGACATGGATGTGCTGCTGTCAATGTGCGACGCGTTGAGCTCGTCGAGCGCGCTCGAGGTCAGCCTGCTGGATCGGTCATCGTCAATCGTCGAATGTGCCGTCGAGATGCTGCTTTTCCTTTCGCTGGGTCCCTCTACCGGCGGCGGCTCGTGCCTCTCGTCTGTACAGCTTGAAGCCTCCATCATCACTTATAACAATGATCACGGGAGATGTTGCAAGGAGCGACACTTTTGGATGGGAGGCTGAGCTGCACAAAAGTGTCGCAAGCGCAGCCGAATCCTCCCCAAAACCCAAATGATGACCTTTTCCGGAGGCTATTCGACCATGGCGTCAGATTCCTTATCTGGAAGTGTCTGGCCTCTTTCCAATTCCAGCCGAGGGGTTCTGCTGGTACCGAATCCGCTAAAGAGGTCAACCCCCCCGCGAGACTCATCTTAGCGGCGAACGGATTCGACGAATCAACAAGTGAGACTTTAAGTCATCATTGTCTAGATGACGGCGCTAGACTCGATAGTCACTCTTGCAGGTTGGGGAATCTGCTGAGATGCTCCGTGGCTGCTGCTTTTGTTCAGGCGCATGACGTGCATTTTTGCCGATGCCGATGTGGGACAAACTTGGGGGTCTGCATAAAGGCTTTGCGAGTTTCTTGTGTCACCAAGTGTTGGAATTTGCGGCACTTACATGGAAACTCTGCATAGAGTAAGCAAATCGCATATCAGGAGCAAACTTGCAAATATCGCTGTCACATGTGAATGTGGATGTTCGAGAGAACATTGAAAGGTTGCCATACGTTTATTTTGCTTGGACTCAAGACTACAATGCTGCACCGGAACAATTGCAACATCTAGAAAGGCATGGGCAACTTCGGAACATACGCCCCCTCAAGGTACTTCACCTCCTCATCAGAAAGCTGAACCTTTGAAGCGCCCACAGCCTGGTCAATTCTCTCCTTGGTCTCCAGCCCACAGATGGGCATAGACCCCTTGGAAAACAGCCACGCCTGCGCAACCTGCGCCATACTCATGCCCTTCTTCCCCGCCAGCTCCTCGACGCGCCCGACAATGGCCCTATCGGCACCGTTCTCCGCGCCACGGAAAAGCATCTGCAAAAAGGGGTCCTTTTGCTCGCGGGGGTCGGAGCGGTCGGTCCAGCCGTGCGTGAGGACGCCGGCCGCCAGCGGGGACCAGGGGAAGAGGCCGACGCCGGTGGCGTTGCAGTAGGCGTTCATCTCGCGCTCTTCTTCGCGGTAGAGGAGCTTGTAGAGGCCTTGCATTGAGATGAATTGGTGCCAGCCGTTGCGGGCTGCTACGCTTTGGAGCATTTGGAATTCCCAGGCGGCCATCTGGGTAAGGATGTGTTAGGAGGTTGGCGTTCTACAGAGAATGAAAGGAAGAGGAAGGTAATGGAGGACTTACTGAGCTGGCGCCAATGTAGCGGACCTTGCCGCTCTCGATAACGTCGTGAAAAGCCTTCATGGTCTCCTCGGGGGGCACATCGCGATCCATCCTGTGGATCTGGAGGACGTCAATGTAGGTGCCGAGACGCTCAACACTACGGTCCACGGCCTCGAGGATATGCTTCCTGGACAGGCCGACCTGGTTCACGCGGGGTCCTTCGTTACTGGTCAAGTTGGCCGGGTCAATGGGTCCCTTGTTCTCGTCGACGAACTGGAAGCATTTGGACATGACGACGAGCTTGGAGCGGGGGATGTTGTACTCCTTGATGGCGGCGCTGACGATTTCTTCTGATCTGCCGTTGGAGTAGGTGTCGGCCACGTCCCAGGTGTTGATGCCGCGGTCAAAGGCGTATTTGAGGATGGGGAGGGCCTCGTCCTTGTCGAGGAGCCAGGGTTGCCAGTTCTTGTCGCCGAAGGACATGCAGCCGAGGATGACTTTGGAGACTTTGAGGCCGGATTTGCCCACGCTGTTGGGAGGAGTCAGCTTTGGTTTCTTGCGATATCTTGCCGCAATGGGAAGAATGGGTGAGAACTTACCGCACATACTTCATTGAATCCATGGTGAGCTAGTTGAATATTGGATGTAGAGTAATGTGAACAACTGAACAAGAGTATTTATGAGAAGCTTTTGAGCGTGTAAGTGAAGTGAGTGCAGGAATTAGAGAAGCAATTCTCGTGCTGGTCCAGCCAGCTCTTTATACCTTCTCAGTTCTGAACAGAATCCCGCGAAAAAAGCCATTAGATACAGCAAAAACCATACCTTTCGACGGACTTACACGTTCGCTCTCGGCATCACAGCATGGGTGTTGCCCGCATCTCCGGACCCGGGCACCGGCTCGAGGCCCACAAAATAATCCAATTGCATTAGCGCCGTTCCGCTGTGTCATGACACGCAGCAGCCACAGGAACGGGGAAGGAACATGGAGTTAGGGGAGTTGGCTGACTCTCGGCGAGTCTTGGTCAATCGTCCGGTTACACACTGGTGTAAGGCACGTCAAGGCAATTCATGCTCTGACGATATCTACTTCTGAGTAAAGCTATAATGTCTTTGAGCCAGCAATACCAAGTCCAAGCATTTCCCCACCCGGCAAGCAGGAACGTTTGAGGTTCGGGTTTAGTGCTTACACCGAGAATATCCCCAAGGATAGTAGAGTCTTAGAACACATCATCTCATTATTAGACGCCATCGGGATTGTCTCCCGGCTGATATTGGTGAAGCCAAAGACGAGCGAAGGGTTTGCCATTGATTCCACCACGATCTTGTTGGTGTTTAGTGAAATATAGCCACTCATCACTGTGGCTTGAGCAATCCGCGAAAATGGTCAGTAATTACCACGCTGAAGTGTATGAAAAAGCTTTATTTTCTCAAAAATTATACAATCCAGCAAGATTATCATTAATTGGAAGAGTCCTTCTTAAGATTTTATTCTCAATGAACCAGGGAAGGAGTAAAAACCGCTGACTGCACCTTCCACTGCCAATTCCTGTTGGCCCCACACCGAGAACCTCACCTTCCAGGTTCAATTGGGCCCAGTGGGCTGAATCTCCCCTGCGCCGTCCCAAGCTCGTCCCTTGGCTAGCTGTGCCCGCTACCCCAACTTTCCATCACTCAACCTCGTCTTCTTCCTTCAACATCACACGCATTTTCGTCGTCGCGTTTACCATTTGATTTATATACCACCGGCGCGATGGCGCAACAGGACGCGCCAAAGCTCCTCTGGAACCCAGACAACGTCAAAGACGTCGCCGAGTCCGTCGGAATCCCCAACCTGAACGACGATGCATTGCGCTGCCTGACGCAAGATGTCGAGTACCGGATCGGACAAGTCCTCGTCGAGGCTCTGCGCTTCATGCGCGCCTCCCGCCGTACTACTCTGACCGTCAACGATATTAGCACCGCGCTCAAGGCTCTCAACATTGAGCCTCTCTACGGATACGACTCGACGCGTCCACTGCGATACGGCGAGGCTAGCTTGGGACCCGGGCAACCGCTCTTCTACCTTGAAGATGAGGAGGTCGACTTCGAGAAGCTCATCAACGCTCCTTTGCCCAAAGTGCCGCGTGACATGAGCTTCACGGGTACGTGATTTCATATCTTCTCCAAAATCTCTGTCACATCTGCTAACTGTTGCCAACCCAGCCCACTGGCTTGCCATCGAAGGCGTTCAACCCTCCATCCCGCAGAACCCCACGACGGCCGAATCGCGAAGTCAAGAACTCGTACCCAAGGGCCAAGGTGCCAATCCAGCCCTCGCTGCCCTCGCCGGAAACGACAACCTCTCCTTCCGCCCGGCCGTTAAGCACGTCGTCTCCAAGGAGCTCATCCTCTACTTCGAAAAGGTCCAGAACGCCATCCTCGATGATAACCCCGACGAGGAGGTGGTGCGCCTCCGCCAGGCCGCCCTCGAATCCGTTCGCGATGACCCGGGTCTGCACCAGCTGATCCCTTACTTTATAAACTTCGTCGCGAACCAGGTCACCCACCGTCTCGACGACGTCTTCACACTTCGCCAGGCCATGGAGCTCACATCTGCGCTCATCGCAAACACCAAGCTCTACCTTGACCCCTACGCCAACTCCATCGCCGCCCCCGTACTTACGTGCATCCTCAGCCGTAAGATCGGCGCCGAGGACGGTGCAGACGCCATGCGCGAGCAATACCAGCTCAGAGAATTCTCCGCGTCCCTGCTCGGCCAGATTGCGCGCAAGTACGCCGCCTCGAATAATCTGTTGCGCCCAAAGCTGGTGCGGACGTGTCTGAAGTTCTTCATGGATCCGGATAAGCCGCCCTCGACGCACTTTGGCGCCATCACGGGCGTTGCGTCCGCTGGTGGTCCCGAGGCGGTGCGGGTTCTGGTGCTCAAGTGCCTGAGAGCCTACAACGACAACATCCTGCAGCCTCTCAAGGACAAGGGCGAGAGCATCGAGTTTGAGATGCTCGTCGGTGGAATTCTCAAGGCTATTGCTACCATGATTGAGGACGATAGAACGACCGTCAATGGCATCAATGGGAGCGCCAACAGCTATGCCGCTGAGCTCAACGAGTTCATCGGGCCCATCCTCGGAGAGCGGCTGAATAGTCTGGGCAACCGGAGACTGATCAAACACGTCTTGGATGCCAGAAACATTGAGTGATAGTCTGGCGAGCATGGGCTGTCTTTGGGAGGCGTCACGGCGTTTGGATCAGGCATGGCAGAACATGGTTTTAGAGAGGCATACCACATAAATTGAGACCGTCGGCGTCTAGCAGTTAACCCATTCTTTTACCCAACGTCTATTGAGTGATGCTTCTTCTTCATTGATCGTGCAAAGAGTTGCTTGAAGCGTCAGGATTTGACTCCTTAAACTCCTTGCTGCTCAGCGTTGATCCAATACCAATATTATCCCGTAAACAATGCCTCTCACATGGACGAAATTAAGACTCCATCAAGTGGTTGGAACAATTGATTAACATGCTTGTTACTCAAGGGAATTCGTTTTACAGCTTTCAGTCTATACAATACCTCTCGCCTTAAGCAGAAGGAGGCCGTACGCCCTGCAATTTCCAGGCGCCAACCAATAAAACTCCAGGTTAACCCCCAAATCTCCCATCACTCTCATCTTCCTCTGGCCCCTTCTGTCCCCGTGACGACGTCCCAGTGACCGTCGTCCCCTACCCGATTACCACGTCCATCACATCCACCGACCCCTAAGCATCCTCTAACTTGCCCTCTTCGTTTACCACGCAAAGGCGAGGCCAACAGCCGCGACAAGCGAGCTGGACCAAATGACCCAGCCCCACTTGACAATCTCAGGCTTGGCGAAGCCGAGGGCGAAATCGTAGGTCAAGTGGCGGATACCGTTGAAGAAGTGGAAGGTGAAAGGCCAGGCGACAAGGAACTTGAGGCCACCCTTCGCAGCGAGCGGGAGGGCACCGAAAGCGGCAATGAGGGACTGGCTCTCGACGTGCCATCCGAGAAGGGGCGCGACGAGGTAGGTGCCAAAGTAGACGTAGAAGGCGGCCGAGAGACCGCCGCCGGTGATACGGGTCCAGATGGAGGCGCCGAACCAGGTCTGCTCCATCTTGTAGATTGTCAGGTGCGGGGAGATGGGGCGGCTAAGGCGCTGCTTTGCGAGGAGCTCGAGGCCATCTTGGGGGGTGAGCTTGGTGGTTGCGACGGGGCTGTGAAATTGAGAAAGTAGTTAGTATCTTGAGATTGGTCCATCGAGTGTTTGGGTCGTTTGTGAGGGAATAGTCGGGAGCATGTGCTTCGAGGGCCAAGGGGAAGACGAGGGCCAGTTGCGTACCGAGACTGGCTCGTCGACATGCTTTGTGAAGCAACAATCTTGGGAATCTGCTGGTTGAAGAAGACAGAGGGCTTCGTTGCCGCTGTTGATTGAGTCTCGTCAGCCTTCCATTGTCCTCTATTCCGTCCATAATTACGATGATGTAAACGAACCTCGGCGCATGGCCGACACGCCCACCCTTTGCGCAATCATTGTGTCGGTATAAAGTGCGTTATTCTTTGTGATCGAGGGATATCGGTCTCGGGGAGGGCGCGTAGGTAATTCGGCCGGAGGCGGAGGAATTCGAAGTCGTCGGGGTTTTGAGGGTGTTGATGTCAAGCTCCTTGCACCAAAGAAGAATAAATTGGAGACTGTGCACCTTGGATCGCTGGACTCTCCGATTGAAGCGAAGCACGGGAATACCCTCGGCTTTTCGGCTACCCATCGACCAATCAGCGCGAACCACTTCCTAAGCTTTCTGGACCACGTGATCTGCGCCGCAAAGGGAGCGCTGGCACGCTGGGCGCTGGCGGAAAAAAGCTTAGACGAGAATCCCTCGGGGTAAGGACCCACCTGGGACCGTCATTAGCTAAGCACCGCCCTTCCGCACAGACCATCCCTGGAAAATTCTCTCGCGGCACACAAAACCGCGTCGACTTTGCACGTATTTTCCTCCCTCTTTTCCTCTTTCCTCTCCTCAGATAGCAACGGCCGCCCGCCGCAGCATAACTAATGGTGGCCTTTCTTCCCTTGGGAGGAAATGGTTCACCCATGAAAGGCGCTGCTGGTAAAACCTTTGGGTTATGGGTGGTTGGAGAGTAATACTGGGATTGGATCCTTCGTTGATCTCGGGTTCTGGTTTGCACCGTCTAGAAACCGTTTCATTTATAGGCATCTACATACTTTTCGCCATGACGTGATGTTGCTGAGGTCTCGTGAGGGAACAGATTTCATGTGCGAATTATGGCTGTATGCGCCCGCACTGGGTGTAAATACGCCTTGTTGAGAGCTGCCGCGCTGGACCGAAGCTCGAACGATTTCTACCTCGAGACTGGTCAATCTGTCCCCCGTGTTGTTTCATGAAGCCCATAATACAACCTGCCTCGCAAAATGAGATCTTCATGAGGCATTCGAAGATTCGGCCAACTTCACCGGGCACCGTCAAGACTGAATGTGCTGTTGCGTGCTGCCACTCGCGAGAGTGGACAAGTTAGAACAAACCATCACCAACCCACAAGTCATTGATCCCAGCGCTCCTGATTTCGGGATATGCCTACAGCGTCTACCGGTATCGACGTAAGCCACGACTGAGAGAAATGCCCTCGTGGAGTTTCCGACAATCGGTTGGCAGCGTTTTACCGACCGTTGCTTCTCGAATCGCGGTTCAATCCTGCAAAACGTGCGCTCTGGCGTTATTGTTGATTTAAGGTGTTGACATAAGTCAATCCTCACTAGACAAAAACCATGATCTCGGCATAATATGGTCCTTGACAGGTAGAACCCGACAATCTCGGTCTCGGACTCTTTACAAGTAGCGACCATCAAACCATAATCATAGTCTCGTCAGCCTCATATCTTTGAACAGTAGCTTAATCCAAGGAGCTAATAAGAACAAGCTTCCAGGGACCGTAGTCTAACTGAGTTCGCGGCCCGCGATAGCTTTACATGGACCTGCATTCAGACTATGCCCTGACGCTCGCTGTCCGTGCAGCTGTCCTTTTTGTTCAAGAGAGATGGTGGGTTCCAGTGCACTGAGAGAAAGTTTCACTGGTTGCTCTCATTTCTTTAACCGGTAACGCGGACGATAAGGTTTGGAGCCATGGAGACGCCTACGTCTTGCATCAATTTCTCAGAAGATCAGGAGTAATGACAACTGCGCGAAACAGAAGGGTCTTCAGCCAATACCGTGACGTGAGCGAGTCAGAGCAGTCAATTGGACCACAGAAGCAAAGACTCTGGTGTTATTGATGGATCGCCGTTACCCAACTTCCGGCAACTTACGCCGCGCGGTGGCAGCAGCACTCTGCAGTGCATAGCGATCCAGCGTACAGAGTACCACACAACTGATCAGTGATCCCCTGCTTATTCCTTGCCGATACTTGCGAGAGGGTGTCCACACATCAGAAGTAGATATCGCTGTTTACAACCATGCTGAACAATGCTTGGGTGACTGGGACATATCTCTGAGCTAGTGTAATCTACCTTAGTCGACGAGGGTTGAGGTATGTATATATATATATTTATTAGTTGACAGGACAGAATCGTGTTACTTTGGCAAACCCCGATCTCAGTCAAGAGGACTAGCACCAAGCAGACACTCTCTGAAGAAGACCATAGCGTTGGAGGGGTCCACAGGTCTAGTCGTTGACTTCCGTAACCTGGGGCCTGGTCAGTGATAACGGTGGGAACAGCAAAATTGAGCATGGCATGACTCCGTGAGCCTGATCACGACAACTCGTATAAACAAAGTTTCTTTGGCTTATAATCAGCAAATTAGTGACTGAAAATCTATGGTGCTAGCCTCTATCCATGTCAGTCTGAATTCGCATTTAAAACCATGGCGTGTCCTTGAGGCTATCAACCCACCCTCTGAGCCTGTCATCCTCACATCAACTACTCAGCCAGCCCAAGCAACCGCATACCAGAGCAATTCGACCCAAATTCATCACTCGTAGGTCACTTAGTTTGGACAATCACTCGAAAAGAACGTTATGTTAACTAGAAGATAGAAGATGAAGTTGTCTCTTATCCTCACCGGACTTTACGCAGCCGGTACCGTCACGGCCATCACCAAGAGCTGCCAACCTTTCACCTTTTCGTCCGAGGGAACTGCCTGCACAGATGATTATGGCTCTTGCACCATGGGAAGATGCAAGGATAAGTTCCTGTGGCTTAGGTGTACTTGCCCAGACGACTACCCTCACGTCCACTGCGGTGCGAAGTGTGGCTAAACCGGATCATGAGAGAGGCTCCTCGAAGCTTGGTTGTTGAAATTAAAGGGCGCATGACAGAAGTGATGGTTAGGGAGGAAATGTGACCTCACAGAGAGTGCGCATCATAGTCTTAATGTTGGAAACAGCACTTAGACTTGGAGTCTATACTATATCATCGACACATGACCGAGCCTGCAGCTCATTACATGTTCGTCATTGAAAGATTACAGAGATTTTCAAGCCTTTGTTCTTTGTTCCTCGACCGGCTTCCTGTCCTCGTTTTCACGGGCATTCTTTAACTTGGCATCGTCAGGTCTGCTCAGTTCTACTTGGGGCATCAAGAAGAACGCCACGAAGAATGCGACAGCCGCAAGGCCTGCCATGACCAAGAAGATAATGCGGAACGCCTTCCTGTAGCCGGGCAAGATTGCAGCCCTTAGGCTCTGTGCCTCGGCTTGAGGCAGGTTGGACAGCACTTGCTGAGGGTTTGCGAGCAGCTTCCGGGACTCGTCGTCTCCCAAGCCAAGGCTCGCTATGTTGCTTGCGAGGCTATTGTTGCTGCCATCTCGATGTTAGCTTTTGTGGAGGAACATGTGGGCATGGGAATTGAAAGGGTGGACTAACATGATGGTCCCAGAAATGGCGAGTCCGATAGTGCTGCCAAGATTCCGTATGAAACTACGCAAGTTGTCAGTTCCTTATGATTCCCATACAGGTGCGGTGAGTAAGAATGAGGATTCGTGAAGGTAACTCACTTCCTGAATGATGTGACCACAGCCATATCTTTTCTGCTCACACCGGCCTGGATCGCGATCAATGCCCTGAGATGTGTCAGCTAGATTGACCTTAGCAACGCGGCATCGAACTCTCTGCATCACTAACGGCTGTAATGTGTTGCCAACACCGGCACCAACTAGTAGCGAGTATCCGACTTGCTCCCCCACGCTTGAGTTCTCATCGAGCGTTGACATCAAACCGATGCCGACGGCCCACATGACCCAACCCAGCAGGATGCATTCTCGGTAGCGCCCGACTTTGTGTACCACAAGGCCTGCCAAAGTACTGAAAAGCGTTTGTGTCAAAGTGACTGGAAGAAGCATGGCGCCGGATTTTGTTGCCGAGTACCCGTAGGCTAGTTGATAGAAGGCCGGGATGTAGTAGACCTGGACGACGAAGTTCCATCCGTTGATGGCCATGGTGATACATGCGCCATTAACAATCTTCGACTTGAAGATGTGTACTAGAACGCCTGCTGAGTTTCTTTTTCGTTACAAGCATCGTTCGGGCCAACTTACGGGGAACGAGAGGAAACCTGGCTCCTTTCCATTGCCAAAAGATGAAGCTGACACATACGAAGAATCCTACTATGAGGGTGGCAATGACGTGCGCTGAGTTCCAGGGATGATCACCTCCACCCCACGTCAAGCCGAGCATGAGGACAGTTGTTCCAGCCAAGGCAAGGAAGCTTCCAACGAAGTCTGCAGCCTTGAGTTTACTGACAATATGTGATGTAAGTAACAACGCTGAGTGATTGAGATTGCTCTCAGGTTCAAGACTAAAAGACACTCACAGTTTCCAGTTACCTTCCACCTTCCTGAGCGGCATGAAGAAGATGACGCAGACTGTGCAAAGAAGAGTGAGAGGCATGTTCAGACGAAAGATCCATCTCCACGAGTCCTTGGACTGGGAAGCAAGAGCTCCGCCAATGACGGGCCCGATACCGTTCGCAATGGCAACTACGGAGCCCTTCAATGATTGTCAGCAACTGCAGGGTAAGGCGAAAGTCATCGTCGCCCGTTTAGGCTTGATGTTGTCATTGGGTCTTGTGACCACACAGGTAGAGACACACTTACCAGAATGCCTTGGTACTTGCCCCTTTCCCTGAGCGGCACCACATCGCTCACAATCATTTGCGCGACGGTCATCAAGCCGCCGCCTCCTATACCCGTCCATGCTCGGAAGACGATAAGTTGGGTCCCAGTATTTGAGACCGAGCTGGCGAGGGAGCCGGTGAAGAATATCGCCAAGCCGATGAGTAGAATCAACTTCCGCGACCAGATGTCCGACAGGCGTCCATAGAGGAGCTGACCGACTGTGGATGTTCTGTTTGGAATCTCTTAGTTGCCTCACTATGTAAAGTACACGACCGTTTGTTAGTACTTACATAAAATAACCGCTGGCGATCCAAGCTGTCTGATTACTGGCATTGAGAGAGTTTCCAATGATATTAAGACTGGCTGCGAGTGTGGTCTGGTCCATAAGAGCAACCAGATCCACGCTGGCGCAGGCTAGGAAGATCTGAAAAGTATTGGTCAGTCGAGAAGTCGCATAGACGTATCTCAGATCTGATCAGTCGGCCAACTTACTGTGATGATGGTCCTGGGACGAACATAGTTTGTCTGTTCGTTGAACTCATGCGTGGGCTTCTCATCTTCAGAGACATTCGCAGACTTTGGACTGGTGCTTGCTACAGGCTGACCTGGAGCATCAGGAGCAGCTTCAGCGAGGATGCCACTCGTCTTGTCGTTCTGAGTGGCCATATTGAGGATAGAGCGTAAGTCTCGACTTACTCACGAGGAAGCGAAGAAATTGTGGCTGCGTCTGTCCAGCTCAAAAGACGCGAGCAACTAGGCGAGGAAGAAAGCCCCCGGCGTCGGTCGTTCGTAGGATCGGAGACCGAACCCTGGCCATTAGGGTAAATGGCGACATGCCCAAAGTCGCATCAGTGCGTTATCAAACACGAGCACCCTTGATATGTGTCTCTATACTGCCGAATGCCAAGTTGTGACTACTGCTTGTTTCCAAGACCATCGTGAAGGTAAGTGGTCCGGTGGAAACAAAACCCCTGCGCGGACATCTGACGATCTGACCCCGCCCGACAGGGATGGGCTTGGCAACGAGAACCCCTGTGGATTGGCTGGAATGCTCCCGCGAAACATGCTCAACTTGGGGAAACGAGCTCAAACCAACTCCCCCAGAACTTCGCAATTGAGCTCTCTTTATATATCGTCGAAGCACAACGGTTTTGGGTCCATTCATCACGGCACCTTTGAGCCGGATTGCGACTCTACTTGATGGTTTCTAGGAGTCTGCTGTTACGGTCCTGGAGGATGATCGGCACCATGTCGTTACGTATGCCCTTGCAGGACGCAGGAAGACGCTTGTCTCACAAGGTACTTTGATGACAGACATGCCCAGCGTCAGCAAACGTGAATAACCTTGATGACTCGTGTCGGTCGGCTTTCTTTAGTGTGGTGTTGACCAATGTCGACAGGGGCATCACATTAGTCCAGGCTCCGGAGGTTGTCGACATCTGTCACTCATTGGAGAATTGTCGGGGATGTGGGATGGAAACGAGCAGAAAAGATGCCAAAAAATCACTGACAGGCCAAGTTTCATGCAGCCTGATTTCATGGTTGCCCTCTAATAATGTCACAGCAGAGTTACATTGCCAGATGACGGTCCACTGACCGCGGGTATATGCGGTGTGTGAGAGCGGCCATGTCTGTGAGGATGGTCAACTGATGCCATCGAATCATAGCTTGAGCTGTATAGCTGAGTTATTTCTCTCTCCCCTAGACACCTCGGAAAGATGGGTAGTTCGAAAGCAATAGAGAATATAAAAGAGCACTCGCAGTCTCCGAAAACAACATCATCTGATAATCGGTACCATTCGATATCACCCTTCTTTGTTTCACAAGCCTTCTCAGTCCTCCAAAGTAGCACTGAATCGCAATGGCTCAACCTAATCACACCAACGTCTACACAGGACCAGATTCAGTCAGGAATTACTTCGACCCTGATGTTGCCCCGCCGTTGCCACTGGTCGAGGTACCCGAAGCCTTGAACCCCTATCGCCAACATGGCGTCCGCATATACGCCAAGATGATGTCGATGCATCCTGCGAACAACGTCAAGGCCATGCCAGCGCTTAATCTGCTTCAAAATGGGGTTGTTCCAGGAAAGACAGAGACCATCGTCGAGTACAGCTCTGGCTCGACAGTTATCTCCATGTCACTGGCTTCTCGAGTTTACTACGGTGTACCCGAAGTTCGAGCATTTCTCAGCAACAAGACAAGTCAGGCCAAGCTGAGATTGATGCAGTTCTTTGGTCTGGACATGTAAGACAATTTTCCTCCTCATGACTTCTTCAAAAACTCTCGGATAGCATAGCTGACCACTTACTGACCAGTACCCTCTTCGGAGGCCCTTCTCAACCTGAGCCTCTAGACCCACGAGGTGGTATTTGCGCCGCAAGAAACATGGGCAACGACAAGGGCACGGCACTCAACCCGAACCAATACGAAAATGACGATGTAGGTGAAGTTCGTGGTTCATCTATGGTGAGCAGGCGCTCACACAGTCTCGTAGAACTGGAAGTCCCACGTACGGTGGACTGGACCCCAAATCTTCAAGCAATTGCCTCAAATCTCTCTCATTTGCGCAGGAATGGGTACTTCTGGTAGGACCGATGCCAACTCCGTGTTTTCGTCAACGACTAACATACCAATAGGGACTCTCACCGGTCTTGGAACATACTTCAAGCAAGCTAAGCCGTCGGTATACAGGCTGGGTGTCTGCACCGCACCTGGTGACCGTGTTCCTGGCCCTCGTTCCTACGCTCTTCTTCAACCCGTCGAGTTTCCCTGGAGATCTGCAGTCGACCACGTCGAGCATGTCGGCTCTCAACAATCATATTCTCTCTCGTTGGACCTGTGCAGACAAGGTCTCATCGCCGGCCCGTCCTCTGGTTTCAACCTGCAAGGCCTTTACCAGTTCCTTGACAAGCGCATCGCGGCAGGCAGTATGAAAGAATTAGCCGACGAGTCTGGAGAGATACACTGTGTCTTTGTCTGCTGCGACTTGCCTTACCAGTACATCGACGAGTACTTTGCGAAATTGGGGCCTGAGCACTTCCCTGCAATCCACAACGAGGTATGCACAGTCGCACTCTTGATTCTCCCCAGTATCCTTACACAGAAGACTGACTTTGCTCTTAGAACCTCACAAAGGTTGACCTTCACCGCTATGATGAGGCATGGGAAAAGACTGCAACTGAAGTCTTCATGCAAATACCGTTCGCGAGCGTTATTCAGACCAACGATACCCATTTGCCGAGCACGCCACGCTACGTCGACACCAGCAGCGCTGCTCTTATCCCCCGTCTTCCAAACACCATCATCGTTGACCTAAGAGACCGCGAAGACTACCAGAAACACCACGTCGCAGGTTCTGAGAACATTCCAGTCGTCGAGTCCAGTGACTGGAAGCCGTTTTCGGACTCAAAGATTCTCGAAAAGCTATGGCTCGAGCTGGAGGCGACATTTGACTCGAACACAGACGTCGGCAAACAGCTGGAAGAACATCGACAAAAGCCTATCCTCGTTTTGTGCTACGACGGCGACAGCGCTAGGGTCGCCACCAGTGTCCTGCGTGCAAAGGGCTTCGAGGCCGACAGCGTTCGAGGAGGCTTCAATGCTTTGGAAGAGCTGGAGAGAACTACCACACCTACCTCGGCGGCTTGTTCTAAGGACATGCCCGTCACTTCGAGTGTTGAAGAGTTGGTTGGTCATTGCCAGCCGTATCTTCAGCTGGTGTGAGGGGGAGAGGCGTAGTAATGAATTACTATTACCTTGATGAAGATACGAAATGATGGTCATAAATACTTGCATGAACACAGATCGGAGGGTTCAATCGGGAAAAGGGCATTACTCTTGAGCATTAGCATTTTGATTCAAAACATCGAACCCCTGACCAAAACCAATCTGCTCTGATATGTGCCCAATGAACAGTGAAACTCGAGTCTCGCGATGTTCCCCCCACAATTGTTGTGCGCAATCCGTGAAGTTTCTTCTCCTTTTGTTCATCATTATCAGGACTACCGGTACGGTTCGCAAGAAGACAAGGCTTCCTAAGAAACAGTAACGGGCCAATCGTTGCAGTTTTGACTTGGTTCCTCGAATGGTCCGTAATGGACATCATTGCCTCGGTCGTTCTCTGCAAAAGGAATTGTGGGACTGTGGATACCTGAGGCAGTGGCTGGTGCCCCAGGCACCAGCTGCCTGATCCACCTCCTGGTTGATCCAGCCCACCGCAGCCACCTTCACCACAACATCACCAACCAACCGTCAATACCAGTCGTATTGCCTCATTGCTTGCCTCGTTGGTCCAGATGTGCAGTGTGTACTGCCCACAGGTTATGAGAGCCCATTTTGACTTTTTCCCCAGCTATTGAAGCTATTTAATTATTCCGTTGGATTCGCCTGTCGCGACTTCCTCCGTTTGTTTATTTGGACTGTCACGTCGTCAATACGTGAAGTCCACCCCCGACCCTTGATCCTCGCCACGCCAAAGCAAGGATCCCGACCTGTTGATCGACAAGGATTCCGTTAATCCATCGATCAACCGTACGATCAATCAACAACCTACAGATCATCACCATGTCCTACCAAGGGTCTTCCGATGGCGGAAGAGCCACTTGGTCCATCCCTCAGCTGAAGGGAGAGGAGAACTGGGATGACTGGATGGATATGCTGATGTTGACATTAGAATCATTGGATCTGTCCCACTACGTTGAATCTGACGTTGCTAGACCTCACGAAGATGAAGTCCCTACAGCTGCCCAGATCGACGCTGTGAAGAAGTGGAAGAACGACAGAATCCACGCCTTTGCCCTCATTCGATCGAGCATCAACCCCGTGGCTTCACGCCTTCGAGCAGACGGTTACGAGATGAAGACCCACGACCCATACGCACTAATGGCCCGCTTACGTGCCATTATTCCCAAGATTTCCGAGGATGCCATCGTTGAACTGGTTCGCGAGCTCTGTGGTATCAAGAGGAAGTTCTTTACGGATGGATATAAGTACCTCGAGCGAGGCCTATATCTCTTGCGCCGGCTAGACGAGCTGGCCCCCTTATGGTCTAAGAAGGGAATGTACATTCTACTTATCGGCTGCCAGGATGAGTATCCTGCGATGTTCGACAAGTATGTGGAGGATTCTAGCAAGACGTTGGAAGACTTCACTCGCGACTACACCTTCAAGTGTAATTCGGCCAAGGCTGCTGCCAACGCAGCTGCTAAAGGGTATATTGCCCTGCCGAATACCAAAAATACTACCAACAAGTACAAGGGCAAGGAGGATCGTAGCGATCAGCCCTACTGCAAGCACTGCGAAGCTCGGCACCCGCAGCCCTGCTTCGTCGCCCATCCGGAATTGATGCCCAAGGAATTCAAGTTCCGCCCGCAGTTTCAGAAGAGGGCAGATGCCCATACCTGTACAGACAAATGCAGAGAGTCTAATGGCGAGGCTGCGGTGGTAAAGGCCACAACTAACAGCCTTCATCAACCGTCCATTGGGCACACCACCCTGCCCGTGCCGCCTGCGCCTGCCCACAACCTGCGCCCACTGCTGGCAGCTGCTGGTTCCGTCGTTAACAAGAACGACGTGATCCTGGATTCCGGATGCAGTGTCAGTACCTTTAACGACCTGTCGTGGTTTACTTCCTTCACAGAGGCGCAGATGCCGCCCATGGAAGTCGCCAACGGTCAACTGGCAGCCCCGTTGGGCTATGGAGACGTCTACCTGCCTGCTGTTGACCCTGACGACAGTGGGAAGGTTGTGGACTGGACTATCCAGCAGGTCCAGTACTGCCCTGAATGTCCAGTCAACCTGCTCAGTTACGGCAGCCTTCGAACACAAGGATACCGTACCGATGATTACAACAACATAATCACGTTGAATGGGATCAACATGGCCAAAGTGGATTGGCGTAGCAACGTCGCTGTATTCACCACCCACAAGACGGAAGGTCCACAACTTGACACCGCTGTCAGCCTTGCTGCAGTCACCAAGACGCAGAAGGTCACGTTTAAACTGATGCATCAACGCCTTGCCCATGCTAGCAAAGATCGAGTGATCCAGGCCTGCCGCCGCGTCGGCATTACATTCAACCGTCAGGAAGTTGAGGACTTCCACTGTGAGGCCTGCCACCTGGGCAAGTCGCAGCAGCTCATTAGCAGAGCAACCCCGGCCCGCGAGGCCCAGCCTGGCCACCTTATCCACATGGATCTGGCGGAAGTCACCCCGCTGTCGATCCACAAGTCCAAGTACTGCCTACACATGATCGACGCCCGTACTGGATTCCATTGGGGATACTTTCTGAAGGACAAGAAGGCTGTGACCGTATGCGAGAAGGTCAAAGGGTTCATCCAGTTCTTCAAGACCCAGACCAACGGCCTGACCATCAAGGCCTTCCTCATCGACAACGGCACAGAGCTATACAACACTATTACGAAGGAAGTCTCCCAGGAACTCGGTATAGCTGTCAAGCTAACCGTTGCCTACACCCCATCGATGAACGGCAAGAGTGAACGAGCTGGCAAGTCCTTTATGGAAGCAGCCCGGACTAACCTGATTGATGCTGGCCTGCCGGAAATGCTATGGGACTACGCCATCAACACCATGATTACTGTGCAGAATTTGCTGCCTAAGAAGACCAACCCAGGCCAGCAGAGCCCCCACGAGATGTTGGCCAAGGACTTGGGACTTGACAAGCAGGCCCAGATCCCCCACATCCACCACCTTCGGACCTTTGGCTGTGTTGCCTACCTTCACAAGAAGAGCACTCTTCAGCCAGGCCGGGCAGCGAAGATGTCTGCCCGCGCAGTCAAGGGTTACCTAGTTGGGTATGAATCCCTCCATGGTCACATTTTCAACGTCTGGGTGCCTCAACACCACAAGGTCTACCGCTGTCGCGACGTACGATTCAATGAAGGACAGCAGCAGAAGGCTGATGACGAATATGACGATCCCACTGTTGAGCACGACGCAATTCTCATCGATCCAGACGTCGAGGCGGACCTTACTGCTTACGAAGGTCCCCTCCACCCGTACAATGATAACACTGCTGCTGACCAGCAGTCTGTTGACGACCCCTGTGATGGGGATGATGCTGACGCGGCCAGCAAGGAGCACAATAAGGTGACGAAGTCCTTGCTGTCGCCACCTCCTGAAGACACTGTTGTGGTCAAAACAGATGCCCTGGAATGGCAAGATGACGATGACGTCGCCCTGATTCCTACCCACCAGGACCAACGCGACAACTCTGACAGCGAGAGTAACTACGACGAGGCCCTAGAATCACAGCTCCAGCAGGATATTGACGAGGCTACCCAAATGGTTGAAGCTGAAGATCACGACCTCCAGCCTGCCCAGCCTCCTACTGTCAGGAGGAGACCCAGTAAGGATTACGGCCCGCCGTCACGGACCTCTGCCCGCGTTGTCAACAAGGGTATGGCATCTATTCCAACTACTGTCAACAAGGCTTACGTGAGCCTCGACCTCATTGATAGTCAACACCAACAGCCAGCTGCAGTGATCACTACCAGCACTGCTGCTGCCGTCACCGATCCACACATTCCACGTACGTTCAAGCAAGCAAGAGATAGTCCTGAGTGGGACAAGTGGAAGCCTGCCTTCGAGAAACAAGTGAAGGCACTGGAGGATGCCGGAGCGTACGTTCTGGTAGACCTGCCAGACGGCCAGAAACTTCTGCCCGGCCAATGGATCTGCGATATCAAAGATGACGGCATTCGCACCCGATACCGCGCCCGCTGGGTGGTCTGCGGGAACAGGGCAGTGGAAGACTGGCCTGCAGAGGAGTTGTACGCTGCAGCCGCTGCAGCTGCTTCCATCCGTGTGTTCTTTGCTGTGGTTACAGCTAAAGAATACATCGCTGAACTGTTCGATTACGACACTGCCTTCCTGGCAGCGCTGATTCCAGACGACGTCAAGGTATACGTCCAGCAACCCCATGGATTTCGGAAGGGCAGCAAGGTCTGCCTGCTCCGCCGCGCCCTATATGGCCACCCGAAATCACCAGTGTGGTGGTTCGAGAAGATAACTGGCCACATGACTGATCTAGGCTTTACCCCTGTTGAGGGCGAGGTCTGCCTATTCCGCCACAAGACCCTTGATTGCCTAGTTCTGATGTATGTGGATGACAACGTGATCGCTGCGAAAGATCGCGCCACTATTCAGAAGGTCAAGGATATCTTAAAGACCTTTGTGAAAATGAAGGAGCTGGGCGACGTCAAGAAGTTCTTAGGCTATGAAGTCCGCCGTGTTGACAAGAGACTCTACCTTACCCAAGCTGCCTTCTGCCGGAAGATCATCGTCAAATTCGGCTACGCTGACCTTCACCCTGTCAAGACCCCTATGGATCCCCATGCCAAGTGGCCTGTTGACTACGATCCTGTTGATGAGGACCGCCGGAAGCTGTACCTCCAGATGACTGGTTCAGTTAACTTCCTTGCTACTGGAACCCGCGCGGATATCGCGTATACAGTCAGCAGACTCTGTGAGGTTAACAAGGGCCCTGGAGATCACCACTTCGCCGCTGTGAAGCACTTGTTCCGGTACTTGATTGGTACCAGCGATGTGGGTATCTGCTTTGATGGCAACTTGCCTGTTGATGAGCTTGGCCTACACGCAGCTGCCGATGCTGCCTTTGCGGACGATATACTCACGAGAGTTAGTACAGGAGGTTACGTTATATTCCTGGCTGGTGCCCCGGTCCTGTGGAAGACGAAGAAGCAGACCTACGTCACCACAAGTTCTACAGAGGCAGAATTCATCAACCTTACGCCTGCTGGACTGTCCCTTAACTGGATTGCAAAGCTGCTCCAGTTGCTGGGTTACGAGCAGCCTCGTCCACTGCTGCTGCTGACAGACAGCAAGAATGCCATGACTAACGTCCTGAATCCACTAAACCAGGCCCGAACCCGCAATATTGACCTGAGATACAAGTGGATTATTGACCAAGTCAAGAAGAATAACTTCGAGTTACGCCTTATACGAACCCACGAGATGGCGGCCGATGGCCTCACGAAGGCACTTACCTACGACAAGCACAAGGCCTTCCTTCAGCTCCTTGGCCTCGTCCAGGCACCTAACCTACGCAATTGACACCATGATACTTTCACCACTAGCCATCGCGGATGGTGAACATGGACGGAAGGGATAGATGGACTGTTCAGGGGCGGTATGGGAATGGATTACTAGAAGGATGGGTTATGCGGAGGACGTCGGAGGGATTGCCAGACCACGGCCGGAAGCGGAACAACTCCTTCCGATGCCGGATTTTGATTTGAATCGTCAAACTCCTCGGACTTGATCAATTCAGCCCAGGGACAGTTGATCCCATTATTGTATGATAGATATCACTTGCGGTGGCTGGCCTTGGTGGCCTGAGGGGCGGTGTGGGACTGTGGATACCTGAGGCAGTGGCTGGTGCCCCAGGCACCAGCTGCCTGATCCACCTCCTGGTTGATCCAGCCCACCGCAGCCACCTTCACCACAACATCACCAACCAACCGTCAATACCAGTCGTATTGCCTCATTGCTTGCCTCGTTGGTCCAGATGTGCAGTGTGTACTGCCCACAGGAATGCTATGTTGGATTCGAAAGATCACATCCTGGAGTAAAATTAGAATGAAGCTTCCAATACACGCTGAATGTGACACTCACTGGGTTGTAAATGAAAGGCCGGCCAAATGTGATCAAATCCAACTTGCCATCCCTGACTAGACGATCTGCTTCGTCGACCGTATAATCGTAGTTGGCCATAAGCTTCGAAGGACTATTAGGAAACTTGACTAAAGGTCCGAAGTCCATGACCGGACCATAACCCAAGGGTAGAGGGAAATCACCCGGCCTCGTAGTGTTCCCGAAGAAGTCTCCTGTTCCTCTTCTATGGCTTGCGCCGCGTCGAGAAAGGTTGATGATGCCAACCCGCCTTTTGACAAGCTCTCTGATGAGGTATGTGTAGACATCCTTCATTTCTTCATAAGTGACCACAGAGTCGTTTGTCTGGTCGGTGGGACAGATTTTGATACATACCAACTCGGGACCGAAAAACTTCGGCCAAAGCATCGGACACCTCCAGAATGAATCGGCACCGGTTCTCAACCGAGCCACCATACGAATCGGTGCGGATGTTCGCGCGTCTTTAGACATGTCAGAGTCGAATTTGATGGCAATGAAAAGCAGTGATAATGTGCACTCACTAGTTGAGAAATTGTTGAGGGAGATATCCGCTGCGTCCGTGTCAGTGACCAGCACCATATCCAATGACTATGCCGGCGCTTACCCCTGAGCTAAAAGCTCGATACCATCGAAACCTGCCTTTCTAGCGAGAACGGCAGAACGTCTATACATGTTGACAAAATCTCGCGGATCTTCTATTTCGGTGATGTTATGAGTATGTCCCTGAAACGTGTTAGCATATGTCAATGGCACCTGCTAGAATATCGTAAAGCTCATACCGGAGTGCCAGGAAGATCACGGTATTTCCCCCCCTGGGCTGGAATCTTGGAGGGTGCAACGACCGGATGATTCTTTTCTTGCATGATTGGAATCTGGTCATTTTGGCAGCGGCCTAAACAGTTCAAGGTTAGAAGCTTCGAGTCCCTACGACTCATACGGGCTTACTCACCAAGATGCCATGGCTGAAAGTAAATCTTCCCACCCTGGGCGTGTACAGCCGCCGTGACCTTCTCCCATGCTTGTGCATGATCCTCAGTGATCATGAGAGGTGCCCACTTCCAATCACAGCCTTGGCAGTCAACGAAAGTGCCTTCTGCGATGATAAGTCCTGCGCCGTCTTTCGCTCGTTCTGAATAGTGCCGAATTTGTTCATTTCCGGGCTTGCAATTATTTACGCATCGATTGCGTGTCATTGAGCCTATGACCACCCGATTAGATAGGCTGAGTTGGTTACCGATAACAACGGGCTGAAGAAGACTTGACATGCTTGCGTCTGCGGAGCTTAGAAGAAGAAAACGGGCGTTGATTGAGGTGAGTTACTGGCTAAGATTTTACGACAATCGTTGGAATTTAGCAAGGACCAGATTGGACTTCGTGCTTATATCAATGAAGTAGCCTTAATGGAGCGGAACTTCGAGACAAGTGCGCATCATGCATGTACTTCACTGACCTGTGAGTTTGTTGAGTGAAAGGCGTCGGATCGGCGGCACGGCGCTAGTCAGATGAAGGGCGCAGGTCCTCAGATGACGATCACCCAGCTCGACAGGCCGCGCGACTGGGCATTGGAAAACTACGAGAAAGTAAGACTTCGATATCATCCTTCAAGATCAGCGGATACAAGCCCATCATTCGCAAGCGAAAAGGATCGCACCATCAAGGCCTCAATAATACTCATGTTTCCAGATGTGAATTAATCTGTAACAAAAGTCCCCTCCGTGCTACATTGATTGGAAGGCGTCATGCCGCGCGCAGTGATAGCCTCTTAAACCTAATGACCCCTAGAATCGGACAGTGTGGAGGAAACAAAGTAGCAGTAGCTACTCAATTGAATACTTCTACAACGTATCTGCTCTTCGTAGCCATACCGAAGGACTTCTGGACATCATCTGCTGCATCTGCCTTTTCCCCCGTACCATCGCCATCCTTATGTAGGGCGGGGGCAAGGACATCAAACACAGAGTCTGAGACCTTCTTTCCACCGCATACATAAACATTTGCTCCTGCTTTCCAAAGATTGGTGACTTCTTGCAGATGGTTCCGAAGTTGATCAGTGACATGCTTGCAGGACATATCCCCCTCGCGACTGAAGGCGCGGAAGACCCTGACAGCATTCTCAGTCTCGAAGGCATCGAACTCATCTCGATACATGTCATCGAGAAGTTGACCATGGCAGCCGAAGAATAGAAGTGCCGGCGCCAAGGTGGCACCTGATCGTAGTGAGATTGCACGCTCTTGTAAGAAGCCCCTGAAAGGGGCTAGACCAGCCCCGGCGGCAATCATGATAACTGGCGTTGTTGCTTGAGTCGTTGCGCTTGGAAGGCAGAAGTGAGGTGTTGACGGCAATGGTGAAACAAAGAGCACACTTCCCGGACAGAGCGAAGCCAAATAGTTCGACGCAAGACCCTTCTTCTCAACAGTGTAAGTGAGAGTGGCAGAGTTGGAGTGCCAAAGTGGTGAAGAGGAGAAGGGGTATGTTCGGGGACGCATCCGAGGTAGCATGATTAGGAACTCCGAAAGCGGGAGGTTGAGATCTGGGTAAGACTCCAGTACTTCAAGGACACTGAGACCCGTGTTGCGCGACTCCGAGCCAAGCAGGCGTTTTGACATGGCCTCTAAGACTCTGCGGGTCTCGTCTGAGACTGCTAGCTCACTCATAACCTGAATGTTTCCAGGAGTTGCGGTGCCTGTCAACTCGACATAGGATGCAAATAGGTCCCACGCCGTAATAGGGGTATTGCTTGGAACCGGAAGTGGGCGTCCAGATTCAGACTTAATGGTGAGGACAACGTCGCTGCTCAACCTGAAATATGACAGAATTCGGCGCACTAGCTGTGCATCATTCACCGGCAAGATTTGGACGTGGCCACCTGCTTCATAAACTGTCCCAGGTGGGAGCTCCAGCTCAAGGTGTCTTTTTGCTGGGCCCCCTCGGCCGATAATACTCGAATGTCCTTGACGGTGGCTGCAACAAAGCCACTGCGCGACAAAACTCGTGGAGTATCTTCGAGCGTGAGCTCCACACCAACATCCGACTTGGACCTGCTGGCTTTCATGGTGGCAGGGTCTCCCAAGAGTAGTGGCCACAAGTCGTTCGTCAGCCACTTCTCAACTTCGAAAAAGACATCGGTCGCTGCCGTGTCTGCGGCGCCCAGGGTGCACAGCCTCTGGCCTCCAGCTGTTTCCAACATTGAATCAAGCGACCTGGGAACCTTGAACAAGGTGGCTGGCCAATCTCTGTGACCTGTGATACTTGTCGTCAGTGCGTGTCTGAATGCGAAGCTACCAATGCATATCTTCAGGGACTTGCGGTAATCAGAACATACCACAACCAAAAACGGCAAATTTCAAATGCTGTAAGTCTCCGGGCTTGAGACCTTGAATCCAGGGCGCGAACTTGGCTGCGTTGCGAGACGGTAGACCATTATAGGAAGCAGCGACGATAATGACAGGCTGATCTTTCGGTAGACAATCAACTGCGTCGTTCATAGGCAATACTGTCGGGCTGTATCCCTTTGCCCCAGCATCAATGGCAATTTTCTGAGCCACTGCCTCGCAGGTGCCTGTATCTGAACCAAACAGAATGGTAATTGGGCGGAGTACCAAGGACTTGACTAATGTTGAACAGACCATCGACTTTGGGATAGGCTCTGGAACAGCCTTCGGACTTTTGAGAAAGTCTGTCGGGCGTTTGTCATTCCTCAAGCTGACACGAACTTTGAAGTCCGCGGGCTTGATGGTGAGCAGATGCTTCACCTTGAGCTTATAACCCGGGTCGCCTTTCGAAAGATCAAAGTTGCGTAAAATCATTGAGATGGCCTATAACGGCAGTAAGCATTGAAAGCATGAGGGTTGACACAGAAATAATTGGGCTACGCACAAGTTGGGCTTCCTGCCAGGCGAACGCTCGGCCAATGCAACCACGCATACCGTTCCCGAAGGGTTTCCAAGCGTTTGGAGGAATGTCCTCGAGGTTTGTCATCCTATCAGGCCTAAAACTTTCTGCATCGGAACCCCAAACTTTGGGATCACGGTGCAGTGTGTGCAGGAGAACACACAAAGCCTCACCGGGCTTAACAAGATACTTTTTGCCAATGATCTCGTCCCTGAATGGGGTAACATAGTAGCCCGGCGCAGTAGGCATAAGCCGCAATGTCTCTCGGAAAACGGAGTCCAGAAAGGGGAGTCGCTGTAGATGGTGTACGTTGATTGGGCCATCACCGACCACTCTGTCCACCTCCTCTCGTGCCTTCTTCAACTCTTCGGGATGCTCTACTAAGTAGTAGATGGCGAAAGTTAGAAGACAAGAAGTAGTCTCGTGACCGGCGACAAGAAAAGTGATGATGTTGTGCACGATTGCCTCTTCGCTTAGAGAGTCACCAGTGTCCGGGTCTTTGCCGTTGAGCATAGCATCGAGGAGGTCATTGGGCATCTTTTTGCCGTTGGCTTGACGTCTTTGAGCAATAATTTCGCGACAAGTAGCCTGCATCTGCTCAATGTTATTCCGGAACTTGGACATCGCTCTGGGCCGAAGGAGACTGAAAACGTCGGGGAGAACAGCTTGCAGATCCGCTTCAGCGAGGACTTCCACCATGCTCTCCACCAACGGATGAGCTTTCTTGTCGAGATAGAAGCTATTGAAGCGATAATCCATCGCACAAATAGAAATGGTGTCCAACGTCAGGCGGGTAAAGTCATCAGCCACCTCAATAGGCGCAGAATAACAGTGTCGGGCCCTATTGCTTGTTAGTTAGATATTCAGGAGCTGTCCGGACGCCGCATGATGATTTCCTCACCATTTGAGACATAGCTGCTCAGAAAGATCGTTCATATTATCAAACATGCTGCGGATCTTCAAGGGTCCAAATACTGGCATGAGGATGCGGTGTGACACACCCCAGGTATGATTGTTATGCTGCGCTGTGAAGAGTCCATCGCCGGCTGCTGCTCGCATAATCTCAACGCCGCTCGTGACGATTTTGCAAAATCTGCTCTCATCGCTGAGTTCATCAACGAGCTCGCGGCTTGAGACAGTTATCTCCCTCGTGCCGGCAAAGGTCAGAGAGAAAATGGGGCCTGGGACATCAGCATCGAAAACCTGCACACGTGTGTTAGATGAAAGAAATGCGAAACGCCAAGAGCTTACCGTATTTGCTGACAAGCCCAATAAGGGAGTCTAGAGGGCTGACGAGATCGATGTCCAAGATGTTGCCGAGGATGGGCAATGCTAAGACGTGTTCAACAATATGCCCCTTGATTCAGGTGAAAAAAAAAACGGTTGTTCCAGACAACATACGTTTTGGTACGGGGACAGGGACTGGAATACCAAGAGAAATCTTGGTTGGCTCGCCATCGATACTCATGTCCATGGTTCCGAATCGGAAGAATTTTGACCACTGAGCTTATGATTTGCGACAGATTGGCTCCTATAATGTCACGGCATGGGGAGGCTGGACGAACGCTTGACTTGAGATGGTCTTAAGACAAAATGTCTCCAGTACCCGTGATTCGAGAAGAAATTTAAGAAAAATGCAGAAACTTTGCACAAAGACTTCAGTGACAGCTTCGTCAGGGGACGCGCAGGCTGGCTTTGAAAGCTATGTTCCGATGGAACTCAGTGTGCCGATTATCGGTCTCTCTAGGTGCAATTATTGCATTGCGCGAAACATTTCTCATGATTGATGCAAAACAAAGTTTTTGATGAAGGACCAGATGGACAGTAGACCCCATCGACTTCGGCAGTTGCAACTGTTGATGGTTTCTTTAGACCCACGAGGGATTTTCGCCAAGGACATTGAGACCTCCAAGCTTTCCGGTGTCGAAGGATACACGCGACTTTGACAAAACTAGGTACTTACAACATCCGCTGCGAGAAGATGCCATCAGAAGGGTTGTTTTCCTGAACAGGGCTTTGAGCCGTGGCCAGATATCACGACAAGTCAAGCCGTGAGTCACCTTGAGGAGAGAACGCATGTCGTAGCTCGTACAGCACCAGGCTCCACTGGCAGTCAGTGTTACGATAGGTCATGTCAATGGTAATAAAGCCACTAAAGTCAAGGTGAGGTATCTCTCAAGACAACTTTCTCATGTGAAAGGTATTTCTTTATTCCAGCAGAATAACTGTTTACAACGAGGAGGCCTCCGAATACACAAAAGAAGACCTGCAAGGGCTACCTCATGGAGGACTGCTGTCAAAGCTCCAAAGACGTTGGAGATTAATACCGCATTGCATAACTTATACGCACAACTGCCTTGCCTTTTACCCCAGACAGGAAAGCCGACAAGGAGTTGACCGGCGAATGGGGATCATGCTAAAGTCAGAAAAGCTTACTGCTCCCCATAAATAAGTAGTGGCAAGCGCCCGTCCCCCAAATCCCCAACTGACTAGACCGCCAAGACAAATCCCTCATACATAACTTGCCCAGATGCCCCCGTTGTACTTGTGTGAAGTCTCAAGAGCTCGCGATACCTTCCCTCGAACAATTATGTTTGAGCAGCTCATTTATGAGCAACCGCACTATGCCAAACAAGTCTCGCCTTGCGGGCGCACTCCGTAGGTAGCATGCGGCACTGGTGTCAGAAATCGCTCACGCGACATACACAATCACGGCAACACGGCCACGAAGGAAAAGAGGTCAGTATTGGGAAGAGAAACCGAGAAATCTGAGGATATGGCGCTTAGGGATTGCACGTGGCCCCAGGTGACCGACTTCGTGTGTCCGATGAGGATGGATCCTGTGCCCTTTCGCTCGCTCCTGCGGGTACCGAGTATCGTGTATCGTCGAGCAGTGCCGCGTTCCACTCCTTCGACCATATTTTAAGCGTCTGGCAGGCGGGCTCACGATAATTATAAAAGGCTCTCTGTGTCCCTGATGGCAGTATGCAGCCGACACTCTGATCACCTGTCTCGTCCTAATCGATCCTGCCTTTCGACACATCCCCTCTCTTCCAAACATACATTACCTACTCTCTACCTTCTTCGGTGGGCAAACAGAATATTCTGGGGCAAGAGATGGGTGATATCCAAAGTGTTGTTGTCTCGATCTCAGCTGTCTCTGAGATTCTGGAATGCAAGCGTACTTTTTCAAGTCTCTCGACTAGCAATACCACATCATCTCTCGCCACCACCAAGACACGTCGACCTCCACGTGTAACAAGCACTGAGAAGGTCCGCGAGCTAGTGCGACTGGCAATAACAAGACTCCGAGTTCTTATGAGCGAGAGGAAGGGTACGCGCAGGCCGATCTCAGAGAAGGGCCTGTTCTCCTACAACTATGTCGAGCCCTTTTTCAACTGGTGGGGCGCAAACTACCGTGTTCTCACCACACAATGTCTCGGCCGAGTTGAAGCCTCCGATGCTCTGGATTCAGTGACGAAGCTTGTTAACGGGGCTTCTCACAACTATGCTGGCTTTTATAAGGCTACTGCTGAGGCTGAAGAGTTGTAGCAACTGTGCTTGGAAGCACTGCCGGTGTCTGACACCCAGGCTGTTCCCCTTCTCCGAGACGAAACACATCATGCAATCGCAGACTTCTTTGGAGCGGAATTTTGCTTCACCACCAGCACTGGGTATGGGTCTAACTACATCGCGCTGCCAGCGTTGATAGATTGCTGTACTGTGGTCATCATGGATGAGAACTGCCACAACTCGATGTTCACTGGCGTGTTTCTAGCTTCCTCGCCAAACCTGCGAAAGTTCAAACATAACAACATGGAGCATCTCGAGACTTTACTCAGCGGGTGTATCGATGAGTCTATCAACGTCATCGTGGCCATCGAAGGTCTTTACAGGTTTGTGAAAGCAGCTTTCGCGTGTCAAGGGTTTATCAGTTACTGATTTGAGCCATCACAGTATGGAAGCCGATGTGCCCCCCCCTAGATCTCATTCATCGGCTGAAGAAGGACTACAACTTCACTCTTTATTGCAACGAGGCGCACTCTTTCCTCTCTCTTGGAAAGACGGGCCGCGGATGTCTCGAATACTGGAACGACCACCACCCAGAGAGCCCGTTGCCCTGGGACCTAATCGACATTCGCACCGGTACACTCTCCAAAGCTGTCGGTGGTATTGGAGGTATTATCGTCGGCAAGTCCGTTTTCAAGGACATCATCAGAGAGCGCATCGATGGCCTTGACGAACAGGACAATGTCTCCTTGCCTAGCTCGACCATGGCTCAGACGTTATGGGTACTCGGTCAACCACATCGAATCAGCCGCAACCTCCAACGACTTGCCGAAATTGCGCGCTTCTGTCGCGAAGAGTTGGAACACTTTGGCATATTCGTTTATGGTGACGTCGGTACGCCAGTTCTACCGGTCTACACCGGCAGACCCAGCGTTTCTGCGAAGCTGTCTTACGCCCTGAGGTGCGACGGACTACTTGCGACACCAGTTTGCACTCCAGCAGTGCCATTTTGGGAGAGCAGAGTTCGTATCAACCTTTCGGCGGACTTTACAGACGAGGAGGTGAACAAACTTGTTCATGCTGTTGTTATCTGCGCTGCAGGAAGCGTGGGTATGGGGAGGATGAGAAAGATTTCTCGTTCCTTTTTCAAGACCGACACAGAAGTTCTCGCTGCGGATGAGGGCTGCAACGAGGCTTCGAAGGTCTTTGACTGGGTACGCAGCTTGGTCAAGATGGATGCTGCCATGGGCCCGCACAGCGATCAGAAACAGCTTTTTGATGGTACTTGTGGTCCTCGGATCCTCGACATAGGTCATGGATCTCGTGCTCAGTATGGCATTGGAGCGGGCGGTGCCAGATGGATTTGTGGCACGTTTCCTCCACACCTTGTGGTTGAAGACCTGATTGCTCGTGCCACGGTTATGGAGGCCGCCTTGACCTATGCAGACGCTCCTATAGGGTTGGCTTCCACCATCGCAGCTCTTTCACGCCCTCTGATAGGACATACGAAGCATTTCATGCTGTTTGAACGAGGCGCGTCTCAGTTTGTTCGCGATGGTCTTGCAATGGCATCGAAGAAGGATGCCCCTACTCTGCTAGGATACGTTGACCTCTTTCAACTGGTCCAACAGGTCAGAAAGCTCTATCGGAGAAACGCAATATTGTGTCTTACGGTATACGTCCGCGTCGGAGAGGACTCGGCTCATCACCTGCTTTCTTCTATCCTAGAAGAGATTGCTGCCATCACAGGTCCGGAGTCGGTTATGAGCATCCTCCTCCATTGCACTTGGATCCAAGACAACTTATCGTTTCCCCTTCCTGTGAGAATATCCACGTCTTGGTTTGCGGCTCTTTCAATCGCATCTTTGGCCTACCAAGCAGGGTTTCTCACCGGACCACAGAGCTTAATTCGAGAGCTCCGATACACGAGCAGGGGCTACATGTTCACTACTTCCCCACCGCCATTCGTCATGGATATGTTGCGGAGTGCTCTTGAGTGGAATCTTTGAGTAGGGGCTCTGAAAGAGGCTTGCACATGCGCACTCTTGCCGCAAGATAGTAGGTAGGAAATTGCATCACTACTAGTATGCTACTCTTAATTCTGAAATCATCCATCTGTCTCTCGTGATTTCTTGCACCATATCCAGAGTCAATCAACTTACAGATTCATTCACCCATGGTATGTTGAGTTGGTTTCGGGAAAGCAACAAGCCCTTTTGTTGGAACAGCAAAGGCTGATAAGGAGTAATAGGCAGGTACCATGGGCTGGCTGGCACCTGCCCTGGGCGAAGTGGGACAACTGGCTTAGTCATCACGGCCGGATAAAGGTGGGACAACCACCCAGGCCGTCACTACCTACTTCGACCGACTCCTGCCTACAATGTAAGATAGAACAACAACAAGAAGAACAAGCAATAGGATCACCAACAGACGAGTGATAATTGCTACCACTATTTGTCGTATACGACCCCGTGAACCAACACCTTTGATATGAGTCCGTGAATCTTCTCAAAGAGTTCGAAAAACCACCTAGAGGCGAAAGGCCATTGCCACCCAAGAAAACTTATGGTCCAATCCCCCCAAAGCTCGAGTCAGGCCAATTTGAGAAGTTTACCTTAAATGATGTACAAATAACTTAGACATGATAGTCAAATTATTGAGCCAAACTATTGCTCAAGCCACACCCAGCTTGGTTCAATAAGGCAATCGCCACATAGAAGCTACATCTAGCCAAGTTCGATCTCCCAGGGCATTTCAGTGTGTGAGATTGGACTGAATTTTCTGAAGGCTGTCAGAGTTTCAGGTTCCCTTCATCAAGAAACCGGAGATCTGCGTTCCGCAGATTCTTTTCCAGACTTGAGTGAATCTTACATCGACTTCTTAACTTGAGTAGGCAAAAATATCTCCTGGAAAACTTCGGAAGGACTGTATTCAAACATGTCTGATCGTCAAGATGAGTTTGCTGCCTGTTTGCCAACGGAGGAAAGCACTTGGGCGATCAACTGTGGCAAACTGCTGCAGTTTCCGAGAAGAAAGCTTAGCAAAGCTTAGCAGAACGTGAGAAGCGTTGAGAGAATGGAAAACTTCGTCAAGAAATCTTTGAGTGCCACGGAAATTAACCAAACTGAGAATAAATCAGACCCTCCTTAGCTGCAACCTCATGATGATTCGCGACCACTCCATGATACTTCTTGTTCTGGACAAAAAAGTCTCGGCCGATCGCTTTGCCGGGGCTGTTTGCGTTGACAAATTCAGAACCCCTGATCCCAGGCATTCGCTAGAAAGGTAAAATGACACCAAGCGGGCGCGGTCCAAGTGGCGGGGTTCTAGGCGGGGACTACGGGGATTTCAAGGACTTAAACAAGGAGCTAAGAAGTGTTTAAAAGGATTGGGGCACTGGCATTGGATGAGGTTAATTGACTGACAGGGGGACAGCAACTCAGACTCGTTCATGGCATCGGCAACGCGTACGTGGAGGCTGGAACTCTGCCTGGCTTTACGGGAGTCAAATGACAGCAAAGCATGAGACGCATATCTGGCAGAACTCTGAGCTCGATTTGACAGGTCGACCCTTTTCTCTGGGATAATCTGAGGGTCACGGCTGTTGAAAGGAACATAGGCATCGTTCCAAGTGTTATGGGCTGTGGAAAAACGAGCGAGCAAGCGCTGTACGGATACATAAGCCTAGACAGCGTGCTAGCCAACGGAAATCTCAGACTCGCGAACCGACGGCGAATAGCGTATGGTTCCGAGCTTTGTTACGAATTAAGCATAACTACAATTAGAGCACATTCGGCAGCACTTCACTGCTACCTGCCGACAGGGCAGATCAAACGCCGAAGTCATCGTGAAGCAGAGCGTGGTCGGCAATCGGTTGGAGGATTCTCCATTGGGCTCCAAGGCGGGATCGCACTTCGATGATCGACGGCTTCCCGTCTTTTTTACCACCCCGTCGGGATCGTCGGGAGGCCATAACTCGCTATCGTTTACTGTCTGCGGAAACTTACGATCAAATCGGAGACCGCGTGGGATGCCCGCCCGCCAACTTGTCGCGCATCGACCTCTTCCAGACCACTGACGATCACCCGTTAAGCTCTGGGCCATGCAAGTTATGTCGGCCAGAGGGACCCTGTGAAGACTAGCGTGGTGTTTCTAGAATTGTCGGCCACCTGCCGCGTACGACTACTGTGTGCTCCGAGCGAAGAAGGTAAACGTTTCGCCCACTGGGCCTAAGTTTCCGCCTCGTTTACTCTAACCCCATCTTGTCTCCCCCACTCTCTTGGAAGAAATGTGCTGCGCGCAGCTCGTTGGTATGTGCAAGCCCTACCTGCCAATACCTTAATTCAGTTTCGTTTCCCATCTGTCGGCGGGAGTCATGCACGGTCGTCGGCCGGCATCCTGCCTGAGTCGCGAGCCTCCACGTCGTAGTCGTCACCCTATAGCTAACTGGGCTGGTCTATAATTAATATGGCCGTGCTTGTAGAAAAAGCTTAACCCCTCTCCCGCGGGCATTCGCTTTCTGGTTAGCCATGAGCAACTCCAAGGGCCTCATCCGAACTTGCTACTGGCAGACTGGCAACTCACGAACGACAACAGTCCGAGCGAGGCGTGATGGTGTATGCACCCGAGCGTTCCGTCGGCCTGCCCAACGTCCAGCTCCCTCGAGGCATACTGGAGGTGGAAACTTTCGTCGTCGCTTTCGTAGCTCGCAACAAGTGGCAAAATATGGTTACCGCCGATGGCATGCGGCCGAAATGGTAATGGCGTGGCCTACACGATGCCGAAGTTTGTCGGCCACGGCCACTCTGGTTGTGCATGATAGCGGCGAACGTACTCTGCCTAGTCGAAAGACTAAACGGGGAGATTGTGATGTGTCGGTCTCGGCATCAGTGGTTTAGAATCAGAACAGAAGTACATAAGGATGGTATATTTCCACCATCACCACATCACCAGTTTTTGAACAGCAGCCTCAATAACCAAGCTCATCTCACCAAAGACTCCCTCGCCTAAGACCATCTCCGCATCTCTTCCCATAACGTCTTCTACACTTTGTCTGAATCTATTCAGCTCACAACTTTATTTCAAAATGGTCGCCATCAAGAACCTCTTCATCGCCACCCTCGTCTCCAGCGTTATCGCTACACCACTCTTGAGCGGTCGCAATATTCCAGACGTTGATGTCGACTCAGTTGCTCCCATCGAGACCCGGGGTGAAGCTGCCAAGAATGTGAACGCTGCTGCCACATACGGCAATGGTGGATCATTTGGAAACGGCGGAGCATACAAGAACGGAAACGGTGGCGGTTTCAACTCTGGCAATGGCGGCGGTAACTGCGACTACTCTGAGAAGAACAGACTCGATCAAGAGATTCGAAACAGGGAGCGCATGAAGGACCGTCTCGACGACGAGATTCAGAGACGCCAGAACATGAAGGACCAGCTTGACCAGGAGATTCGCCGCAAGCAGAACGGCGGATGGTGAATGATGCTTTGACAATTTTGGATAATATCAAGCATTTTGCTAGGCCAAGGCGTTGAGGATGAGAAGTTTCAGAGAGCGAGTTGGTTTCTTTTCCTGGGGGAGTCGGTTAAACATGGTGTTTGGGGTATATCAAACTTGAGTCAATCCTTACAGGCAGACTAGGGCCGTAGGCATAATTCACATCTCAAAGTAGAATGATAAAAATACTACAAAGTCCTGATGACAATTCTGACACAAATCCAACATGAATGTCTGCTGTTTCCTGAGTTCCGCTCTACAATATCTTAGTATTCCAAGCTAGCTTTTGCTGGATATGACCAGACGCCAATTAGCCGTTACTTTATGCAAATATTTATCGACAGATATGTTACCACTCATAAAGCTCCGCAAGGTGAACATCCCTCAAAATTCGTCTCGTAACCTGCTTGTGCCCGGTCTAAGGGATCCGATTCTTTCAAGATGACCACCCCCGCTTTTCGTGGGCTTTGAGACCAAACCAGAAAATAAACACAAACATGGTAGATTTCTATTCAAGCCTGTCTTGACGAATAATTCTGGAAATGGCATCGAATTGAAGAGAAATTGAATGGGAAGAAAGCTATCAGGCAGACGTAGCGGGCCTTTCAAAAATAAATGTGTTCTGTGTACACGTAGGTATCAGTGGCATGTTATTTGTTACGCATTCCCTTTCACTGGGACTACCTACCTACTGACCCATAAGCTCGGCTTTCATATTGGCCAGAGCAGTTGTTTAGCTACTCACGAAGATCTAAGATGTCTTCCAAAAATTGGGCCTAGAATCGAGAGGCCCGTACGTCCAGTCACATTGAGACCTGCCTATAACTACAGGACTGCTTTACAACGTTGGAGTCACCAAAAGGTTTCCGGGCTCGAAGTTCTCTAGAAGGGCCATTTAAAAATTCTTTCCTTCCGGAATGGGAATTTGGCACAGAAGAAAATCCACCACGGAGATCATAATACAATTCTTCCCCTCTTCCACCAGACTTCTTCCCCCACCGGCAGTGTCCGCCTCATTGCAGCCCAACACCTCTGCCTTTCCATCATCAAGTCCACCACGCAAGCTTCCATTGGCTTGTCAGCCGCAATGGATTCCGTTGAGAGCAGTGGAGGAAATCTCGCGAAGTCATACTGCGAGTACAAAGAATTAACTAAGTCAAACCCCCCACTTCCTGGCACCCCCCTGTTTCTGGCACCCACAAAAACGCGAAAATCCACCACAACCCAATGCCCACCCCCAACCTCCTTTCATCACAACATTTTCAATTCGCGTCCAAATGGGCTCATCTTTTGCACATACCTTCTTCTATATCTAATGCCTCAATATACCGAAGATCAGCTTCGTCAGGCTCTCGAGGACATCTCAAACGGCAAGAGTCAAAAGAGAGCCTCATTGGAGTATGGGATACCACGATCAACCCTCCAACTACGTCTCCAAGGTGGTCAGACTAGGAAAGTGGCTTTTGCTGACTGGCAGAGGCTGTCTCCTGACCAGGAGAGTAAGCTGGCACAATGGGTTCGCATTCAGGCTTCGCTGGGCCTCGCACCAACGCACCAACAGGTGAAGGAATTCGCAGAGCGAGTTCTGGCTGCTGCTGGGGATACCAAACCACTGGGAAAAGGCTGGATCTATGCCTTTGTGAGAAGGAACCCTATCATTAAGGTTCAGAGAAGTCGTTCTATCGATTCTAGACGCGTTAATGGGGCATCTACTGAGGTCATTAGGAACTGGTTTAAGTTCCTCGCTATCCCTGAGATCAAGGACATCAAACCAGCCAACAGATATAATATGGATGAGACTGGCATCCTCGAGGGTCAGGGAGCTAATGGGTTAGTGCTGGGTATGGCTGAGACGACGTCTGTTCGCAAGAAACAACCTGGGTCGAGGGCATGGGTCTCTATCATTGAGTGTATCTCAGCCTTGGGTAGGGCACTTCGTCCTCTTATCATTTTCAAGGGGAAGACAGCCCAACAGCAGTGGTTTCCATTACATCTCGTTCCATACGATGGGTGGGAGTTTACAGCAACAGATAATGGCTGGACTACAGACTTAACTGCCATTGAATGGTTAGAGAAGGTGTTCATCCCACAGACTATGCCTGAGGCTGAGGGGGAGGCTCGACTGCTGATTGTGGATGGGCATGGGAGTCATACGACGACAGACTTCATGTGGAATTGCTATATTAACAATATCCATTTACTGTTCTTACCACCACACTCCTCTCATGTCCTCCAGCCTCTTGACCAGTCTGTCTTCAGCCCTGTTAAGTCAGCCTATCGGAAGGAGCTCGGTTACTTGTCTCAATGGAACGACTCTACCATTATAGGTAAAAGGAACTTCCTGGACTGTTACCAGAAGGCTCGACTTGCTGGTCTATCAGTCTCGAACATCAGAAGTGGTTGGAAGTGGACTGGTCTACACCCTGTGGCGATGGTTAAGCCCCTGATGAACCCTATGGTACTACCTGAGCCTCCTGCTAAGCCCACCACACCCAAACCAACTAGTCAGGGCAGAAAGCGATGCCATAATGGTCAACAAAACTACCCCTGTTGAGCCATGGGATTCTGCCTCCTCTGCAGTGGTCTGGTCGACACCCAGGAAGCTGGCAGAGCTCAGCGGTCAACTGCACTTATACACCCAACTCGACAATGATACCAGCACTCAACGGCTGCTATTCAGGAAGGTGAAAAAAGGCTTCACAGAGCAGGCCTGGCAACTGGCAGCTGCCCAGCAGCAACTAGCTCACCTGAAGGCTCAAGTTACCAACGCTGCAGTGAGGAAGAGGAAGACTGTTCAAATCGATCCCAACACGAAGTTCGCGAACATCAGGGATATCCATCGGGCTCAAATCGAAGCGGGTGAAAAGGAGGTTATCACGGCTGAATCCAGCGACTCTGAATGCCCTAGTGAGGCTGGCAGCTGTATTGTAGTGGGTGTGGTTGAGGATCAATAGTTAATAGTAATGAGGAGGTCGGGTTGTGATCCCATCGTTTTTGTGGTGCCAGAAACAGGGGGGTGCCAGGAAGTGGGGGGTTTGACTTAACGGCTTCCTCGACTGGTTATGGTGCCAGTATCGCATTGCGGCGCCTCAAGGCGACACTCGTCGCACTTTCAAATCTACCAAGGACATCCTACACGCTGCAAGGATCTTGGAAAAAGGAAACTACACCGTACCGGCATTCATCGTCAAACTTCTGAGAGGCGCTATCACCAAGCGGAAGTACGTCTTCAGTCTTTATCAGGCGCTCAATGCCGGCGACGCGAAACACGCGGCATTTGTTGAGAGGTACGCTGCGGTATTGGATAATAGTATTTTGGTTCTTGTGCTGACCTTATACAGGCTTGAGGAGACTCTCGCCATACTCACCCCTTTGGCGAGCCGCTCGACTTCAACCGGCGGCGCGACGTCTGTCACGCCCGGTGTGGTGACGCCAAACCCATACTCGCATCTCCGTGCCAGGGAGAAGAACGTCCGATACCAGGCGCAGGTGGACCAAGACGGCGATGACCAAGAAGCAACTCCAACGCTTCCAGCCAAGGAGATAGAGGCCGAAGCCTTGCCGTCAAGAGAAGCACACATCAGACTTGAAGACGATTATCTGACAGAGGTACTTGATGCTGCATACTTTTTGATCGTAAAACACCCAGTGCTGGGTACCCAATGATGTTTCTATATGGAGTTACTGACTCGCCATGAAAACCCAGGACCTTGAGCTCGCACACAACAAGTTGAAGCACTACTGGCAAGATGCCATCACTGGAAAGGTTCCACTTGTAATGGCCTCATGGCTCACGAGCTGCACCCTTAGCACAGCCATCGACAAGATGCCCCCTTCACTGGTCCAAGTATGCCTTGGCATGTTTGCAAACAAGGAAAAGGCCTGCAAATTCTTCAAGCAATTCCCTGAAGTCGCCGACCCAGTTGCACTTGTCTCCCTTGGCACTCGACTCTATCAGCTTGCTCACCCCCTGAACAAGTACGAAAGAAAGCCCACGAATACATTCGCCATGGACGATGAAAAGGTCGCCCACGTCTGTACTCACCATGGATGCACCTGCAAGTTTCATACTTATGATGCTTTTCAGTCCCAGACACGCGAAGTCGATGACCTGGAACTGTCCGACGACGACAATGAAAAGACACAAGCTATCTTTCATGAGATTGAAATCGCCATGAGTGGGCAACGTTCGATGGAGGCAGTCGAAAAAGCAAAAGGTATGGAAGTATATCAAGACTTTTCCGCCGTGTGCGAGCCCCTCTTCCTGCATGCCCAAGCCTTTCTCGCTAGACCGAACTTACCCGCTACAACAGGTCTCGTACTCGGAATTGATCTGTTCTTGTGGACGATGCAAATTTCATCTCACTCGCGAGCGAATGTTGATAATAAGCACGGCTATCTCCGGGTTCTTCGTTTAGCAGTGGAAGCATGCGCGAGCATAATTCCTGTCTTGGAATTCCTCGAGCCTATGTCAAAAACGCGCCCCGAAGCAGCATCTCATGTGAGATATCTCCATGACCTTCACAGTGGGTTGAAGGACTACATGCGGAACAGCAAAATGGACATCTACCATGGATCCATGTGGACCACTGGTTGTCACCTGACCGAAATCCTCACGTCATCTCTCCTTTGTGGCATGTGCTTATACAGGGACTGGGGAGTAGTCTCGTGTACCATCCACCACCTCTACAATGCGATGAGGCGCTGCATCGCCCGAACCCCAAAGATCACACTACTTGATGATCTGTGTGAGGTTTTCAAAGACATGGCATTCCGCGGAAGCTTTCCACAGCGGAATTTCCTGTCGGCCTACCGCCGCTTTGTCTACAACGCCAAGATGCAAAAAGAACCTCCCTACGCGGGTCAATCTTCTCGTCTAGAGATTGGTCTAGTCTCAAAACTGGCGGGCCCTGACTTTGACTGCTGGTTCCTGAGTCAGACATTCAATAACCATACCTTAGATGACGAGTATCTTGGAAGAACCTACGGACTTTCAGCCTCCAAGAACCTGAACCCTAAGCAATCGAGGAAGATCAGGGACACATATGTCGAAACCACGGTATCCAAACACTTAGAAAAGGCTAAGAATTTCGTGCTCTCTGAAGTTGAAGGAACCCACCCCGCAGCGCGTATCAACCATTGCGCCATCTTCACTGTCTGTGCCAAGTTTCTTGACGATCTTGGCAAGCGATCGAGGCCATATCTATTTAACCCCCACTTGATGCCGGAGGTACCTCCGCATCTTGCCTCAGAGTTTCAGCATGATGTGGTCTTAGCTCGAACAACGATCGAGCTAATCTTGGACCAGCTTGATGACTCTTCATCCGCCAACCGACAAGAAAGACGTCGCATGGAGAGGTTTGAGTTGCCCACCTATGCCCTGGAAGCTTTCGCCAATATGGACCAGAAAGCAACTTTGTCCCGGGTCTTGTGGAGCATCCAAACTCCATGTGACTTGCATGCCTCCAGTCTCGACATGGAGTTTACGAAGCCTTTTCTTCCGCGAAGGAGACACTGATGAGTGCTGAGACGAGTGTCTCTAACAGAAGTACAGCGTCGGGGATAGCGGACAGGGCTGATGCGAGTGGCATCATTCGAGCCCGCGTTGGCTCTAACATTACCTATTCTCATTGGGCCTGGGCAGTGAAGTTGAGAGATATTGCATGTGGTGAGAAGAAGGCCTACACAATATCCTAGTAGTAGCATCAGCAGTCTTCGTTTCCATCTCACTATCGTGATAATAGAGAGCTCGCCTCCGCTGCGGAATCTACCCCTTCTTACAGGTGCTTCAAGCGAGAGTCGATTATGATAGATAGCGAAGTGCTTTCTGACGAAGCATCAGTCAAAAAAAGGAAATGGCCCCTTGCTCTGCTGTCAATTGCGACCATTTGCTTCTCGGTTCCCTGGAAACAGTGCTATTGACGTGATGGAATGCTGTTAATGGCCCGGTAGGAATAATTGAGCCTCCCTCATAACCACATGCAAAGACAACCTCCTTTCCGGGTAGCAAAAGTCCCTAAATAAAGGGAAACACCGCCCAGCTTTTGTATTTCGATGCCTCAAAGCTTGTGCTACAATCTCTTGCAACAAATACACTCGGCGTTTTTCTACATTGCATTTTGCTCGCAACTAAGCTTTCAAAGAAGCTCAATCAGGGCGTCGACATCAGATGCAACTGCATTCAGACTGACACAATGCCCCTGCGCCCGGTATTGAAATAAAACGTCTTGAGATGTACGAATTAATAAAAGATTCGTTCCGTATACCAACTGCTGCAGCAGAGGCCATAGGCATGTAGGCCCGGTTTGGGCTCTGATTAAGTCTCTGTCCCACTTCCGTAGTCAGGAATGGCTCAAGTCATTCAAGTTTGAATTATCTCAACCCAGCTGGTCGGGAAAAATGAGTTCTAGAAATCGTCTGCTTTCATCCCTACATTCCGAAAAATGAATGGGTTATGTCACTTATACAGTCGAGAGCATGTAATGAAAATGCTTCAACATGATTGATGCATTTGCCTACCTAAATTTAGGGCCACTTAATGTCAAGAAGTCAAAGGGAGCCTTTCAGACTGTGGGGGAGGCGCTATCAAAGAGACACCTGAAGTATCCACCTTGATGTTATCAACGTTGTGAATACACTCGGGAAACTTGGAAAGTACTCTGGTCCGCATTCGGAAACAGTTTTCGCAGTGCCTTCCCAATCTGTAGGTTGAAGGAGCCTTCACCTCAGTTCCCGAGGAACTTAACAATCCAACTCCATCCCCCGCAATTTTCAATCTTTCACCCTCCACCGGTACCTTTCTTAACTTCACACGTTTCTCATTATTCACATCCCCTGGCCAGGTTACCACTCTTCTGTTCACGCTTCCTTTTGCAAGGATAAGTACATAAAGAATGTCTTCAGGCAATAGTCACGACCTCCGGGCTTCATACGGGGCATACAAACTCGCGACAAACTGCTTTCTGGGATGGATGGTAGCTCAGTATCGCTCTGCAGTTCCTGCACGTGGAGACGACGACTCAGGTCCGATCCAGTCTACTGGTGACATCGTCAGGATTGCCACGGTCCTCAAGGAGTCCCAAACTATTGTGCCTCTTTCGATTATTGGAGCTCTTGGCCACGCCATCGACAAGCGTCGGGAAGTCCTCGAAATTTATAAGGCCTTGGGTGCCGAAGATCCTAGTCATAAACATTTCATCAAAAGGTGAGCCAATAGTTTCATGACAGCATGGCAATTTAACCTGAACTGACGATAGTAATCAGACTAGAAGAGACCTCAGACATTCTGACGCCTCTTGTGGCGGAGTCGAAACTTCCCACATCGGAGATCCCGGGTATCGATACCGTGACGCTGAATCAATTTGCTGCACTCGCTTTGGAGGAAGGAGACACCGACGCCGACGACGACGACGACGATGCTCCGCTTCTGCCTACCAGCTCGAAACTCCCTACTGCTACCCATAGGCGGTCAGCCAAGGGCAAGGTCATTCTTCGTCAGCCACATGCCAAGCTCGAGGTCTTCCTCGAAGATGATGAGATGTGCCGCGTTTTCGAGGTGGCCTACCTTCTACACGTAAGTCATGAACCGTTACTCCCGAGATGAGACTTTTTAGACCTAACAAATGTCACCAGGAAGCTGGAAAGATGCGCGACCAGCTGATGATGTTTTGGGCCGAAGCCGGCAAAGGAATGATCCCGATTCCCGTCGCAGCGTGGCTTACCAGCACGGTGTTCTGCCTTACGAATCAGTTGATTGCAGACCGTTTTCCCCTGACGAGTGACGAGATGGAGAAGACGTGCAACAACGTTTTCGATTTTCTCGAAGCACAACCGGAGATCGACAATGCGACTGACGGTCAGCTCAATATCGTCCGCTTTTGCGACTTCCGCAAGTTCGTCAATGACTGGAGTTACAACCGCGACCAGCTCGGAAGGGGGGGCGACTTGTACGTATCTCATCATGACCAGATAGTCATTCAAAGACACCCGGACATTCCCCATAATCATAGGACCACGGACGGCAAATACGACGAGGAGCACTTCAGGGGAGTTTTGGAAATTTTGCAAAATACACGCACTTATTATGAGGAATTCCGACCCGTGGAGCGATTGGAACTCCACAACATAACCGACTCACAGCAAGCCAGATCGTCTGAGCCGGTTCTGGATTACCTCAAGAATTTCCATCTTGGTTTACTGCCTTCTCCCTCAGTGGAGGAACATGCTGCCTCGACAGAGTCGCCAGAGCAAACTGCCTCGACGGACTCAGCAGACGATGCTTCAACGGAGCTGGTCTTCGGCATGGATCTGCTCATAACGACGTTTGATGCCTTCCGCTGGCCAGATGGGAAACTCAACGAAGACGTTGATGCAAGGACCCGTGCTCTCGACCTAGCCTATGACATAGGAACCGCAGTAGATGACTCGTTGAAAGTCTTGCAAGATTCCCTCAACTACGCTCCCGGCGCAACCCTGGTAGAGGAAATGAGGGAGTTATTGCGGGGCCTGTTCGACTACGCCGATGAGCGTTCCAGCTTCTACTACCGCGCGCCTTGGACCGCCGGCGCACACATGGGGGAGATTTTGTTCCAGGCCCAGTATTTCGGCAGATACCTCGCCGGCAGCAATTCCCACACCGGCCTAGCCGCCATCCCGGCGACGCTTCACCTCTACAACACCCTCCGGCGCTCCGACTTCAATCTCGCCGAGATTCCCATCATGGAAGAGTTTTGCAACCTTTTCAAGGCCAACGTTTTTCAAGGTGACCTTCCTGACAAGAACTTTCTCTCCATCTACCGTCGCATCGTATTCGGCGGAACACTCAACAAAAACAAGTCCGCTATCGAGTGTGGGAACAAGAAGTGTATCGTCCCGCCGCTGATGTCTACCTTTTTCGAGCAACACGGCAATCATCACAGGATGGGCCCCAAATGCCTGGCCCGGTTCCTCGGAGAAAGCAATCCAACAACAAAGGCCCAGGAGGAGAAGATTGTTAAGAAAGCCGTATCGCAGCCGATCACGGCAATAATGCAGAGGGCCAAGGAGACGGTCATAGCAGAGTTTAGTAGTCCTGTCCCTGTGATGCGGATCAACTACTTCGCCATCTTTAACTTGTGCATCGAGGTTCTCGAAAACTTCAGCAAGATCATCGACGGGAGTGAGTTGAAGGGTTCACTGAAGTTTTCTCCGCCGGTTGAGCTTCATGCGATTCGTGGAGTATCCATGGTTGACTATGTGCTCGAGATTATCGCTGAGTACTCCAAGACTCATCGCAACAGAAAGAAGCTCCCTAAATTGGATTGGCCAACGTTTGCAGCCAGGGCATTTAACGTCATCGACAAGGACGCAACTTTAGAGCAGTTCTTATGGAAGGTTTAGTTACTACCATTTTCTTATCTTGGATCTTTGGACCCCGTCAGGGAGCCTTACAGTCATGAATAAGACGGAGGTAGTGCAGGGAAGCCAACTCCATTGCCGTCACAATGGCTAAGGTCTTGAGAAGCCTTACATGCAAGTAACAGACGCAGATAGCAAATGAAACCGACGATCCGCAGACTCGCAGTGGTATTGAATATGCATACTATAGCCTCCTGATCGAAGCGTCAACCGTAATCGTACAATCCCATCGTTGTATCATCATACCCCATAACCCCTACTCCTTCTTGCCAGCAGCACCCTCCGTCTTCATCCCCTCACACCCGAACGCCTTTCCAGCAATCTCCTCAGCCTTGCCATACCCCTGCGCCGACGCATCACGCTGCTCACCAGCAGCCTTCATCGTTGACGCAGCGTGGGCCTTGTCCTGCTCTCCTGAAGAAATCCACGCGTGCGAGCCTGTGACGCTGCCGATGGCGGCCTGATTTGATCCTGTCAGCATCTTGACTCCCGTAGAAGTGCTACATCGCAAGTCATAATCTTACCTCAGCCGCGCCCTTGATGTACTCGGCGTGGCCGGCGACGAGGCCGGGTTGTTGGGTGTTGGTGTCTGTGTTTTGGGAAGACATTGTTTGGAAATGTGGTAGTGTCTGTCAATCAAATTTGGTAGAAAGTTTGAGATATAGGATGAACGATGATATTGAGTCTGGTAGGGGGATAAAAGCAGATGAAGTGATTTGTATATTATGACCTTTGGAGAAAGGTATTGGGATGGAACTCATGGGAGATCGAGTGTAATTGAGTAACACCAACGGTTGCTGGATGACGTCAATACTTAGGTCGACGTCATTAGTTGCAGCCACATCACATGACTATCTTCCTGCCACAAGAGGCAAGCCTACAGCAACCCATGCCAGCCGCAGTCGCAAAGGCTAGTGTGAATATAAATCGTTTTTTCCGCAGTAAATTGTCGAGGAGAAAAGATTATCCAGATCAGTGGAGTGGGAGATCGTCCTCGGATGTTATCGAGTTTCCGGCGCAAGAGACTGTGAGAGAGTAATTTTCAATTTACCGGATTTTATTAATGAGGTGATTATCGCTACCGCTTGACAGTATCAACTATTAATCATTGGTGCCAATCATATGCAACTTCTGCAAGAAAGCAGTAGATTTATACGTCAACCTTCTCAGCATGTGAAGTGTTGAGGCCCTCCTTCTTGCTCCCAGCAGCCGCTACACGGTCCTCAAAGCGCACACCAGCACTTCCGGTACGCCAGGCGGGGATGTTCGAGTCAAAAAGCTCGTCAATCTCCTCAAGAGTTTTGCCAGAGGTCTCGGGGTATGTGAAGAAGATGTGCACAGTCATGGCGGCACAGAAGGTTCCGAAGATCATATACGTTTTCCACTGAATGTTAGTGAAGGCAGGAAGAACGAAAAAGGCAAGAGCAAGGTTGAAAGCCCAGTTGGAGGCCGCAGCTAGACCGACACCAGTCGCACGGTACTTGAGAGGGAAGACTTCTGAAGCATAAATCCAGCCGATCGGGGCCCAGGTGAGACCATAGACACCAACAAAGATGTAGGATAGGGCAATGACACCCTTTGCCGGGGGTCCAGTGACCTCCCACTTCAAGTTACTGTCGCCGTTGACGCTGTCGACTGGGTTGCCGTGGACCTTCATGACAGCGCCAGTTGTGAAGTGGATGATGCAGCAGATGACGGCACCGCCGATAAGGAGAGGACGACGGCCAAGGCGATCGATAATCGGGAGGATGGCGCCGGTTGTCACAAGGAAAATGACATATTGGATGATAGAGGAAGTGAGAGCCACGTTGCCAGACTATGAAACAGGTTAGCCGTGTTTGCAAAAATCAGGTCACAAAATGGAGCTACTCACCAGGCCGGCCATATTGAATAAACTTATTAAATAGTATAACATTACGTTGCCTCCCAGAAGTTGCTGCCAAACTTGGACACTGCACCCGGCTAAGGTACGCTTCCAGACACGCGGGCCAAAAAGACCAATGATACTAACGTTCTTAGACTCGGCGGCAACGCGGGCAGCCTCCCTGACTTCATCGAGCTCAGCAAGAACAACAGGTGCCTCGCGATCGCCACCGGCGTGGAGATGAGAAAGGACCTCGTGGCACTCCTCCCACCGATCCTTCTGGCCCAGCCAACGAGGCGACTCGGGGAAGAAGAAGAGAGCAATTCCGAGGATGAGACCAGGAATGCCCTGAATACCCCAGGCGATGCGGAATGCCTTGGGATCGTTGGGAATACTGACGATACAGCCGTAAGAGATGAGGTACATGATGAAAATGCCCCATTCGATCGACCATTGCTGAATACCGACGATACGACCGCGAATGCGGGAGGGGGCGAGCTCAGCAAGGTAGACGCAGCATTGGGAACTTGTGATACCAATGGCCAGACCAGAAACGACACGACCAACGATGAGGTGGGCGACATTCTGGGAGGAGCATTGGAGAACGGCACCGATGATCCAAATGATAGAGGCAAGCTTGAGAGCGCCGCGACGGCCCCATGAATCGGCCAAGAAACCAGCGATCAGAGCACCGACAAGGGAGCCACCGGACATAGAGGCCGTGATGCCTCCCTGGAGGGTCGAGCTCGGATGACCGAAGTATTCTTTGTAGGAGTCGGCGCCAATCCATGCACTCATGGAGCTAATATCGAAACCGAAAAGCATGCCGCCAATAGTGCCAAAGGCGGCGAGAGCTACAAGTCACTGATCAGCATCTGGAAACGTGGTCATAGGGCAGTGCTGCATGGGGAAGAGAGGCCTAGTCCAAGGTTGCGTACCGTAGATGTTGTAAATGCGAAACATAATGGGCTCAATTTGTCCCTGTCCAAGGCGTTCCCGAGATTATTGGAAGTCAAAAGACGGTATCGATCAAAGGCTAAACCGCTGCGATGCTGGATTCAAACCAAGACTAGGTTCACGACAGGCAAGTTGAATTGTCGGAAGGGGGAGAGGCAAGTTATATAAATGGTGAAATCTGGCGTCCAACAATGCTTTCCACACACCAACCGACTAACATTGAAAGGCGCGCCTTTGAGAGATTCGAAAAAGGGGCCCACATGTTGAAGCCATTTCAGATTGACGGCAGGAGGTTGAGTCGCAGATATGCTGCGATACCATCGAGTCGTGGTAAGCGCACGTATCAGAAGGCGAGAAAGTCAAAGAGTCTAGGGCGGACGACGTCATGTTCGAGTAAGAAGCCATGGACATCGTTCCCTGTCCATCTGCGGCATCAAGCGCGTGGAGTACTGGAGATGTTAGCGCAGTCGTATCAAACCCAGGATAGCGTGGGATCATGGGCTAATGTGTGGATGGTTGGAGTTCGGACTGGAGGGCAAAAGAAACATTCGGGGATACGGGGTTTGGGACTTTTTGGAGGTGAGCATCGAATCATGAAGGACAACCGCCGAGAGAGAGACTGTGGGCCGTGAGGGGAACCCGGGCAAGAAGGGGAAAGTGCAAGGGGGCGACACTTATGGAGGGGAATGGGGAAGGAGGAGATTTGGGGAAAATTGGGGGAAGGTGCAGCACGATGGCGATTTCCTCCCCCTTCAGACTTTTCTTTCACCCAGCAAAACCTACCTAGGCAAAGGAAAGAGCAGATAGAGGCCTCAGCTTGGATGCCATAACCGGGCCAGTCATGTCTCGTTGAGTCGAGACAATTGGAAATTGGAATGGCACCTCATCCTGCCGCGATTCCTACACATTTTCTTGCCCTTTGCTTCATCTACGGGAATAAAAGTCATTGTAAGGTACTGAAAGCAGGACCAATCAGCATGCGACGGAGTTCGTGCCTCGGGCAAATTTCTGGGGCTCAAGTCGACATCAGCCGGCTCATCAAGATCTGCGTCAAACCTTTCCGAAAAGAGAATGGCGCCGTCTCCATTTCTCCGGCACCCGCACCTGTTGTATCCGTTTGTGGCTCTCCCTGAAGGAAAGCCCGGGGCTCGTGTGGAAGGACTCAAGGAGTGCCTGGGAGAGGCAAGGGGCCCTGCAATGCTTCGTAACTTTTATCCCACTCTGAACTCTGAAGAGCGTTTTATTGCTCCAACAAGTGAGCAAACAACGTCCAACATCTCGGATATCTGTGCTTGCTCCGGCCCATTCCGACTTGGTACCAATTCTTGGTTTCAACGACAGGCACCAAACACTCGCCACGGAACCCGGCCGAGTAGCAGTGCTGCCTCACGAAGATGATTGGCACGTCTGAGCGACACCCGGCAAAGTCGAGGGACTTCGACGAGGAAGGAACTACGGCTCAAGTTCACACCTTAGAAACAACTTTCACTGATGGAACAGACACTTGAATCTTGGTCGCGATGCTACATGCCCGTCTCTTGCTCCTTCCTCGCGGCTCGGCGCCGACACTCGGAGAAGTTGGAAGGCACGGAACCGGCTCCACTTTAGCACCTTCCCCTCCCCCATCCCCGACTTCCCTGACAGTTTTCCTGGCTTTCAAGTAGTGCTAGGAATGACCATGAGATAAGGTATTGGAAAGCTGCACCAGGGAGCTCTACTCATCCAGATTCAACACCACAAGGTGAATGGTACTTATCACATAACGCGAAGCATCCCTTGAGCAGAAACGCCGGGTTCACGTTTGACGAACTTGTCCAAGGCAGGCACAGAGGCGGACCCGCTTTGGCACTCCTTCGTCCTGCTTCCCTTCCCCTCGAAAACGTCAGTCTCTCGAAGAAATATCAATCACTCGGTGTGGGAACAAACGGCAATCGCTAGGTATACACGGAGCCGAGCTATGTCACGTGTCTTCGGCACGTGACACACCTCAGCTCCCTCCTTTCATATCACGAGCCTTCGCGTTTAGATACTCTCCTTAACAAGAACAATAACAACAACAAGAACACCAGATTAACCCAACGATATTGCTACCGATCGCGATACCAGGAATACCTGTGTGACTAACCTGTGGTACACGCAAACCAACACTCGGTTACTCCTGGAAGAAAACGTGTTGGCAGGGGCGAATGCCTCCTTCATTGTGGCCACTTTTCAAAGTGCCAGGTGTCGCAAAGCATTGCCGTGGCTGGTGGACGAAGGCAAACCTTTATTGTCATGTCCTAAAAGCCCCTCGTCCCTTAGCACCCAACAACAGAACTGTTGTAGCCTACTAGGTCTCTGTCTATGTTTAATCTCTTCTTGCCGGTAAGCCATGCTGCCTTCAAGCCATACTCGATCCTGCCACGTCAATCGTGTCCGAAAGCTCTCCTTCACCTTCTCCTGCTCAGGCAGCCGGCGCAGCCGGCCCAGGGGGAGCCGGCCCAGGGGCACTACCCAATCCCTCAGGAGCGGCACCGTACTCACTATGATATTCCTCCAGCCATGCATCCATCTTCGTAATAAGAGCATTGAGACCCTGAATCTAACAGTCAATGCCCTTCACCATGTCGACGACCGCCCCACTCATCCCAACCAACCCGCCCTGTGGTTGACCTGAGACTTTCCGAAAATCGTCTTCGACACGAGTTCTTTCAGCAACTGCCTGATCCAGGCTCGCTGTCATCTTCGTCTTCATTTGGAGAATAACCGCATACTCCACTGGCGTCTTGAACTTTTCTTCGTCTCCCCTGCCGGTCATGCTGCCAAGGGCATTGGACAAGATCTCTGTCTCCATTCCCTGACATATTCCCATCGGGCTCTGAAATCTGTAGTGTTGGCTCAAATTCGGATTGGTAGGAGGGCGATTGGAGATGAGAGAAGGGTAGGATAGTTGTGGAATGGAGAGACGAGTTTGGCTTGGCGGCTCGTTACTGTGACGTGCAGGAAGCGGAGGTAAAACGACAGGAGGATGCGGGGCACGAGCTTCAATGACGGGGCGAGGACTGTTGGCGGGAGGAGCCTGGTCCACGGCGTCGATGATAGAAGAAGTCCCGTCCAGAGGAGCAAAAGCCTGGACCGGGGGGTTGACGGGAGGAGAAACATGAACCGGAGGATCGTTGGCTGGAGAAGCCTGTATGGGATGGCCGGTGACAGAAGAAGCCTCGGTCGGAGGGTTCATGGGAGAAGAAGGTAGAGGATCGATAGCAGGAGAGCTCTCGACCTTGACAACCGGAGAAAACTCAATCGAAGGGAGTATACCGGGATTCTCCTGTTTCTGGCGGCATGTTAGCACCTCTTCCTAGATTTCTGAGACCATGAGCTGCGAACGCTGGGATAAGGATGCACAAACCTCTGTTGATTCGGCCATATTGATGTCAGATGTTCTTGCGCGACTTGATGGCTAGGAGTTGGCCTGCTTGTGGTCTTCTGGGCGATTGAAAGAGTTGTTTCAGAGATGTGAGCAATGGAGGTGGAGGTGGGAAGATGAGATGAGGTTGACGAGAGAGAAAGGTATGCGCTCAAGGATGCAAAGAAGCTGCTGCTCAGGACGTGACACCTTTCCAACACCAGGTATCCTGGATGGGTAACTACTTTCTTCTTTGATCAAGTCGAGCCCGTGATGCCCGCGCTCTTTCCTCCCTTCGGTTTTTGACGGTAGTCAGGAACTAGTGAGGATACACCTCAGGTAACGGAAGAAGCAAGGTACCATGAGTCTTTGCGTGGGAAAGAAGACACATATATTCAATTTCAGGGCTAGTCACATTTGGAAAGTATTACTTTCACAATGTCTCGAAGACATCGCCGAAGGCGGCATCAGAACCGAGGACTTCGTGATCGCCAGATGGACCAACTTGGGCGCCGGCGTGAACTCACGTATTCCTCACACCGCAAACTTGCCGCGCCTGGTCATGAACCGGACTCTACGCTAATACTCAGATTGTGGACTCTTCTGCCGCCTATCTTCATGAGCCTGAGAGTGTGCAGTGGCTGCGACTTGCTTGGCCGAGGAGATCGTGTTGCTAATAATTACCTTACTTCCCTGAAACCCCAGTGCTGCCCGATGACTTCGTATTCAAGGACAAGCTATGGGTGAATCAGTACTGTCCTAACGATTGGTTCAAATCTTATTTCGGCAAGAATGAGCGGCTGGCAATGTTGTCATTTCAACAGAGCTTGTCTCATGTTGATACTAGCCGTGTGGCTGGGAATTGACTTCTCCATAACGGCTCTCCGGACACGCCTAAACTTTGGGAACCGCGGCAAAAGTAAGAAACGAGATAAGTTTCCCCATTCGCTACAATCAAAAGGCAAATCTGGGCGGGAGCTGATAATGTATACAATCTGCAAGATCATGTCGACACGGGGGGCCGTCGGCTGCAAAGCTATCACTACCCTCCACGCCGTGTAATGGACCTATGGTGTTACTTTTTCGCCGGAGATCAAAGAAGGCTTTAGGAGTAGTGGATTTACATTCATTCAACTCACAATACAGCGATGTCATGGTAACGTGAATGATAAGCGAGTGAGACAGACAAGTGAGTGAGACACAAAACTGCGCCGATGAGATAAACTGGCTTCCATATCAACATCAACAGCATCAATTCAATTCAAACTACTCATAATCCTCATCTTCAGACATCTCTTCAATAAACTGGCACGTTCGTGAATTGTGTCCCGGGTGACCACAAACGCCACACCGTCGCTGACCTATCTCGGCCCTCAGTTTGCGACCACTAGTACGACGCATTTCCTCCTGAACCTGCGCAGTCACATCTTTCTGTGACTGTATATCTGCTGCGTCAGCTACAGTAAGACTTCCTCCATGTTGTAGGCGTGTTTTCTTAGTTCTCCGTCGTCGACTGAGTTGGTTATTCTCGTCTCTAAGAATCTGTACCTCAGATCTAAGTAAGGCTACTTGGTGCATGATGCCTCTTGTACCTTTAGAAAGTCGTTCAACAGCCTCGCAAATAGAGGTTGGGGAGCTGCTTTGGTGACGAGTGATCCGACTCTTAATAAAGTTGGATTGAGAGCTTGCCTCTACTGGGTTGTTTGGTGTCCTTGAAACCCAAGGCGGAGGTGTCTGTGGTAGTGATGCTGGAGGCGTTGGAGTGTGTAGCCGGATATCCAGCTTTGATAGGACGCTTTCTGCACTCAGAGGAACAAGCCCAGCTCCTCTAAAACCCCCTTGGATGTTTTTTTCAGTCATCGCTTGACTAAATGCGCTGCGATATGCAGGAAAGAAGTCCTCCTTTGAGATGTGGGTTACGCCCCGCCGCATCTTATCCTCAATTTGTTGCCCATACGCCGTCTTTAGCGGACCAAAGCACCCAACGTCAAGGGGCTGGAGTAGATGAGACGAATGAGGCGGCATACAAAGTGTAACGATCTTGTTTGCCTTGCAATATAGCTCAAAGTCTGTTGAGTGGTGACTTTCGTGCCCGTCGACGACGAGGAGGCGATATTGGCCTCTCAAACGTGGTTTCGTATGACGATCATAGTGCTGGATCCAATCTAGGCCTCTTTCATTTGTTGTCCATCCGTTTTCTGACGTCGCAATGACCCAGTCGTCCGGGAAACCTGACTCTGTATACCAGGTTGAGAGGTGATATTGGCCTGCAACGATGATGTACGGCGGGACGTTATAGCCTTGCGAGTTGATGGCTTGAATCACTGTAACCCATTCTCGATTACCAGGCTGCGCCATTTTTGTGTTTGAACGCCTTTCAGTACTTGTGACAACCATGCCAGATGCAATCTGGCCCATCATAAAGCCAGTCTCATCAAAGTTGTAGATATCAAACTCATCGATACCATACTTCGCGATTGTGTTCTTCACAAGAGCGAACCAGCCGCGAATAGCCTCTGCATCCTCGCATTGGGCCCTCTTGTAGTCGTACCTCCGAAAAAACCGCGTCCGCAATTGTGGTTGTCGTTTGACGAAGTTTAAGGCCCAGCGCTTCCCAACCGGAGGCGCGTCGCGATCAGCAAGCAGTCGATCAGCCATTTCTTCCACACCACGGATCCGGGGAGGGAATGATCGGGCATCTAGATCGAGAATGTGATCAACTAACGTCTGCTCTTCTAGCAAAGTAAGATTCCTCGAGTTCGGTATCCTGTCGCTTCGAGATGTAGAGCCCTTCAATCGTCGACTCAATGTTGCATGGCTGACCGAGTAGATCGTAGCTGCAGCCCGTGCACTAAGCTCTGGATTGATTCTGATAGCTTGAAGGGCCAGCTGTATTCCTGACTCATTACTTCTGGATGCCATGATGTATTGTGGAAGAAACGTCTCCATTTGTGTTGAAGCATCATCGGCGCAGTTTTGTGTCTCACTCGCTTGTCTGTCTCACTCGCTTATCATTCACGTTATGTGGTAAAGCATATCATGTTTCAATTCACAATTTAATCTGTTTTCGGTTCTCTAGATGCTGATATTTGTTGTTGGTTCTATTCGTGTACATACTTATGTATCAAGATCGGCGATAGGGTAGAAATAAAATCAAACGTACATACCTAAAGTAGTACTAGTATGAATGGTAAGATAACGACATCGTAGTTGTAAGCCTACACTACTTCAATACTACTTCGTCCATGCTCTGGATGTGTTTAACAGCCTCTCCTCGCATGATTCCGTGCACGTAGCTCTCTCCAACCAGCCGATGGCTTCCACCATCAGCCTTCCTCAGGAGGTACGGAATATGACACCCGTCAAAGACTTGAATCTCATCCCCTACTCTGCTTGTATGCGGAAGCAACCCCAAGTGCCCTTTCGTAGTGAAACCAAGCCTCCGATTCCGCATAGCATGGACCATTGAGGTCTTCACATCCTGGAACGTCTTCCCCGCCGTGCGTGTCTTGAGACTTGCCAGCTCCAGCTTTCCCTTACCTGCCGGCCTTCTCTGCCGTGGCGAGTATGTCTGTCCAGGGAGCGATGGTGATAGCCCCGTGGATGCGTCAAGGAGAAGAGAGATGATCTCTTCGTAGGCCGACGGCGCCTTGGCCATTTCGGTAGCGTCCTTTCCCGCGACCAGTGTCTGCCAAAATGCAGAGAAGACGGTTTCATTGCCTGGATAGTCTTGTAGCTCTGCGACGAAGGAGCACATGTCTTTCAAGTCTTTGTTGGCAGTAGTGGGATCGTCAAGATTCAGGTCTGGATTCGTGAAGATGGTACTGACTTTTACAACAGTGTCAACCGAGATACCATGCAGCCGCAGCTCGTCCTTGTTTGTGTTTTCCAACGATGGATGGATTTTACCGACTTCGATCGTGAGATGGCCGCATGCCATGTATGGGGTCGCGGTGGTAGTAGAATGCCCCAATGAGTGCGTTTGACGGGGATTTCTCCAGTCTGGTACCCATGAGGGCAGGTCGAGAGACTCGTGGTCTACGCAGGTAAGGACCACACCCAGTCTCAAGCTTCCTTTGTTGTTCTCTAGATGTCGCGTTGTTATGTCGCGATAGAGATGGGTCACAGGAAATTCCTCCGCATAGCTTGGTTTAATCGCCGACCTGTCGCGGTCGTCGCACACCCCAAGTAAGCCGTATACCTTATCTCGATTATCGTAGCAATTGGCCTCCCTTGACTCGACCAAGAGGTCGAAGAGTGGCATGGTCACACTGTGGTAGCTTGATTTCATGCTGCTCAGACGCTGCACCGACTCGCAGAGATCCCTCTGAACGCCGGCGGTGTGGTCGCCCGATTTCGGATTCTTCTCCGTCAGCCATCTCGAGATACCACAGGTCCAAAGATGCAAGCAGGCCAACGACAACACGTCCCATGTGGTCATGTGGTTGCCACAGACAACCCACGCGTCAAATGAGAGGATGACTTCCTGGATAATCCACAGCCGCGTGAACCACGGGCGGGAAAGTAAGTCCCATATAGCTTGCCAAACCTCCGAGTCTTCTGAGGGGAGGTTGAGCCCCTCAAACTCGTCTGGGCCGATAGTCTTTTCCGTGAATTGTAGAAGTAACCTAACGTCTTCCAGAAATTTGATGGCAGAAGCGGAATTTGAAGTCGATTCACCCAACCAGATGATGGTATTCATCGCATTTTGATAGATCCTCGACATCAGGGGGATCTGCTGTGCCTTCTCTTCGTTGTCGTCTTGGTTGATGCAGATCTGGTCAATCCACATCACCACCGAGCGGTCTTCTTGCCGAAAAGCCCTCAAAGCAACCGCGAGAGACTTTGTAATATTCTTGACGTGGCCCTCGCACTCGATCATCTCGTCGAACACGTTTGGGCCCCATGTATAACTGAGCGCTGTGTACACCATTGGCGTTGCAGACCCGTCGACAGCGAGGGCGAAGCTTGCCTTGAGCTCAAGCGAGCAGTGACGGAGGCGACCTCGAAGCTTGTCGGCGCCGGTGCCGGGCAAGATCTCGAGCACGCGGATTTCGAATGGGTCAAGGATGGGACGGTAAAGAGACGAAGGCTGGGCTTGGGCTGGTGCTGTCTTTGGAGTGGCTTGGGACAATACCCACGCACGAATTTGATTTCTGTCATCGCTATCGATCTCGGGTTCAGCAACTCCGGCAAGTGTGAACTTTGTATCGACATTGAAGTTGACCCAATACTCAGACGTCAAAGATTGTTTGAAGAACTGCGTGTCGTTGGACGACATCTTGACAGTTAAAGCAGGAAGCACAACCGGATGTTCAATCTTGCCCGCGCAGAATCAGGCTGTGAGATTCATGGAGGAGTACGAAATGTAGCAGTCGTCAGCTTCGTGCACAAAAACATTCGGCGGAAATGGGGTGGGCTGTAAGCTGCAGCCTTTCCTTCGCTGTGAGTGGATAGCTAACTTCTAGCATTGCTTGCCCCTGCAATCCAATGCCAATGCCACGCCAAGCAGGCTTGGTTCGATGTGTCTAACATCACATGATGGCAACGTGAACAGATGCAGGCTACGGCCAACATCATTGTAGTTGTGACAGGAGGTATCTTTAATCTCTTTGGAAGCTTGCTCAACCATTCTAGAGTTGGCATCGAGGGCTGTGGCATTGATTCCCCTGGGCAAGCAAGTCACAATCAGAATACTTAGTAATTAGCGGATTGGCTGCACCAGAAGATCGCCAAAACCACTTCGCTTGCAACGCAGTAGCCAAATAACAGGAGTCAAGAGCCAGCCTTATGTCGGAAATAAAGGGGAAATTAGCTTCATGATATAAAATGCAATTCGATTGGGGAAACCTTGACATCGGTCGTCCGAACGCCGAACTTAGGGAACCGAACCGGAGTTTTTGGTACCGGCGAAAGTCCGACGGCGTGAAGCAATGGTATGGAGCCGTCCCGTGCAACACGGCAACACGGCAGAACGGTGTCAATTTGGGTACCGCGTTCCGGCACTTCCTTTCCTCCAATGGTCTGAAATCGTGTGACTTGGTGAGCCTACGAATCTGCAGAAGGCGTTGGACTTGTTTTTAAAAGGCCGACAAAAGTTTGAGGCCGATTCATCACCACATCATGAGTGCCAAGAAAAGAGTTAAAGATACCTCAACCCCTCGCATCACAGGAACGTAAACAGCAATTGCCTTACTTCCATCAACACAGACCTACCAGCCATATACAAAATGACTGCAGTAAAGGAAATCAGAAAGGTGGATATGATTCCCGTGTTACAACTGCCTTGCCCGGTCGAGTCTTCTCTGACAATAGTCATCACAGATTATCATCATTGGCGGTGGCCCAGCTGGCATACTTGCTGCGCTTCAGCTGAAAAAGTGCAATGGAATCACACCGATAGTCTACGAAATCCGTCGTCAGCCAACAACACTTGGTGGAGCGATCGGTATTCCCTCCAACGGTCTTCGGCTGCTTGATCGCCTTGGTCTCTATAACGATGTTGCAGCCCGGGGTGCACTGACGCCTAAACTCGTCTTATATGCTCTGAAAGGCTGCGTCATGGGCGAGATGGATCTATCTTCCTGGAGCGAGCAGCAGACCGGCTTCGGATACTTGCGTGTCCAGCGAACCGACTTGATGGATGTCTTGCTAGGTGCCGCAAAGCAAGCAGACATCCAAATACACTACGGCAAAGCATTGGAGAAGATCGAAGAACAAGACAACACCGTGACCGCGCGGTTCGCCGACGGGACAGCAGATACGGCCGACTTCCTCCTCGGGTGCGACGGGATCCACTCCGCCGTACGGAAACTCTATATCGACCCGGGCTCTGTGCCGGAGTACTCGGGCTTTGCAAATATGTTTGCTCTCGTTCGACCAGACGAGGTATGCCCTAGAGCCACGTCTGTCGAAACCATGAGCGCAACACTCACCTCTGACGGACTTTTCGTCATTGCCCCGACGACACCGAACCGCGATCTGCTCTACTGGTTCTTTTCCCGCGAGGTTGCTCTTCCGTCCTTTGGCAATTTCCGCGACGGATGGGAGGAGCGCGGGAAAGAGGCAGCAGACACGTTCAAGGCGACTCTTCTGGATCTCTTGGGGAACCAAAAGTCTGATTGGATGGACATGGTGCACGAGATCATCAACAACACGAATGCCGTCCATTTCTATCCGATCTACAAGATGCCGCGGGGCAGACCCTGGTCAAAGGGCCGTTGCATGGTTCTCGGTGATGCTGCCCACGCAATGCCACCGCACGCCAGTCAGGGAGTTTCCATGGCTTTAGAAGACGTGTTCCTATTCTCAAAGATGTTGAATAGTAACATCGAGAGGCTGGAAGACGCCCTGCAGGTATACGAGAAGAAGCGCAAGGTCAGGACGGAGGTGATGTTGGATAAGGCGGAGTCCAATGGATCCTTGCGTAAGTCAACTGCACCTTGGCGTCTTCGAGCAATAGAGTTGGCTATCTCTGGAGGATTGTGGGTTTCCAAGACCACAGGCATTGACAAGATGGGCTTCGGCCAGAAACCTCTGGCCTACGATGTCGAAGAGGAGGATTTTTGATCCAGAGTTAGGAGGAGTCGGTTGTGTGTTTACTCAAGTTCGCCATGATAAGTCATACACGTATACCTTATGTCACTGCAAATATGTTGTTTAGAATATGACCCAGATTTGTCAAGAATTCAACTCAGACTATTTTATACGGCGGGAATGACCACATCATGCTAATATGTTTTGTTCTACCTCCTGCTCATGCCTTTCCCGCCGAGCCAAACCAATGCATGTAAGTTTCGCACGCATTTTGCATTTCCTTAGTACCAGCTTCAATAGTAGCAGTAATAGGACGATCTCTAGCTGTCTCTTGGGTTGGGACATAGTGGTTGTTGATTCCCTTGTTAATGTTGATCTTTGTCACACCAGCTTTGATGCAGCGACTGTAGATCTCCTCTGTAAACGGATCCGCCCCGTGCAGGATGAGCCTGACCCTATCTCCAACAGCCTTGTTGGTGTTCTCGAGGCGATCATACTCCAGCTTGATTCCCCGCGGACCATATTCACCATGGACATTGCCGAATGCGGGTGCAAGCATCTCGATTCCCGTCGCCACGAATTCTTCAGCTTGCTCTGGTGTTGTGAGCACACCCTCAAGATCTATCGTCTCAGCCACACCGTCTTCGCCACCTTCAATTCGTCCGGGCTCTGCTTCCGTCGCGATACCGCGTTGATGGCAGTAGTCAACAAGCTCGCGAGTAAGAGCCAAATTTTCTTCCTTTTCGTAGTGGCTCATATCGACCATGATACTATCAAAGCCGTTCGGAGTATCTGCGGCGCGGCGAACTAGCTCCGGTGTCTGACAGTGATCGAGATGCAGTGATACGGGTACAGAAGCGCTGTGGCATAGTTCTGCTGCGGCTCGGACAAGGGCGCTGCCGGCGTACTCCATCGCCCACGGAAAGAGCTGCACGACTGCGGGCGAAGAGGTTGCTTCTGCTGCTCTGACGGATGCTACCACGGCTTCGAGATTGTAGCAGCAGAAACCGGCCACTGCATAGCCGCCTTCCTTTGCGGCATTGACGATTTTCATCGTTCGGTTCTCGGCGAGAGAAGGTCGAGCCATCTTGAAAGCTTGAGTAACAAACGAGACTTGAGAAATTCGACAGCGCTCAGAATGTTGCGATGGTTCGAGAACTGTGTAGGATCGGCGGACTTTGGTTAGTCTTTTGGCTTTGGCTTCGGCAATGTAGGTACTTGGGGATAGTACTAACAGCTAAAACGGGCAAAGGAAATGTCTTTATTATGAAGTGCCAACAATGAAGCAATTAGAGAAGCTGCACTCACAAGTCGTGTCGATCTGTGAGGTGGATTGCGGGGGAATCCAGGACTGGGGCGGAAATGGGCCGATTTTCCGCGCGAGCCGTGGTTACGGAGTGAAATCGGAGCAGCATTCGGTTCGGGAAAAGGCCTTCGTCACCCCGAGCTACCGACCTCTACCGAATGGACGGGTTACCTGGATCCGAAGTCATCTCTCATTCGCCGTCACTCAGCTTTCTCCTCATTCTACTTAATCTTGGGGGTTATGTCGCCGATGACGGATTGCGAGAATCCGGTCACCCTCATCCAAGTCCTTGGCTCCCCATACTGATCTCAATTTTGCTCTAAGGCACCTTAAAACACCTACACAGGCCCTTTTCCCCTTCGCCGAAGACACTATGGACTCTAGCAAGCAGCCCACGGCCTTTATTGGTCTTGGGGCTATGGGATTTGGAATGGCGACCAATCTCGTTCGTCTTGGATATGCTGTCACGGGTTTCGATGTTTATGGGCCGACTCTGGACAAGTTCAAAGCAGCAGGAGGTCTCATGGCGACAAATCCAGCGGAAGCTGTCGCGAGCAAGGAGTTCTGTGTTGTCATGGTTGCCACAGCGGAACAGGCGCAAGGCGTCTTGTTTGAAGGTGACGCTCCGGCCCTGTCGACCCTTCAGCAAGGAGCGGTGGTGCTGCTATGCTCGACGGTACCATGCGCTTATGTTCAAGGTCTTCAGAAAGAGCTGGTTGCAAGAAATCGCGATGATATTGCTCTGGTGGATTGTCCGGTGTCCGGAGGGGCTGCCAGAGCTGCGGCAGGTACTCTATCGATTATGGCCGGCGCAGAAGAGGAAGCTATCCGAAGGGGGTTTCACCTGTTGCAGGCCATGTCGGACCCTGAGAAGCTTTACATCGTCAAGGGCGGCATCGGAGCTGGAAGCAACATGAAAATGTGCCATCAGGTACTCGCGGCCAACCAGATCCTATCATCGAGCGAAGCGTTGGGCTTTGCGACGCACCTGGGCTTGGATCTCCCAAACACGGGCGAGAAAATCATCAAGTCAGAAGGTTGGAGTTGGATGTTTGAGAACCGGCTACCACGCATGCTGGACGCGCAATTCGGACCTCTGGCTAGCGCGGTCACGATCATTCTCAAAGACACCAGCATCATCACCTCAGAAGCACGCCGGGCCGGATTCCCCACTCCGATGACCTCGACGGCGGAGCAGGCCTATTTCACCGCCCTCGGGAAAGGCTACGGCCCGGACGACGATGCCAGTCTCATCCGACTCTACATCGAAGGGGTGGGAAAGGTTGGACCGGTCAAGCCAACCGTCACGTCCGAGGAGAGCAAGCTAGGCTTCGTCGTCAGCCTACTTCGTGGCATCCATCTTTGCGCGGCAGCCGAGGCAATTACATTTGCGCTTTTTGTCGGTCTGGACTTGGAGCAGGTCTTTGAGCTTTGCATCAACGCTGCCGGTGGGAGCAGCATGCTTTCCGGCGAGGGCCGGCGCATTGTGGATGCTATCGCGGCCGGAGGGTCGCCGCACGATTGGGCTGCCTCCGGCAACGAGAGCCAACTCCAAACAATGTCACACGAGCTTCAGGAGGCGGTCGACGAGGCGCAAAAACTGAAGCTACCACTGTTTCTCGGAACACAGGCTCTCAACTTGATCAGGGGTGTTTTGCTAACTGCCGGACCCAAGGCGCCTGGTTTGGCACTTGGATCCGTCGTCAGTGGTTGGGCCGCAAGAGGTAACCCCGCGGCATAATGTGTGATTACGTAGATGGCCCACATCTTGGCACCATTTCACTATCTTTGGACTTATTTTGGACGTCAGCGTTCGGTGGTTGATGCAACGAGATAGAGCCACTGGTTCCACGCGGAAAAGTGTTATCCGCATTTCCGTATTATACACGAGTCACGAGTCATCTTAGAATTGGATAGTAACTTTGTCAACATAGCGCCTGGCATTTGTAGTGTTTTGTTGCAATGAAGATAAGTCGTAGATAACTGCATCGATTCAATCACGAAACCGTCGTGTCAAAGTCGTGCATAGTAACTCTGAGAGTTACTTTGCGCGTGTTGAGACTCAAGAATTCAAATTCTCGACAGTTCCTTCATTGAATCAGGGACATATCCCCATCCCGGCAAGCTCCCTGGAAAGTCCTTGTACCCCAGATCCAGATGACCTTCTGCTTCTGATGATTGCATGTTAATCGACATGCATTCATAAAATGGCAACGGCACCAATTTTGACCAAGATAGGTAAGAATTGAGAAAAGGAACTTTTGTACACTTATTAAGTATCAGCACTGTATCAAACAGCATGACATGACTAAAGAAGAAAGCCGCCCGAAAACCTCTACCGAAAAACCCCAACGTTGAATCCAGCAACTACCGGTACCCATATCCTTCAGCGAAGCACCCGTTTCCCAAACTCCGACTAAGTAAAAGTCCCTGAAAATGAAATGCGACTAAGCCTTGAATGCCTTGGCAACTGATCGCGGACCTGCCGGCGCGGGTGCAGGCGCTCCGGGAGCAGGGGCCTTGGCCGGAGCGGCGGCCGGAACGGCTCCGGCAGCCGGAACGGGCTGAGCACCAGCTGCGGGACCGGGCTGAGCACCCGCAGCCGGAGGTTGAGCTCCAGCAGCCGGAATAGCGTCCGGCTTCTCGGGCTTCTTCTCCTTCTTGCCCTTCTTCTTGCCCTTCTTCTTCTTCTTCTTCTTCTTTTTCTTGCCCTCGGCTTCGACTTCACCTGGATTCGTGACGTCGTCGACTTCCTCGACCTCTTCGAATTCATCCATGTCGTCCTCAGGTGTTGCGTCAGGAATCAATGCCGATGGAGGAGGTTGAGGAGGCTGAGCTTGGCGGGCTATGATGCCGGTGTCATGCAGAGACATGTCACTAGTATAAGGTTAGTTGGAAAAGGGAGATCAAGTTTTGAGGTGATCACTAACTGGAAAGTCTTGGCATCCTCTTCTTTGGCCACCGAAACGGGAAGGGCATCGATGCTGACCGCCAGGGCCGACAAGGTGAGGAGAGCGTTGAGAAACTTCATCTTGAAGAATCTCGCAGTCGATGTGAGAAGTTTGAGATGGTTGTGAGAGAGAGGCTGGAGAGTGAAGTGTGTTGGATGATGAGGAAAAAGAACCAATTTGAGGCGGGATCTCGCCTGGATCTTAAAGTAAACCGTTCTACATACTTCGTGACAAGAAAACGGTTGAAGTCTTAGCTTTCGCGCATCTGAAAAAGAGCCACCAACGGCGGTGACGACAAATCCACTCGTCTCAACACGTCTCTCAAAGGCTGCCGGTGGTCCAACTGGCGGAGGAATTCGATCAGAGAGCACCGGCCGCCCCACGGAGCCTCCGTGTAAAGGTTCGCGAACTTGACAAAGTTCCAACGCTCACGGTCACTTGGTCCCGGCTTCTCCATGAGGGCTGTTGCTGAGTTGGGCAGTTCTCCTCGAAGACCAATGATCATGGGCAGCCCATAGCGTGACACCTCACCATCTCTACGCGAGTGTGTGGACGCTGGGGCCACGAATCTGGGTTCTGCGAACACGGACATGAAGACTAAAAGACGTTCGTCCAGTCTGAACGTCACTTGACAAGCCGTTTTTCTATCAAAGGTGAGCTCGCCGCCCGTCCGCTTAGTACGAAAAGCTTGTTCAATCCGATTTGTTGTTTACTTTTCTTCGGCGATTACGAGCACGCCGCACAGGGAGTTTTGCGACTTCCATCTTAAGTCGATTTCTCCGTCCCCGTTTGAGCCCGGGTGACGTCGTGAGCTCGCGTTCGAAGCACCTTACATACGCTTCTATGCAGCGTTCCATGCATGTTTAATCCATCTTAAAGAGCACCTTGAGTCGAGACGCGCACAGTCTCCCCGCTAATCTCGGCCGGTACCTTGCATCCTACAACCGTTAATTATGAGTCGGCTTACGATGTAGTCTGATCTGAGCATGCAAATCCAAGATTGGCCAACGGTAACGCTATCTTCCCTCTTCCGAGTCTTTCGGGAGCGCCGTGATGTCCAAGCCATAAGTAAGGCCATATTCTGAGCATAGCCATCGGGGACCAGGCCTGGGCTTCCCGACTTGAGCGCCAGGCTTAACCCTTTCAGCTACGAGAATATTAAGTGGCCATAGGAGGGTTTGTAACGAAAGGTCTAAAGAGCGTTTGTTGTACCTTCTTGCTTTTCTGTGAGGGGTTGATAGATATCCACGAGGCAAACATCTGGCATCACGTAGGTAGCAGGCTGGAGTCAAGGCATCGACCGCAATGTAAACATCATTGTTGAGGTGAGAAATTGTACATTTGGATGCAACTCGTGAAGTTCGTTCCTTAGGCCAACCGGAGGACATCATTCGGGGCGGGGAGGTCAGAGCCTGATTCCTTGGAACACTATCTGTATCCATCGTTCAAAGTCAACCTTTCATACCTACATCTAGATAGGCTTTGGAAAGTATGCCCCGAGCTTCGTTGTACTGCACAATTGCCTTTGGGGACCCTAATCGGACCAAATCAAGGCACTGGCCAAGAGACGGATCTCACCTTGATATCGTTACGCAAGGAAGTTGATTTTTTGGTGCTCTTGAAAGTCGGCAGGAAGCCGAAAGGGTGGATACTGCCAACTGGTCGTTCACGGACATGACCGCAACAACCTTCGTTTCGCTACTTGAGATGATCTGGATGGGAGCGAATGGGAACGTAGTAGCAGTGTACAAAATTCTTGCTTACCTACCATGTGTACATGACGCTACGTCTGTTTGCAATTCATCCCCGCTGAGCCCTCCGACCTTGGTGTTTGTCAATCTGCACGGTTCGGCCCGAGGACACGAATGAATCAAACCCGCTCGCAACGTGGAGGCAGAAAACAGCGAGAGAGTTCATAAACGATATGCACGAGCAACGCTGTCACCAATCCACGTTGTCAAAATTGAAATGTCACGCGATGTTGGTAATTTCGTTTCCGTCGTATTTGATTGAGTTCTAGAAGAATAGCTGCGGCGGCACCCGCATCGTGCATCCTGCAGTCAAAGGGTGCATGGTGCATGGATCATCCGATAGACTGAGCATATGACAGGTATGTCCAATGAGCCTAACTTCGAAACTGGTCGCCTTACTTTCGGGTTCGGCTTTGGGTTATCAGCAAAGTCGCTGGCATAACCTACGGCCATGGCTGGGGCTTTGCGTGCATCTTGCGGACTTACATCCATGACGTACCTTACCAACGGCTTCCCCGGACTGCGGAGATTTTTTCTGAATGCCGTGATGCCTTTATTCCGAGTGCGTGACAAAATCAATCCGATTCTCTCTTTATCTTTGGGTGTTATTGAAAACAACTTGATGATGGATAATGCAACATAAAGCTACATCTTATGGTTAAATGAGCTTGGACAGTAGAGCGGGCCGACTCTTCGAAGCTTTTCAGTGATCCAACATTCTAATTATCGAGTGAACAATGACCCTGAAAGTTTATGGCTCTCGAGTTCTTCTCCCAGCTGCTTGTACCATGGTCCTGACAATGTTTCCAACACCAGCTCGTTTGTCTTTGCCTAGGTGTCTCGCGACTCTACGGCCGCGAAACATTCGACTGTGTTGGAACATGATGATGATGATGATGTATTTAACGTCTGGTAACAAAAGGACATGCCGGGCGCTATGCCGACATGGTCTATGCTAATCTAAACTATGTTACAGGCTACCGTCTTCACCTAACGTTCCTGTTCAATGACTCGGGCAAATTTCGGAAAAGAAATTGGTCTCCTCTATCTATTCGTATAGAAGAGAGGCTCCCTTAGCAGAACCTAACAAGAAATCAATGCTTGCTTTGGCCATACGTTGGCGGAGGTAGCGCGGTGTAGCCTTGCGTCCACGCTTGCAGAAGTAGAAATGGACTGGTGTCTTGGGTTTCCCACAGCTGCAGTTGAGCAACGCATCTTGATGAGCGAATCTCTCGTGGTATGCTGCAAAGTCTCCATGATGGGATCTTGCTGCGTATAGCCTTCCTAGTAAGTGCCGAGGGAGGCGGAGTTCGGGCGGCTTGGGGTGAAGAATTATCTCGAGGTCGGCATATTACCGAGGGCATTGGGACAGCCATTTTCTGGCAAAGGCTTGGAAGGTAGCTACTTTAGCTTGCCTTTCTAGGTGCGCTAATGAGGGCTGTGGTTGTGATTTTGGGATTAGTTTGCAGGCTTCCTTGGCTAGAGCATCCGCTTCTTCATTTCCTGGTACTCCCGTGTGCCCAGGGCACCACCAAACATAAACCCTGCCGGGGGTTGTCCAGCTCTCTCTTTGTCTTCGAGACCAGGAGGAAGAGAGCCTATTGAAGGCCCTAAATCTAGCCTGGCTACTTCCTGTGCTCTGGGAGTATAGTCTAGCCGCGACTGCAAGGTTGTCAAGGCAGATATGGACGTTATCTGCCATACGAGCCGTAGGAGCCCGGGTAGCTTCCATCAGGCCGTGATACGCAGCATATGCCTCCGCATCATACACCTCAGTTTGGGAGCCGAGTGGTTCGGATCCGCGGAAGATCTGCCGTGTAGCTTGGTACCCTACCCAGCCTGCTCCGGCGGAGGTACTGCTGCCGTCCGACATCTAGGACCCGTCAGTATAGACAACAATGTCCCGCTTGGAGAAAGTTGCCATCCTGCCTGCAAAGGAGAAGGCCTGTTCTTCTTTGGTCTTATTAGGTTCGTAGCCGACCCTGGCGAGGGCTGTCTGCCAGTCCGCTAGTTGCTCCCAAGGGGGGAGTTCTAATGGATCGATGTATTCGGTATTTTTGCTTACGAGGCTTGCCATTCGTCGTAGCCGTGAGTCTGGTCCTGATTTGTCCCTGAGTCTCGTTCGGAGAGGGTGTCGCTCGTCCAGACGATGGATTCTGGTGGACGCTGTGTGGAGCTTCGCGTCCAGTATCACCTCTGCTGGGGGTAGAGCCGCCTCGCGCTGTAGGATCGGTACAGGCGTAGTTCTGTATACGGGGACCATCGCTCTGATGGCTTTGGTTTGCGTCGCGTCCAGTTGGTGTAGCAGACTACCAACCCCGTTTGAGATAGTACGTCCATTCTTTATCCGGCTCTTGCCGGGCCACCATGCTTTAGATGTATAGTACTGAGTAGGTAATATACAAGAGGTGATCGCTCGACGAAGTAAGTACGCAGGCGCGCCCTAGACAGTGTTCCCTAGTCCCCGTAGTCCATTGACTACTTAGCATGCTTTTACAGAGAGGTTTCTTACGTAACTCTTAAATATGAGTTTACGGTCGAAGTAAACGCCGAGCCAGCGTAGAGAAGAGCCTTCTTTAATAGCCTGAACTATATAATACCTCCCATCCGGCAAACCTACTATAATTAATAGGTTTCCGTCTTTTCGTCTCTTAATGAAGTAGATTAGTTCGGACTTATCGAGGTTAAAAGTGATTCCTTCCGTCGCGCCCTATCCTAAGGTTTCTTTCTATTCCTTAGTTAGAATGTTATAGTTATTCTTTAGTAATGTTAAGCTTGTTAAGATAGCGACGTTATCGGCGTAACCAAAACGAGATTGCTTCCTTCCTAAGCGAGCTATGCCTAGCTTAAAAAGAGGTTCGATATAGAGTATAAGTAGAATAGGAGATACGGGTAAACCTTATGGTAGTCCGTATTCGAGACCGAAGACGTCTCCTACCTCCCTATTAAGTCTTATTCTTACTCTCCTTCTGGTAATAAAGCTTGAGACCCAGCGTACGAGGTTCTCCGGCCATCCTTGTTCGCGGAGGCGTCGGACCAGTCGTCCTGGGAGTACGGCGTCGAAAGCCCCTTTTATATCGAGCGTAAGTATAGAGGTAACCAGGCCTCTTTGCCAGGCGCACTCGATGTCGTGGATGGCCGCTGCGATGAGGTCGCTGCAAGAGCGAAGAGGGAGTGCTCCAAACTGTTGATCGTGCAGAACACGATGTTTAACTGCGATCCAGGCAAGTCGTCTGGCGATGAGTCTCTCCAAGCCTTTTCCGAGGACGGCCAAGAGCGCAATTGGCCTATAGGAGCGCGGGAGTGTCTTGTCTCTTTTTCCCGGTTTTGCTAGGATCACGAGAGTTGCTTCTTTAAAACAAGTAGGATGCCAACCCTCGCGTATACACCCGCTATAAAGTGAGAGGACAATATCCTCAATAACTGGCCATGCTATTTTCAAAGCAGTCGTAGTGATTCCGTCGGTCCCAGGAGTCGTGTTTCCCGCGGTGAGAACCGAAGACCGTACCTCGTCCTTTGTAACCTGCGGGAAAGGAAGCGTAGCTTGCCTTTGTAGGACTGGGCTTTCTGTTGGTATGTCCTCGGAGATTGCAGCGTTTCTAAGGAGGACGCGGGTAAATAAGTCGCGCTTCTCTTTTGGTTGTGAGACAAGCGTGTCTTGGTTGTCTACATCTCGGAGTGGCGGGGTCTGAAAGGATCCTGTGGCTTTGTGCCAACCGACCATTTTAAATATGTCTTTGCTTGAGGAGGCTGAGGAGATCTTATCTTTCCAAAAGGCATCCTTGGAGCGTTTAAACTCGTAGAGGAAGTCCTGTTTTAGAGCTTCGACCTCCTCTTTTTCCCATTGGCAGTTCACTCCGGCTGCGCGGAGTCTTGCTAACATCGCTCGCTTACTTGTATAGGCTCGGTGTTTACGTGTGCAGCTCTCGCTCCAGTATGGTCTCCCTGTACCTTTCCCGAGCGTGCGCTTTGTGGAAGCCGTGAGTGCTTTAATAAGACAGTCCGTAAGCTGTTGTGCTAGGAGATCTAAAGACTGTAGGTCTTGGATGTTGCTTGCAGTGCGGCGCATGGGTTGTAAGTTGCGTTTAATGATGCCGAGGAAAAGCTCCTCGTCCATCGTGTCGAGCCGAAACCTTCCCGGGGTCTGGCTGGGTGAATCGATCAGGGCCAAGGGGACCCGGGTAAGCAGAGATTCGTGGTCTGATGTCGTGTGTAGTGACGTTTCTATGCTGGTGGAAGCCCCATGGAGGTTGCTGGACGCCCAGCATAAATCTAGGGTGTTGCCGCCTTTGTGCGTGGGTTCACCTATAGGTGACATTAGGACAAGGCTAGCGGCTTCTGCCCATTCTACTAGGTTTTCAGCGTCCGGGGAACTCGTGGCCTCGGGCTGCCACGTCCAATGGTGTAAGTTAAAATCCCCCGCAATCAGTACTCGATCCTCAGGTTTGGGTTGCCAGGCCGCTAGGATGTTCCTGAGAGCCTGGCCAGATCGCAGAGAGCCACGAGGGGCGTTGTATACGTTGATGATTGTGAGGACCTCCTTCGTTCCTGAGAGGAGTCGTAAGAAGAGCAGGTCTGTGGATGGATCGGGTAGAGGCCGTGTTTGTACGCCTCGTACCCCAGATCCTCTGCGGAGGTAGGTAAGTACCCTGGGACGGTCTTCGGTCTAGTTATCTACTGGGGTGAAAGTCTTAAAACCTGGGTAGTGTCTTGTGAGCCTCCTCTCCTCCGAACGGATAGACGGCTCTTGTATTAGGAGTATATCGATCTGGGTTGCGTAAGCCAGGTTCAGTGCTGTTTCGTGGGCGGATGCCCGCCTGCCCATATTCGCTTGTATGATTTGCAGGGTTTTAGAGGGCTGTATTCTTCTTTTGTATCTTATTCGCCGGGGTATAGTCCATCGCTTGTTCTTCTTTACGGGAATGTCGATGCGATTGCTGGGTCGTATTTCTCCATAATCTTTCTCCCTCAGCTCGGATGGCCCGTAGCTGAGCCTTATCCCTCCTCTGGACTACCCCCTTCACCACTTTGGGTTGGATAGGGCAAGTCGCATCGAAGGCGGCGTGAGGCCCGTTACACGACGGGCATTTAAAGGGGCAGTCGCAGCCATCGTGACCCTCAGTGCCGCCGCAGGGTGCCCGGTGTTGATCAGTTGTGTAGGAAGGAGAGCTGCACTTGAGGCATCTCTTCCTTCTGGTGCACGTTCGTTCGTTGTGAAAACCGCCGCAGCGGAGACATTGAGGAGACCTCTTCTCCTTTGGGAACTGCAGGTTTACAAAAACGCTGGCCCCTATCAAACGGAGGCGTCTTAGTAGTTGCCTTATGGCTTCCGCCTTGAACCAGGCTGTCACCGTGCCTAGCCTTTCGACTTCGTCCTTCCTAGAGAAGTGTGCTTTTTTAGGCTTGAGTTTCGTCGAGACCTAGATCTCTTTAAGGAGCTCCTCGGTCGTGATTTCCAGCTCAGTATTAGTTACCAGATAATGCCTAGTATAAGGGACGTTTACGATATAGGCTCGGATCCAGGTGTCGCGTTACTCGATCGCTTACGCTTAGAGAAGGGCAGCGATCTATTCTCTATTCTCTAGTAGGACTTTTGCACTATCTATTAACGAAGGTAGGAGTGCTAATCCTATCTTAATATAGTCGATCCCCTTAAGGGCTTCTCGGGCTTGGGGACTTAACCTTTCCCGAACGAAGATATATATATCGTAGGCTTTCTCGTTCCGAAGCGGGCTTTTAGGCGATAGACGCGCGAAGACGCGTAGATCCTTTAAGGCCGCCCGGTTTATAGCTTGTTTTGCGGCTTGTTTAGCTGGCGTTGGTTCATCCTGTCTTCTGGACAGTGGCTGGCTCGCCGCCGCCGCGTATGAACGGACTAGGGGCGGCTGGTTCTAGGTTATGTGCGAGGGATGCCCCTGGGAACTCAGGTTAGTCTCGCTAGGCCCTGTGCCAATAGCGTACATAGACCTTGCTAGACCACGTTAATGCCGGTTTGAACGCTATTTCTCCTCCTAAAGCTCTCTCTCCAAGGATTCGATCTTCGTCAAACAGTCTTTCAAAAACTGTTCCCTCTCGGCGTCCCGACGCAGGAGGTCCTGGACCAGATTCGAAAGCTTATTGATCTCGTCTTTGAGCTCAGAATTGTCCTGGTGGTTAACCTGCTCAACCACTCTGACCTTTGCAGTCGGCTTCCGGACTCGTCCAGACCGCCGAGATATACCGGCGTCCCCGTGAACCGTGATCGATGGCCCTACATCTAGGGAGACCGCCATGGTCGTGGAATTCAGCTCGTATAGGCTGATGTTGAGAGATGATAGTGAAGTGGGCCGTAGCCCTCTATAACCTTAACAATTACTAACAGTGGGTACCTTTCGAGGTATGTGTGGGAACAAACGGCAATCGCTAGGTATACACGGAGCCGAGCTATGTCACGTGTCTTCGGCACGTGACACACCTCAGCTCCCTCCTTCCATATCACGAGCCTTCGCGTTTAGATACTCTCCTTAACAACAATAACAACAACAAGAACACCAGATTAACCCAACGATATTGCTACCGATCGCGATACCAGGAATACCTGTGTGACTAACCTGTGGTACACGCAAACCAACAACTAGATTTCTGAAATTGATTCCTGCTGCCTCAAGTGAGATGCCATGAAAAGCGGGTGGGACGCGAACGAAACTACCCTGGAGTCCGGAGAGAAACCAAGGGTGGGAGCGGTATCCTGACCAGCTGCCGGCTTCCACGGCCCCACAATCGGCAGTCTGTACTCAGACTGCCTCCACATGCCAGCTACCTATACTTACCCACGCGAAGAACGACTAGCCGAGGAGGTATGGCTTGAACTGTTCGGTTGAAATATTATGTGCAAAGCATGTACACTGTATTGACTCATCCGTGTAAAATAAATACCATCCTAAATCTTGATTCTAAACATTACGTCTCCCCATTTCTTAGCCTTGATCGCAGACAGGACTAATGTCCCGTATCATGAGCGTCTTGATTCGACGTGACACTTTCAGTTCTTTACCAAAATCTGCTCCGAGTTAACCGTTCTGACGTTTTCAAACTCGATTGCTTGGGCTTCTTCGGGAGTGGTAACCCGCTTCCCACGATTCTGGGCCATTTCTTGCCCCATAGCAGACTGAATATGGTTCGTCATATACGCCGTGGGGTCTTCGATAAACAGAGAGCAGATCAAGGCAATGACGCTGAAGGGGATAGTAATGTAAAACAAGATTTTCAAGGCGTGGCCGGCTCCCTCTCGCACGGCCTCTCTCAAAGCATCTTGGATCTCTGGAGTGATGCCCGGGACATTGACCAATGCCCGAGGGTTGCCCAAGTTGAACTCGATCGCCGCGGGAATGATGATACCAAGGTCGGAAGGGTTCAGACCGTTGCTGATGGCTGCGTTGGTGATTTCTTCGCCAGCGAATTCGCGGAACTTTTCTTGGAAGATTGTGTTGAAGATAGCGTTGCCGACGGCGCCGCCTCCTGATCTGAAGGTACCCAACAAGCCCATCGCCACTCCCAGATTTGAGTGCGGAACGTGAAGACTGGCAACAGCATAAGACAAGATAGTGACACAGACGAACATGGGTACACCAAAAGCAGGGATAAAGGCATATGCAAACTTGTGGTTAGGGTAGACAGTCGCAGCACTAGCGCCGATGAAGACTGCCTGGAAGGCCATGCCGATGACAAGCTGCCACTTGATGTAGCCAACCTTGTGGGCAATGAGAGGTGCGAGAACACCAGTGAATCCAATCATCAAGGTGTTGGGGAGTGAGAGCGCACCAATCTCAATGCCGTCCGTCGTGAACATATACAGGAACCCTTGGGGTAGGAGTGCTGACATGGAGTTGAAGTTCATACCCGAGACGAAGAGGACAACAAGAAGGACGGAGTAGCGATGGAACATGACAAAAAGCTTCAATGGGAACATCGGATGAGCAGCAACCTTGAAGTCGTACGCAAAGCCGATGGCCAGGACCGCGAAGCCAATGACGATGGGTGCGATGGCGCCGGCGCTATTCCAAGGGTAGGCTGGGGTGCCACCCCATGTCAGGCCGATGAGGGCAATGGCTAGACCGGCCGTGAACAGGAACAGACCAATCCAGTCTACATCCCTGAGTTGCTGCATGCGAGTCTTGTCAAAGTCGCCCCGGGGCCGCGGGGTTGGGTGGTAAGAAAACCAAGTGCCGACGATGGAAATGACCTCGATGATGATGCTTAGGCCGAATATCCATCTCCACGAAGCGTACTTGAAAAACGCATTGCCGAATAGGACGGAGAGGATGCCCCTGTGGATTCTAAATGTCAGCTATCTTGGCTCTTTCTCGGCAGACGAACACCCCAGGTTTGATCGATTAGTCGAGGTGCGGGGATTCCCCACGTCTAGATCTGTGAAGGAGGTGCGGTCGGCAGGACGCCTGAAGTCGGCACCCAGATATATGTGCCGAGAATTTGGGGTAAGAGACAGAGTTCCTTGACTCGGGGAGGCGTTCGAACCATGCGACACGGAACACGGGAAAAGAAGGGTCAGATGTTCAGATGTTCAGACTCACCAGGGAACAGCGATGCCAGATTCCAAGATACCCAGACCAAGAGAACGCCACTTGTTTGGGAGCATCTCCGGGACACCTGCGTAGGAGACGAAAACGAAGCCAGTTCCGATGCCGATGAGTGTCTCAGCGGCAATCAGCGTTCCGATATTCTGCGCGGCCACCGCGGCGATGGAGCCGATGACAACTGTGACTTGGCCACCAATGACCAACATTCTTCGGCCGAAAACGTCGCTAAGAGGTCCAGCGAGGGAGAAGGAGCATGCTGTCGAAAGAGATCATGCTCCTACAAGCCATGCCAACTGGTCTTGTCCGCCGAGCTCTGTGGCAATTTGCACGACGACGGCGGCAACGGTAAGGAACGCAAGTCCAACACATGGACCGAATGACAAAGCCATAGACTGTGCATGTTAGCTGGGCTGCACTAAAGAGACTGGGGAGATCCAGACGCCTCACAAAAATTGCGATCCATGTTTTGATGCCAACTTTTGCCTCGGATGGGTTATCCTCCAGCGCTGCGCGATGAGGATCCTCTTCAAATTCGATAATTAACAGCTTTGGCCTCCTGTGCCATCCGTATCTTCATCGCGCGGTCTCGCCCCATGTTGGGTGATTCGTTATAAGACATTTTGAAGTTGCGCAAAGAGACTGAACTCTTGAAAAAGATAAGAAAAACCGGCTTGCTTCTTTTAATAGTAGTTCAGAAACGTGGCGGTTAGAGTCTTAAAGGTTCATCTCGAAGAAGCCGCGACATGGCACGGGCTATTCATATAACGTGGTTGATAAGCGAGTGGATCAGACAAGCGAGTGGATCAGCCGACCGCGACCACAGCACATTTGCGACCGATACGCAGCACTAAGAAAAGTAATTCAATTGAAACTATTTAAGATCCTCTTCTTCAGACATTTCTTCAGCAAATTGACATGTTCGTGCATTATGACCAGTGTTCCCACAGACGCCACATCGCCGTTGGCCCGTCTCGGTCCTCGGTCGGCGACCACTACTCCGGCGTGTTTCCTCCTCGATCTGAGCTGTTGCTTCTCTCTGCGACTGAGGTCCTCAGCCTCAGCTATAGTAAGACTTCCTCCTTGTCTGAGACGTGTTTTCTTAGCCCTCCGGCGCCGGCTTAGTAGGTTGTTTTCCTCACGAAGGATTTTGTTCTCAGACCTTAATAACGCAATCTGGTGCATAAATCCACGCGCCCCCTTTGATAGATGCTCAACAGCTTCAATAATTGAAGTTGGTGAGCTATTCTGATGGCGGGAGATCCTCCTTTTGATGAGTTCAGACTGAGAAGATGCTTCTGTTGGGTTGTTTGGCGTCTGAGAAGTCCACGCAGGGGGTGTTGTTGGGAGGGATCCTGGAGGTGTTGGAGTGTGTAACCTGATATCAAGCTTTGAAAGCACACTTTCGGCACTCAAAGGGACAAGCCCAGCCCCTCTGAAACCTCCCTGAATGTTCTTTTCCGTAATAGCTTGGGCAAAAGCCTCGCGAAACGCAGGGAAGAAGTCTTCCTTTGTAATATGCGTATTACCCCGGCGCATCTTATCCTCAATTTGTCGACCATAAGCCGTCTTTAGTGGCCCAAAGCACCCAACGTCTAAGGGCTGAAGCAGATGAGACGAATGGGCCGGCATACAGAGTGTGACGATATTGTTTTCCTTGCAATATATCTCGAAGTCGGCAGCGTGGTGACTTTCATGCCCATCGACGACGAGGAGGCGATAACTGCCAGTTGCACGCAGTTTTGTATGCCGATCAAAGTGCTGGAGCCAATCTAGGCCTCTTTCGTTTGTTGTCCATCCGTTGTCAGACGTTGCAATGACCCAGTCGCGTGGGAGATTGGTTTCCGTGTACCAGGTGGAGAGGTGATATTGGCCTGCAACGATGATATACGGCGGGACGCTGTAGCCCGACGAACTAATGGCCTGAATGACTGTAACCCATTCACGGTCACCAGGCTGCATCATTTTCGTGTTTGAACGCCTTTCGGCGCTCGTGACGACCATGCCAGATGCAATCTGGCCCATCATAAACCCAGTCTCATCAAAGTTATAGATATCAGAGTCCACAATACCATATTTCGCGATTGTGTTCGCCACAAGGCGAAACCACGCGTTTATGGCGTTTGGATCTTCGCATTGGGCCCTCTTGTAGTCGTACTTGCGAAAAAAGCGCGTCTGGAGCTGTGGTTGTCGCTTGACGAAGTTCGAAGCCCAGCGCTTCCCAACTGGGGGCGCGTTGCGGTCGGCGAGCAGTCGATTAGCCATTTCTTCCACACCTCTAATGCGGGGAGGGAATGATCGGGAATCTAGGTCGAGAATATACTCAACTAGCTTCTCTTCTTCAAGCGTAGTCAAATTCCGCGATCTAGGCATAGTGTCGCGTCGTGATAACTTTCCCCTTAGACGATGGCGTAAGGTTGAGAAGGGTACTGAGTAGATCCGGGATGCCGCTCGGATACTAAGATTTGGTGTCGTTTTGATAGCCTGAACCGCTAAGGTTAGCTGGCCTTCATTACTTTGTGATGACATGCTTGGTTGTGGCGTAACGCCTATGAAGGGTGGAAGATATGTTGGTCGCGGTCGGCTGATCCACTCGCTTGTCTGATCCACTCGCTTATCAACCACGTTACAGATTTGGATACAGAGTATTATCCGAGCTTTGGTCCGAGCGGGGGAACACTTCAGAAGCTTAACAACAAGCAAATGCTGATTGAACTCTTGAAGAGAGATTCCGCCGTGTGATTGGAGTAACGTCGAGTGTGCCATCGAGAAGGGTACGGAACCGGGGTTGATCCCCTTATTTCGATGCAACCTGGCGGGGGTTGAGCTGTTATTGATTAGCGCGACGACGCCGATGTGGGAGGGGAGGGGTCGGCAAATACGACTACTGCAAAACCTCGACTGTTACATGAAAACCTTCTTGTAATAAGGTTTCTTGTCGGGGACGGCAGCCGCTCTCGAGAAATGATAGTTTCGCTGGGTTTCTTTGTTCGGCTGGAAATGGGATCGCATGGCTTGTAGGGTGTTCCATTGGACGATGTTGCGTTGACAGTGGTCCGCTTTTGGTCAATTGACCGTGAAAGTTGATAGAATTCGACTTCTGTGGGCTGTGTCATCCCGTCTCTCCCGAGGTGCAGATTGAGTGTTTGTCAGAAAAGTAGTACCACTTTCTGCATCGTATTGCTGATGTAAGACTAGGAACTCTACGAACTTTAGACAAGAAGGTTGCAACTCTTCATTGGAATATGCTCTCACGCGTTGATGGTAATCTGTCCTATGCGGATGTTCTTGGACACCCTTCTAGTAATTACAGGTTTTGGTCGACGATATGGCGGAGATCCAGCTGACCGCCGTGACTGTAAGGAATTGGACACGTGGGTTAGAAAAGGTCTTACTAGGACTAGCCTTGCTGAGCCTCTGACTAGTTTGGCTGCGCAACTAGTGTCAGTCGCCAATACGTTTCAACGAGAGCGCGATCTCTGCTTCAAAACTGCCGAGTGCTAAGAAGGCCAAGTCGGCGGAGCTCAAGGCTCGCCAGAAATTGACTTCCAGTCGCCGACAACGCATTGAGTAGCTTCATCTATCTCGAAGGTCACGCTCTACCACGTACCTCTTTTGGCCAAGAAGATACCGAGAGATCTCAGCATGTTTGGCTTTGCCCAGACATCATCAACACGCCCCCTTCTTGGCAGTATGGCTGACCATGACCATCAGCCCGCCTTGTCAAAGGTATTAGCCACTGTGAAATGGACTCAACAACGAGGGAAGAAATACAGTCTCCGTTCTGTAGATATCAATACTTATATTGCCTGTAGTTTTACACTCGTCGTCGGATGGAGGGCCGTCCAATCACTGCCAGGCGGTGTCATTAGAGCAGTTTTATCTGGGCTTGTTCTAAAGCTTATTTTCTTATGGGTGTTAATAGTGAAACTGGCCAGATATATTATCAGTCTATTGATTTACACTTCTTGAATAAGTGTGTAATAAACCCCTTCAGTACTCGAATGCGAATTTGTATCCTGATAAGGAAGGTGATGGAGAAGACACGGCTTTCAGGTAGTTACCCGCGAAGGTGTTGAACCATACCAGGGAGGATAGAGCATCGTTAGGATACACCCAATTACGAAAGAGAGCATCTGGTTAAATTTACTGTGGGAGAGAAGAAAGAAGGGAATGCTTTTTTCGGTGCTAAGATTCCGAATTTTCCCCAATGACGGGTGCAGTAATCGTTGTTGATCGTGTTAAGCATCCTCAGAAAGGCGGGGCTGTAGGACAGTTATCGCCGGGCATGGTCAAATGCGAAAGTCCGGGAAGCGAATGTTCGATGGTCTGGAGGCTATACTTAATTCCAAAAGTGTGCGTAATTTTCAACATTGGCCTCAGTTTTCGACGGGATGTTCTGAGGTACGCCGGGAGCAGATCCAGCGCTGAGTGCGGCGAGGGTGAGTTAATTCCAGCCAAGCCTTTCTTTTTTATATCCCAAACAGGCTCACTCCCGAAATACTTGTACATGCACTTTGAATTGGCCTATTGAGGGTGTACCTCCCGGTGAGCCTTTGTTCGGCATCAAGTGATTCACGGCGGTGGAGCAAATTCCATCCGTTCTCCCGGCCCCACTACACGATCGAGCCCCGCCGGCAGGCCAGGTACCTCTCGCCTTCCCAGTCAAGTGACGGGGCATTTGGTCAAGTGGTCAGGCTGGGCATGGTAATAATTAATGATTCAGGTTCTAAGAGTCTGGGGTTCGAGGCTGCTTCTAGTACAGCCTTTTGAGAGCCAAAGCTGAATATCTTGAATGTTCGAACCTCCAATATGCCTTCGAGGCCCGGGACCCGACTAGGACAATTGCGTGATGATTTTTTCCTTCGCATTGGTGCCCATTAATCATTGAAGTCGACATAACTCTGCTTCTTTGTGCCGGCGGATCGTAGTGGTATAGATATAGCTGTCGATGCCCTCGGCGGACCCTGGAGCACGGGAGGGCATACTAATCTTTTCTTGCCTTCCAACTCGACTGCCTTGACGAAGACCCTGGCTAGTGTATCGTCTTTCAGAATTTTAGACGAGGTCGCTAGATACACCTGCTTGAACTTGCGCCACAGCTTCGCCTCGGTAGTGTCCTGCGAGTCCTCCTCCATAGCTGGCCTGGGGTAGTACGGATCATTATCCCAGAATCCCCTCACTGCCCTTCCCACTCCCTTGTTGTCCATGGTGATCTATCCCACCTGGTTGAAGTCTAGAAGCCAAACCTGCACAGACTTCTGCTGGGATTTGGAGCCATCGACAGGTTCCCGTGTCGTCTTAATTGATGCCCACTCTGCGGTTCGAGTTGTCGGTCTCGGCGAGGAGGCGAGGACAAACTCGACGTCGAATGCATCATGTCTGGTCTCCCAATGCATAACTGCTAAGGCTTCTGCCATGGGTGCCACATACTGAAGTGGGTCGAGGTTGAGCATCTCCAACTTATCCAAGGTCATTTCGAAGTTGCGCAGTTCGAATCCCGCTTCGACTCTGGTATTCTGTCGACGCCGGCCTAGGTACAGTCGAGCAAGACAGTTGTAGTTTCTTCTGATAACACGAGCAGCCACTCTCTGCTCTTTGGGACAGAAAACTTCGATGATGGCTTTGCGAATCTCTAGAGGTAGTGCCGGAATTCGCTCAGATACGAGGACCGCCATGTTTCTGCTGACGAGAGATCGGTCATCCGGCAGCTTGCTCGATTCTCTGTTTTCGTTATACCAATCGCCGAGCTTTTCGGAGTTGATGAACTCCGCTGGACGAGGAATGCAAACTTGTACCGCCAAGTGTAGGCCGGCGGCGTAAATCTTCTGATGCGCAACATAATCGACGAGTAATTCCGTGAACTTTCGTGACTCCTTTGCCTGTTTGATTACCTGACCGGTGCTGCCGAAGTCGTGGATGGTGGCGCAAAATCCTTCGCCGATGTGTTCAAGTTCCTCGGTTCAGCGCTCAGCAATCTGGCCTTCTTGTAATCTCAGAAGTGAACAGGGGTCCAGAAGGGTTTGAAGTGAGAGGTAAGAGGACAGTGCCTCGACTGCTCCTTGACTTTTGGTAAGACTAGCAGTATCAATCTCATCTCTTTGTTCACCGGTACCTTTTGTTGGGCTGTCCATAATGAAAGATTTGAGAGCTAGTTGACTAGATGCAGATTTGGTAGTTGTAGTTAATCAAGTTATTGAGCGCAGAATGGTAAAATCTTCCCAGAAAACCCCATTATATAGGTACTCCTTGTGAAATTAGTTTGGAGAAACGGAGATAGGCACGGTAATTGTGGGTGACACTTTTGTTCTATTGTAGCCTCGAACCTTGATTGCGACGTAGACTTTACATCAAGGTCCTCAAGCGCTGATTTACGATACCTTGAGCTTTCTAAGGGCAGGTAGGTGTCTCAAGCTGATGGTCAACTACCTTCTTCCGACATTGTCACAGGGGATATTCGTAACTCCTGTAACTTGAGAGTTGACACCTTTTCGACCCTCATCATGAAAGGTTGACTAGATTCCTTGTTGACCTATTCCTTGTTGACCTTGATGTCGAGCCTATCGTACCAACTTGTGAGGATAGGTCGCCTATCACGTAAGGTATGCAAGCTGTCCTTGAAAATACGGTAAGTAGCCTATTGGTATAGGTCCGTCCGGTAGATCATCGTACTCCGGCCGGTGAGTCATCCGGCAGGCTCCACATCCCAGAACCAATCTACACTCGGAACAGCCGAAGAGCGGCCAACCGAAAGTGATTGGCGCGACAATCCTCCGTGAAACCCCCCGGCCTTGAGTGAAATAGGTACCTTGCCAAGCACTTTCGTAGCGCGTAAGCCTAAGCCTCGCATGAAAACCTCACGTCAGCACGCGTCAATTCATCAGAGAGCCCTCATCGAGAAATTCCCAGGTCTATCTTGTTCGATCAGAAACCGTGCTGCGTTTATCTCGATGGCACCGCAACTGCCAACTCATATCCGGCCAGCAACCGAGGCAGATGCAGATGCCATTGCAGCCGTACACTATGCAGCTCTCAAGCAATTTCACGACTTCTACGCAGCATTCTTCGAGCGCCATCCGCGAGAGATTCTCCCACTTTCAACGCGACTCGCTTTGAAGAATCCCAAGAATCACTTCCTGCTCGCCGTCGTACCCGACACACATGCCGTTGTAGGTTTCATCAGATACCACGTCGTCGATGCGACAGAGCCGCCTGCTGCAACCACACTGGCGAAGCCGACGGAAAGTGCGGATACCGAGCCCACCATGCCATCCATTTTCTCAACCAAACCTCACATGAAGGAGATGTGGGAGCGCTTTGGCCATCCGAGAGAGGAAGAGATGGATAAGTGTTACGAAAAGGCAGTGGATGGACGGCGACATAATTGTAAGGGCTGTGATTCAAAGCTGGCACTGACCAGAATATGATCTGGGCGCCAACCCCCGACGAATGTGCTGACGTTGATATCAGATGTGAAGAATATAATGGTGGACCCTAATCATCAAAGGAAGGGTATTGGAGCAAGTTTGCTCAAGGCGGTCATCGACATCAGTGACGCCGAGAAGATTCCGACTTTCCTTGTTGCTTCGGCTGAAGGATATGGACTGTATAAGAAATTGGGGTTTGAGGATCTTGGAACCTGGACCATCGATAACGACCACTGGTCCGAGGAAATCGTTCGACATGAGAACGAGCTTGGAATCGTGGGCAACAAGGGCTTGGCGGAGACGTATCGGGGAACACATGAGCTCGAGAAGTACATGATGAGATGGATCATTGAGAAGCAGTGATCTTGAAGTTTTGTCAACCAACTTACTAAGAACCAGATTTAAGAACGGGCAGGTGCTACTCTGCACATTGAAGACCACATGTAACTACTATCTCGATAGAGACCGTACCATTGGTAACATGACCATGGCGCTCTGGGCTCGGATTCTTCAGGTATCGCGATCGAGTAGCAAAGGCCTTGTGTACCGCCCGGCTTACCGTTGACTAGGAATCAACGGGAACCTGCTCGCTTCTTGTCATTAAAAGTGGGTTTTCCTCTGGAAACCCCAGCACTGTTGTCAGTGAGGTGCGTTTCGCCGCTGGTATATTTGTAGACGTACGAGGTCCTCTTTCCGACATGCTAGGTTCGTCATGGTTCTAGATGCCTGTGAGAACAGACTCTGGGCAGGTGACGACGTAGCACTGTTGAGGAAGAACCTAAGATATGCGCCTGACCTATTCCATGATTTCCGCCTTTACCTACGAGTACTTATTGTTGGAACAGCAAAGGCTGATAAGGAGTAATAGGCAGGTACCATGGGCTGGCTGGCACCTGCCCTGGGCGAAGTGGGACAACTGGCTTAGTCATCACGGCCGGATAAAGGTGGGACAACCACCCAGGCCGTCACTACCTACTTCGACCGACTCCTGCCTACAATGTAAGATAGAACAACAACAAGAAGAACAAGCAATAGGATCACCAACAGACGAGTGATAATTGCTACCACTATTTGTCGTATACGACCCCGTGAACCAACACTTATTGAAGCCCCCTTTGATATTCTGCAATTTTAATAAACCTTGGAGGTGGTCCTTGCAAATATTCTGACTCGTTGGTCAAATTTGACTTTCACATTCCGACAAAAGTACGGATGGAGAACAGCACTTCAAGAAATCAAGGGCTCAGTATCTCGGGTGGAATGATTCAAAGAACGCAGATCTGCGAAGCAATAAACGTGCGAGACGGGAGGCGCCCGCGCAATTAACTCTGAGTTGGAGCTGGTGGTGCCGGCTTTCACAGGAATCCGAGACCGAAGCTTCTGAACCCATCTTGAGTAATTACGGAGTACTCCGCACTAACGAGTCGCGACTCACACGCAGTGGTTCCCTCCCCTGTTTCACTTGCCGACACTTTCGTGTAAATATAGGCAGTCGTGGGATACAGAGCCAGAATCTCTTAACTTTATTCACTTAGATGAAGGGCAAGGCTTAGCGATGCTTGCCAACGCGGGTTCTCCCCGTGGTAATTTCCATGATTATCTATTCCCAGGATTAGCCTTCTCAGTCGGGATGAACTTGCCGCACTGCAGCCACAATTAGGTGAATGGTGGGGGAAAGTGCACGCTGGAGACCTCTCGTACACCCAGGCTCTAGCCACACTACCACAATAACATGGAGAAGCCCGTCGCTTCAACCCCACCAGTGCGATTCATGCCTCCCTGATTTACCCTTACCCTACCGCCTTGAGCAGAAGTAGTAGTGAGAAGGAGCTACCCATACATCATTTATTATGCTTCTCCCGCGAAACTAGGGCATGGAGCTCATAAGTTATACTTTTCCCACCCTCGTGATTAGATTGTTACTCCTCTCGGCGGCCCAAGATCGCCTCAGACTATGAAGCTGAAGTTCAAGTGCAGATACATAAGATGATGATCACTCCCACTCAAGGCAACTGATTCAACACTCCCAGCCATCACAATATCGTACAATCATTCCGTAAAATTACAGTCTTCATCGCAACGATGCAGTTCCTCAACGCAATTCTCGTCTTTGCCTCGCTCGCAGTTGCTGCTCCCGCTGTGGATGTGGCTGCCGCCCCTCTTGAGGCGAGAGCGGTTCCTAGCCCTTGCTACTCCGCCCAGAAGTTGACCTGGAACACGGGCCAGATCCCTGGTGACGGTGGATGGGTCGTACGTAGTTTTTCCCGTACAAAGATTGTGGTGGAATACTAATTACTGTACCTTCAGTGCTACGCAACCCCCTCCGGACCCTGCACTAAGTACTCCTGGAAGACCAACCTTCCTTACTACAGCGTAAGTACATCACCCGTTTTGAAGACTAGCATTTGCCGGTTTGCTAACATTGGATGCTTCTTAGTGCACCTGATATGATTGCCCTCTATGTGGCGACATGAGCGTTAAATTCGACGTTCCCAATTGCATCCTGAGCTTGTATATACAAGGATACGAAACAATGCTCAGATTCACTTCAGGATATGTCGCGTTTTTGGTTCAGTGTACAATGATTTTGAGGGGCGCTACAAAGGCGTACAACTGCCTTTCTCGTGTAGCATTATATAAGCGATCTACTCATCCTTTGTGTCATGTTGCATTACTTCCCACAGAGTCAGTCTTCAGCACTAATTGAAAAGTCCACGACATGTCTTACAGATGCAAACCTCAGTTGGCGGGCATGGACGGCTACTTCTTTATTTGAGTCGAAACAGACCTTTCCAGCATCCATCCCCTTGAGCCCCGTAGAAAAAAGTCAACAACGCGCTTGCTCACTAATCTGTGCCTTCTGCCTCAGAAGGAGATCCACGGCTTGGCGCCGTTTACGTGAGCAGCTAGATCCGGGAGGTGGGTATTATCGCCACATCGAACCAGACGGGCCGCACTGCCTGAATCAGGCCTTGGCGATACCGGAGATCTCAGATAATATCACTGCATGGACTGAGTGCTTTTATCAACCTCTAGAATAACTTCCCGAAAACGAAGTTCTGTAAGCGTCACCATGGAAATTCCGCGGACGATACTTGTGTCGAGTCCGTAACAAAGTGTTTTAGACAATGGCGCGGCGTATAAAGGCTACACTTCAGTTGCATCTTGCTTTCCAATTGATGTAGCAAACAATCCTGCTTATATCAAACTTTCAACATGGCAAACGCACAGGCACTTGGCATCCCTCCTGGAAAGACTTCTGTCAAGGTGTCCATCATCGACACTACCTTTGACGCCGATATACCAACCGGAATGTTCCTCGGTCCAGCTATCAAAGGCTTTGATCGGTGGCATGCGGTAGCATACGCGTTTTTGATAACCCATGTCGACACCGAGGGGAGAGAACGCCGCGTTATCTTTGACCTCGGAAGTCCAACCGACCTTGAGAACGACTTTCCCCCTCCTGTGGTGCAAAGCATCAAAAGTCTGGGCAGCCGTATGGAAGCGAAGCACTACGTTTCTGAGATCTTGGAAAATAATGGTGTCCCATTGGAAAGCATCGAAGGAATGATATGGAGGTAAGCTTCACCTGAGCCGGAGAAACCATTGAAGCTATCAACGGCATCACAATGCAACTTGCTGATACCTTCTCTCAGTCACGCTCATTGCGATCATGTCGGAAGACCTTCTCTGTTCCCAAAGTCAACCTCTCTTATAGTTGGTCCAGGAGTCAAGTCTTCATTCTTCCTGGGGTTTCCAGCCGTTCAGGACTCCCCAGTATGGGCTCGAGAGTTCGAGGGAAGAGAAGTTCTGGAACTCAAGTTCAACGACAACTTGAAGATCGGGGGTTTCGATGCCATAGACTACTTTGGTGACGGCAGCTTCTACTTGCTGTTAGCGCCTGGACACTCCGTGGGCCACTTCAACGCCCTTGCGCGGACTTCCGAGGACACCTACATCTACTTCGCTGGCGACTCCTTCCACCACACTGCGCTTCTTCGGCCCCATCCTGGCGCCCGCCTCCCTAGCGAGATCAACATGCCGGGCGGAACTTGTTGCTCTGGTGCAGCATTCCATCCCATTCATCCCGTCGGCAGAGGCGCTGGTGAGCTGTAGCAATATGAGGAGGCGTTTCGGCGCCTAGACGAGGATCCGAACGTGACTCCGTTCTGTACCGTCCCTGAACTGCCGTCGGGCGAGCCGGTCATGACCTTGCACTTACAAGACGCCCGTGATACCATCAAGGCGGTCCAGAAGTTTGATGCAGACCCTAACGTCTTCGTCATCGCTGCCCATGATGCCAGTCTGCATGATGTGCTCGACTTCTTCCCCAAGGATGGAAGCGAATGGCAAGCAAAGGGTTGGAAGGAGAAGGGCCGCTGGCAGTCTTTGCATGACTTTGCCGCTTTGGTGAATGCATCCTAGTGGTGCTCATTACAGCCGATCAAGTAGAACTCACTGTTACGGGCTGGACCCGATTAGTGGATCCGGGCTAAGGCCCGGATTCTGCCACGACTTACCGCGCCAATTCCGCGTGGGTCCCACTTGAACGTTTTTCCTCTGCGGAATCCCCGCCCCAAATCTCTCCTCTTCAGCTTAGATTCTATACTGAAATCACCCCTACGTGGCCTCACGAGGGCTGGGCTCTTAACACTCACTAAGGTGGAAGTGTGTGCATGTAGTCATAAGGACCTAGGGAGTAACAATTCATCATGCGCATTTGGTTCCTGCAATCTGATCGAACACATGAGAGCGCAGAAGTGACTATATCGCCAATTGTATCATGTTGTCAACAGTAGATTGCCAGCCTGATAAATATGTTCTGCCATTGCTAGAGCCAGTGAAGGGGTCACCATGATGCATCAAATTTGACCGATGAGGTGATCACCGAATCTCAGAATAGCTCAAATACGTAGCCATTGCCTGAAATACTTAAAGTATAAGTCAAGTGTTGGATGGAGACGAGAGAAGAACGTGTAAGTCAGGGTCGCAAAGAGTTAGGTGTCGCAGCGCCACACGTGGCGCTGCCGGTTACTGCCGTACGATACCGCTTTCCACAAGCCGATTACCCGTCTTGTACGGTATATAGATAGGACCCTCATACGGGTCTTCCACTTAGAGGAATCAAGCCACTTTCTACCATACAAGTCTTCCACTTGCTACCTCGCTTTGTGATATTAGGGGATGGCAAGGTCTTCTTTATTTTAGCCGCCTAAATCTAACTCAACCGCCCCCACAGCCAAGACAATTATATTACGGCTAGCTAGTCGTAGTGAGGTATCTTTATAGAAGTTGAGGCTACGGAACTGATATGTTAAGACCCAACATGCATGACCAAGAACAAGGTCTGCCCCGCAGGCTCTGCCCCGCAGGTTCGCGGCGGCTACAGCGCACCATGTATGCAGAGGACAAGGAACACTAGGCACCCTCTCACGGAACGGAAGAACTATGGACAAGTCACGTGATGATAAGAGATAAGAGATAAGGATGAGGATATGTTGGATATGAGTTATCCAAGCGATCCTTGGATAACCAGGATATGAGCTATCCAACATATCCAAACAAGGACACTGTCCAGCACAAAGGACATGTTCAGAATCAGGACTTGTATATAAGGATGGACTTGAGCCGGACTCTAGGACAGACTTCCCATAGCTTCTTCAGCAATTAACTTCGTATCAAGATTAACATCCGCTTTCAGCTACTACCTTGACAAGACTACGATTGATCACCGAAGCCTTACCTACCCTTACGATTGACAGACATAGCTTCCCTGAAGCTATCCCCGACTACGATTACTGTTACCAGTTCCGCAGCCTCAACTTCTGCAAACTACCCCTACGACTAGCTGGCCGTAACATGATAATAGTAATAGTCGGATGTAATAATCGGATGATTATTATACTTCGTTAAATAGTCTTAAGTAGGTTATGTCTGTACGTCGTAAGGTAGGTAAGGCTTCGGTGATTAATCGTAGTCTTATCAAAGAGGTTCTTAGGGAAGATAGCTAAAAGCGATTATAAGATCTAATACAAAGTTAATTGCTAAAGAAGCTATCCCATCGAGTGCTGCAAGGCGACAGTACATTGAGATGCGGGGGAGCAGCCAATCGGGCCACTTCGGGCCCCTTTTTCCAACCAACCAACGTAATTGATAATAGATACTTCCAATTATTAGAGATTCTGCGTATGAAATCGGTACCAGCAATCTTCTGAGTTACAGAGAGCTACATCGCACTCGAGGCAGTTTGGTGGATGTACCGTAGTAGAAATCATAGGGGCAACTCAAGCAGTGGATGTACCAGATGCGGTGCGGGGTAAAAGAGGGCCCCTTATGTGGAGCCAATGTACTGTCGCCTTGCAGCACTCGATGGGATAGGAAGTCTATCCTAGAGCCCGGCTCGAGTCTATCCTATATATAAGTCCTGATCCTGTCTGAATATATCCTTTGTATGTTACGGCCTAAACGGTTGGTCCCTGTTGGTATCACAGGCGTGATACATTTCCTCATGAGGGTGTATCTTCGGCAACAATCATGTCGATGTCCGTGATAATTGCTGTTGTTCTTCTTCCTATTTACATTGTGGGCAGGGGCCGATCGAAGTAGGTGGGGACGGCCTGGGTGGTTGCCCCACCTTAACTGGCCGTGGTGACTAAGCCAGTTATCCCACTTCGCCCAGGGCAGGCGCCAGCCAGCTGACGGTTAGTCAGGGTGGCCAGCGGAATATGCATATGTGAGTGAGCAGAAAAGAGCGTCTATTCGTACTAAAGAGTGGATGGAATCACCACAGGCTTGTGGGCCTAATGCTATCCTAATAAGTCTTGCAGAGCTAGGACCAGGTGGAAATGACAGTCTGGCCTGTTTCGTGATGGTCAGACCATTCCGAATGGGTTATGTCCATGACTCGCGTAGAAGCATGCATGGATTCTGTCACCAGCCCACGATACCTGCCCATTGCTCCTTATCAGCCTTGCCGTTCCGACAGTCCCGTTATGGCGTAGCTATATAATACAGAACAAGGGAAAATGATGCGGAGTCATCATTATCGAAGCTTTTGCTTTGTGCCATAGTTGGTTGCCTTGACCTGCTCGTAGCATTGTAGTTGGGACCGATTTTACCTTATTAGTCCTTTAGGGGTGGACCGCCTTTATCTTGTCGATGATGACGATGATGATGTATTTAACGTCTGGTAACAAAAGTACGTGCCGGGCGCTATGCCGACATGGTCTATGCTAATCTAAACTATGTTACAGGCTACCGTCTTCACCTAACGTTCCTGTTCAATGACTCGGGCAAATTTCGGAAAAGAAATTAGTCTCCTCTATCTATTCGCATAGAAGAGAGGCTCCCTTAGCAGAACCTAACAAGAAATCAATACTTAATTTGGCCATACATTGGCGGAAGTAGCGCGGTATAGCCTTGCGTCCACGCTTGCTGAAGTAGAAATGGACTGGTGTCTTGGGTTTCCCACAGCTGTAGTTGAGCAACGCATCTTGATGAGCGAATCTCTCGTGGTATGCTGCAAAGTCTCCATGATGGGATCTTGCTGCGTATAGCCTTCCTAGTAAGTGCCGAGGGAGGCGGAGTTCGGGCGGCTTGGGGTGAAGAATTATCTCGAGGTCGGCATATTGCCGAGAGGGCATTGGGACAGCCATTTTCTGGCAAAGGCTTGGAAGGTAGCTACTTTAGCTTGCCTTTCTAGGTGCGCTAATGAGGGCTGTGGTACAGTCCATCGCTTGTTCTTCTTCACGGGAATGTCGATGCGACTACTGGGTCGCATTTCTCCATAATCTTTCTCCCTCAGCTCGGATGACCCGTAGCTGAGCCTTATCCCTCCTCTGGACTACCCCCTTCACCACTTTGGGTTGGATAGGGCAAGTCGCATCGAAGGCGGCGTGAGGCCCGTTACACGACGGGCATTTAAAGGGGCAGTCGCAGCCATCGTGACCCTCAGTGCCGCCGCAGGGTGCCCGGTGTTGATCAGTTGTGTAGGAAGGAGAGCTACACTTAAGGCATCTCTTCCTTCTGGTGCACGTTCGTTCGCTATGAAAACCGCCGCAGCGGAGACATTAAGGAGACCTCTTCTCCTTCGGGAACTACAGGTTTATAAAAACGCTGGCCCCCATCAAACGGAGGCGTCTTAGTAATTACCTTACGGCTTCCGCCTTAAACCAGGCTATCACCGTGCCTAGCCTTTCGACTTCGTCCTTCCTAGAGAAGTGTGCTTTTTCAGGCTTGAGTTTCGTCGAGACCTGGATCTCTTCAAGGAGCTCCTCGGTCGTGATTTCCAGCTCAGTGTTGGTTACCAGAAATGCCTGGTGTAAGGGACGTTTACGATATAGGCTCGGATCCAGGTATCGCGTTACTCGATCGCTTACGCTTGGAAAAGGGCAGCGATCTATTCTCTATTCTTTAGCAGGACTTTTACACCATCCATTAACGAAGGTAGGAGTGCTAATCCTATCTTAACATGGTCGATCCCCTTAAGGGCTTCTCGGGCTTGGGGACTTAGCCTTTCCCGAACGAAGATATATATATCGTAGGCTTTCTCGTTCCGAAGCGGGCTTTTAGGTAATAAACGCGTAAAGACGCGTAGATCGTTTAAGGCCGCCCGGTTTGTAGCTTATTTTGCGGCTTGTTTGGCTGGCGTTGGTTCATCCTATCTTCTGGACAGTAGCTGGCTCGCCGCCGCCGCATATGAACGGACTGGGGGCGGCTGGTTCTGGGTTGTGTGCGAGGGATGCCCCTGGGAACTCAGGTCAGTCTCGCTAGGCCCTGTGCCAATAGCGTGCATAGACCTTGCTAGACCACGTTGATGCCGGTTTGAACGCTGTTTCTCCTCCTAAAGTTCTCTCTCCAAGGATTCGATCTTTATCAAACAGTCTTTCAAAGGTATGTGTGGGAACAAACGGCAATCGCTAGGTATACACGGAGCCGAGCTATGTCACGTGCCGAAGGCATGTGACACACCTCAGCTCCCTCCTTCCATATCACGAGCCTTCGCGTTTACAACTTCTGAATGAACTTCTGAACACATACCTCGAAAGGTACCCACTGTTAGTAATTGTTAAGGTTATAGAGGGCTACGGCCCACTGCACTATCATCTCTCAACATCAGCCCATACGAGCTGAATTCCACGACCATGGCGGTCTCCCTAGATGTAGGGCCATCGATCACGGTTCACGGGGAGCCGGTATATCTCGGCGGTCGGGACGAGTCCGGAAGCCGACTGCAAAGGTCAGAGTGGTTGAGCAGGTTAACCACCAGGACAACTCTGAGCTTAAAGACGAGATCAACAAGCTTTCGAATCTTGTCCAGGACCTCCTACGTCGGGACGCCGAGAGGGAACAGTTTTTGAAAGACTGTTTGACGAAGATCGAATCCTTGGAGAGAGAACTTCAGGAGGAGAAACAGCGTTCAAACC